GCTGTTGTTTACAATATAGGCGATTTAGTTAAAATAAAAAAGCAAATAGCATCAAATGATGGGCAAAGTAAAAAACTTTTACCTGTATTCTCAGGTCCCTACAAAATTACAAAAGTTTTTAAAAATGATAGGTATGAAGTATCAAGTATACCAGGTACCGACTTAGGGAAACGAAATTATAGTAATGTTTGGGCGGTCGATCAAATTCAACCCTGGATTAATACACATATTAATACTATTAGTTCGGACAGTGACGATGAATAGTTTTGATATTACTTTCAAAATAAAACAAAATATATTTATTCGCCACTATTTAATTGTTTAGTATGATAAGTTATTAAATTTGATAAAATACCGAGTTTATTTATATATTGATTTCATTGTTAATTTTACGTATAAAACTTGATGAAATTACCAAGTATATCGATTTGTTGATTTTTCTTATAAAACTTGATGAAGTTGCCAAGTTTATTGATTTGTTGATGTCTAACTATATAACTTGATGAAGTTTCCAAGTTTATTGATTTGTTGATATTTAACTATATAACTTGATGAAGTTGCCAAGTTTATTGATTTATTGATATCTAACTATATAACTTGATGAAGTTGCCAAGTTTATTGATTTGTTGATATCTCACTATAACTTGATGAAGTTGCCAAGTTTATTGATGTGTTGATATTTAACATATAACTTGATGAAGTTGCCAAGTTTATTGATTTATTATTATAGACTTGATGAAATTTCCAAGTTAACTCATAAAATTTCATAAGATTACAGGTTAATTTATTTTACTCGCTGGCTGGACTTGGCGAGTTATCCAAGTACAGCTGACAGTTACTAGGTAGACTTGAGGTTCCCAAGCATACCTGTTGTTAGTTATATAAATTCGTTTTCTTTGCCAAGGTTATACTTATTATTAAGCTGTGTATATATAATGAAACTGAAAAAAAAATGTACTTAGAAGGCATATTCTAATGTTTTTGTGTTATATGTACTATTTTGATTTTATAATATAATAATCGTTGTGAAGTATTTTCCAGATGATTTAGTTAATAAGTTATGAATCTGTACAAATACATGCCTACAAGTGTATGATAACCTTTGCAAATGTAATAAATTTTGTAATTTATCATTTTGATTGTTTACATAAAAGTTTTTTTTTTTACCAGAGATTCATAATGATAAAATATAAGGTGTACATACATAATTTTTGGTGTTTTTCGATTTTAGTTTGAGGACAAACTTTTGTCAGTATGGCCGAATGTTAGAATTTAATTATAACATACCTACATATTAAAGTATCGATTATAAAATGTCATTTGTTTTGTCTACACGTCATATAAATTCAACATACGAATTATTTTTGTAATCCTTAAAAATCAGGAATGAGTTGTTATAATTTATGTAATTTAATACTTATTTTAATTTCTATGTTTAAATTCGATTACATTGTATAATCATTATTAATGTTAATTATGAAAGCTAACGACACTTCCGGTGTCGTTAGAAGTTGTAAAACGATACCACCGTTGCATATAAAAGTCATACCGCCAACTCGGAGCGGGCAGTTCGTTTTGTACTATCAGTGAATAAAGTGTCACAGCGATATTGGAGTTATTATTGTGAGAATCCCTACTGGTAGCTAAAATAAATAATAGTCTGACAAAATTAAAAAGCTGTACTGCCGAAACGTTTGAAGGGTTAAGGCAACGTTTTAAAGGTAGAGTTATACAAATAGCAACTTCCAGTATGGAGATCAAACATTAAAACATAACAGCTGTTTTTTTTTTATTATGAAGGTATCATATATTTCCTTTTTAAAATATGAATTAATCCATCGACATTTTCTTTCGGATTATTCGTAAAAAAAAATAATATTACTTTAATTTCTCAATGGCATGATAAGCAAAATACATATAAAGTGACTTCTACGTATTTTTACGTTGTTACTTATGTTACTTCCATGAAATACATAAATTCTCCTAATATTATATTTGGAAACTCATATTTTTATAGAAACACGGACAATATATATTTAAAAAATATTTGTAAAAAAATCAATAATATTAACAATGAAATACGACTTCGGTCGATATTACTATATTGCGTTAAGTATATTTTGTTTTGAATCCAATTAAAATTTCCATGGGAATATTGCATACCAACAGCCTTATAATTATTTATGAAGCAAAAATTTAACACGCTATATATGCAGCAGACTTTTGAGTCAAACACGTATTCTACTAAATATCATTAAAATCCACTCAGAAATACTTTAAATAAAAGTTTTATCATATTAAACTACTACAAAGGGCTTGCGGAGAAAGCGCGGGGTGCGGATTTCATATTCCAATCCACGTTTCTTGTGAAAAGTTGTGAAGTATGATCGTAAAAATAACTCTATTTCGGGTTGATACCCCCTTTTCTATTAATTTACTTAGGCTGATGACTAGTGTTTTCTATTTTCCAATTCTAAGAAAAGTTTTTATTAAAACAAATACAAAACAAAATACCTCTTTTATTTATGACTTTATCTGAATAAAAAACTGACCCACTTAAGTTACTTTTTAAGGCAAAATGTTTTCTCCGAGTATATTTTTTGGAATAAAAATGTAGGCATTTTCACTGTCAAATACGGTTATAGTTTAATATTTTTTAATGAAACCGTCTGTTTTTCGAATTTATTTAAATTTAAATCAATTATGACACATAAAAATACACTAAAATAATTTTGCCTAAATCCAGCCCTGTTTTGAAAGCTACATAGATTGCAATCAACTGTGACGTCACGTCCAACTTTACTCAATATAGGTAAGGAACTTAACAAATACAAAGATTATTTTTGTAACTAATTGATTATTTTTTTATCTAGTAAGTACCTATTTAACAACACAGATAAATAAATAGGTAATGGATACATCGCTCGAGCCTCGAACGCGCATGACACGCCAATCAATACTAGGCCGTATAGCGATAATCTTAAGGATTAAACTAGCTTACACGCTATTGCATGTTTTTCGAATTTTCTATTATTTGCTTAAAATTGTGTTGGATTAGGATACCAGTGCTTATTTTTCGATATTTTTTTTAAAGTCTGCTATCAATATCCTCTGTTATTATTTTGCCTGTGCTTAAAAACAGGGTTGATCTTGAATCCCAACTACCGAAAAGGTTTTTGGTTAGATACAATATAATTCGCGATCGATGTTATTGTCTTAATACAAAACACTTATTACATAACTTATATATTTTTTTTTCATGATTATAATATGTCTAGAACAAAATAAATAAATTTTAATAAAAAACAGTATTTCCTATAAATTTTTTAGATGGATTTCAGTAATTTTCATTGTCGGTATGATAAATAAAACCAAAATTTGTGAAAATCGTCGTGTTAGTAATTTTGCGTGAAGGAAATGAAGGTTTTTTGACTTGATGTTTTTTTTATACCTTCCGTAGCTAAAATGAGATGGATTCTTAAATATAGTCTCTTGTAATTGGCTCACAAACTTAATTAAAAATATTCCAGGCTTATATCGAATTATTTCCGTTTTTCTCGTATTTGTATTAGGCTATAGGTTCTTTACGATGAACACTTTTTATTGTAATAGTTATTAAATCATTTAAGTTAGTCATATACTCATAAATTTGTTTAATAGATAGCTTAAAAGTAATTGGAAGGCATCATTGTTAAAATTAGTAATAGTTATTTTTGTAACTGATTTGGTGTCGTGTCGATAATGGCAATTTGTTTTGTTGTTGTTCCCACTTGTTCCATGCGATTCCATCACAATTACTTATTTCCTGCATTTTCTTATCATTATAACGTCGAGATGAGCTTTTGTTCCTCCTTTTAATGTGCTTAGAAAGTGGATTCATAGTTATTTGTGAAATTTGAGATAGTGACTCTTTTCTGTTGTTGTGGTTGTTGAAAATATGGCTGATCAAGAAAACAGAAGAAAATGTTTTAAGTGTGGACGGTCGCCAACCCAGCATAATGTAAAGCTCTTTCGTTTTCCGAAGCCGGCTAAAAAGAATCTTATACGGTACTTGCTTTAATCTTCTATTTATAGATTTCTAAACTAATGAATAGTACGTGAAGTTCCGCTACATTTTAACAAGAGAATATTCCCATTATGTAATGCTAGTGTTTATTATTTTATTAGCAGTAGAGTTAGAATTTACATAAATACTTGTATTTAGTTGTAAAAAATATGACTTGAGTCAAAGAGCTTCAGTATTAGGTATGTCATGCTAATCTGTATGAAAGAATTTTATGTTATTTCTGATAAAAGTGATGATGTAGGTGAAGGTGATTAAGGATGTTTATCGATTACGAACTATAAATTAAATTAGTTTGTTATAAAATTCTTAGGGAAATGTAGCTCTATATCTTGTACTATAAGGATATAAAATTCTTAATTTCGTTGTATTTGTTTTCAGATGTGAATTGTGGGCTAAATATATTTTCCACAAAGTACGGAATTCATCAACAGAATTCCAAATGAAATTGTACACTAAACGTATTGTAGAATGCTGTGTCAAAATGATTTTCTTGATAATTTGGTGCACACATTAAAATAATTCTTGGCTTGTAAATCAATGTTGAATTAAAGTTAAAAACCAAACAGTATGTTGAAAATTCACTTAATTTGTGTAATAAAGCGGTATGTTAAAATAATAATAAAATTGAAAATAAAAATTAAAAAGTGTGTTATTATTATCTGCTTGAATTATATTCCCTTTTTTGAAGTACTCCCTATATTTCACCTAGATTAACTACCAAATTACTAAAACCTATGTTCCCTGTGGATGTTTTTCGTTTGTGGAATTTGTTTATGTAATGGATTTCGTATATCAAAAATATTCACAGAAAACATTGGTTTTAGTAATTTGGTAGTTAATATGAAACCCAAGTATAAAAGTAAGTATTTAAACTTCCCGCCATACTACTTGTTTCGGAGGGCTAACTATAGGTGGAGCTAGTTTCTATGGATAATATTTTTCTATGAAGTTGGCATTCTTCTCGTAGAGTATTATTGTTCTGTGGTCGTGAGCAAGTCGTGAGAGATTTGATAGGCTGGAGAGATTTGATATGTATACGGTTTACTGACAAAGTAATTTAATAAAAAAATGTCTTCAAAAGTTGCTGTAGTAACAGGAGCAAATAAAGGTATCGGATACGCTATAGTACGCGGTCTCTGCAAAAGGTTTGACGGCGTCGTTTACCTTACATCTCGTGATGAAGAACGTGGAAAACAAGCAGTGTCTAACCTAAATAAAGAAGGTTTGAAACCTTGTTACCACCAGTTAGATATCAATGACACCAAAAGCATTGAAACCTTCAGAGATTACATTAAAGATAACCATGGCGGGATCGACGTTTTAGTGAACAATGCCGCCATTGCGTTCAAGAGTAATGCAACAGAGCCGGTGAGCGTTCAGGCTGAGCAGACTGTTGGTATAAACTATTTTTCTGTGTTGAACACTTGCGAGATCCTTTTCCCCATAGTTAGAAACGGTGGTAGAGTTGTAAACATATCAAGTTCTGCTGGTCATTTGAGTAATATACCGAGTGCGACACTCAGAAGTCGTCTAGCTAACCCAAACCTTACTATACCACAGCTTTCGGAATTAATGAAACAATACATTGAAGCAGCTAAACAAGGCACTCATGCTGCTGAATGGGGTAATTCAACATATGTAGTATCAAAGGTTGGTTTGACTGCACTCACAATGATTCAACAAAGAATGCTTAATGATAGAGGTAAGGTTTGTTGCACGATTGTGCCTTATACTAGTGACCCCTAGTTGCTTAAAGGTGCTTGCTTAGAGTAAGGTCCCAGTGGATATGATACCTCTAAACTTATCCTGTTAATTCTATTAATCTATATAATGGAATACCTATCTGAATGACCTTATAAAAACCTGTTCAATAGTTTTTCGTTTAAATTGTTGAGATAGGTAGCTTACGGTAGGTAGATTGAGAAATATTTAACAAAATTGTAATAAGTCTCAAGTGTGCTGTTTTCATAAGTGTAAGATTATGATAAGATAAACTTATAAAACCTACTATGACTTACAATACCACATTTAGACACAATTTTTAATGTTATTTCACATATTTTAATGTTATTGCTATATTTTGAATAGTATTTTATTAATTCATATTTTATGCATACACCTATCCTGTAGTATGAACACGTCATATCATAGGATTTGTGATAAAATATGTTAAAGATAATATAAAATATGTAATGCTTCTGCTGCTGAAATGTAAGCAGGACAGTTGTAGGGTATTAAGTATTGATAAGACACATATGTTAGGCACTATGGATGCAAGTGTTTGCTTTATTTTTGGTGGTTATGAAACAGTACTATATGATTAAGAGTAAACATACAAGTAGGATATGAAACTGCTTGTTACACTCTTGACCTTGTTTAAATATTAAATTATATCAAAATTATATTTAACTTTTAGTTCCTTATAGCCAGTTGCACAAACATGTCATTAGTTAAAAGCGACATTGCCCATACAAAATTCAAATTCATTAGAGCTTAAAGGCATCATGAAACCTTAATGGATGTTTGTTCAACTGACCATAAGTCTGATGTTTACAATGAATTTGATTAACAATTTCAGATATTAAAGTGAATGCAGTTCATCCTGGTTATGTGGACACTGACATGACTTCACACAAGGGAACCCTGAGTATTGACGAAGGTGCGGTAGCACCATTGTACCTTGCTCTCGATGCACCGGACACAGTCAGGGGACAGTACATGTGGTGTGATAAGAGAATTGTTGACTGGGTTGAAAAGAAACCACTGGAGTAATATTAATTATTAATTACATTGTGTCAACATTTCAGAGTCAATAGCAGGGTTCAATATATTAGGGTTTTTTTTAAATATAATGTTAAATAATAATTTAGTCTGTTCCTACAGTAGGAAAAAATAGACAATGATTCATAGTATTATGCGATAATAAATGATACATACCATAGATAAGAAATTAGTTTTTTTATTACTTATTTTATATTCCTATATCTTATGAATTAATTTTGTCCTTTTATAAAATGGTAAACGTATTTAGTGTTGTGTACAGAAATTTTTTTTGTGTAATTAATTATTTGTAATGCGTATTTATCATCTAATTATTGTTTTTTGATTAAATTATTTCTGAAAATGGGTTAAGGTATAGTTGTAGTTTAATCAATATTTATTAAGTGATTTTTTATCAAGATTATCTTTAGTTTTTTTTATAGTCTGGTGAAGTGCCTTTCCATATGTAATTAAGTTAAATGATAATAATGTTGCAGTAAGTATTTTCTTATTTGGTTTATATAACGTCCATCATATATTTTTGTATAGCTTTGCAGTTTATCAGAAAAACTTTTAAATAAAATATATTGACTGCACATTTATTTATTTTAAGTGCTCCTTTTTTTTGTAATTCCATAGCTAAACCTTTGATGTGGTAATATAAAATTTAGATACTTTCATGATTTTTGAAAATGGGGTGGAAATGACAACATTCAATAGGAATCGTGCCATATAAGTGTGTTGCTCTCTGCCAACCCCGCAAGGAATTCGACGTAAAGATATATTGATGATACAAGACAAACAAATCATTTCCTTCTCTAATGTTTATTACTAAATAGTTACATATAACTTAGTACAAAAACAAATTACCAAAGTATAAGACTTAAAAATATACAATATTTTAATAATAATTATGTATGACACTCGATCTCAAAATATATTCATGTATTCTATACATTGATAATAATATTTGGTGAGTTTTATCTATCGCCAATTCTTATATTAATTAATACAAGCGTAAAAATATTAGTCAATATCTATATACATTATCTGAGGTGAGCTTTATATTATTACTAAAGTATACACAATAAAAACGCCAGTTAAACACTAAAATATGATTACAAAGAGATGAGTTATGAATAGATTGTATTTAAGGAAATTAACTTTGAAATTAACCTTTAACAAAATAATGTTCAATATGAATTGACATTCGCTGATGTGATGTTTGCTGTACCGTAGATATATTCTATTTGTAGTAATAACATTATTGAAAAGTAGTTTTAATATTCTTTCGTTATTGCTAGATGTTAATGTACTTACGAAAGCAGCATAATTATGCCATAAAACGACGTGTTTATCGCTTTGTATTTTTTATTAGAGACAGAAAAGGATAGAACATATATAAATATGAATACGTGATGATGTCGGTCAACTTTAAGAACATCAATACAAAAAACTACAAAAGATAGAATTCAACAGAAAATTTCAACTTTAAACAAAAATAAACGCTCTTAAGATCACTTTAATGAATGACTTATCATATTTTTTTTATAAAGATAAGTTCGCCGTTGATGCTTACTAACTCTATAAAAATCTGTATATTTGTTTTAGCAATAAAACGGTCATGATTATATAAAATAAATGCACTATACAAAGAACAATAAAGTAACCGATTACAAAACATAAAAAAAACGGTGTAAGCCCTAGAGTTCGTCTCATGAAAGAAGTCCTTCGGATACAATGTTTTCGCTATTTTTACTAAGCAATAAAATTTATGCCGCGGGATTTCTTTCGTGAGACAGTCTTTACAAGGTGCAGTGGTTCGTAACCTTTCTCATCATTAGCTCTATGACCTATTAGATATAACTGATTGACTCACCCTCGAGATGTTCCACGTTTTATTGTTGTCTTATTAAATTTGGTCTTTTTATTAGGTTCTTTATTAACTCGCACAGAATAGCTATGTTATCCCTGTGGGGGTTATTACCCCTAGGTTAGGAACCAATGGTGTATAGTAAAGAAAGTAGAATGCATGCAACGGTTGATTATATATATTTAACAATATAAACAAAAATAAATCACCATTGATAAAGATTTACTTGTATAAAGCTTTATATATTATATATATTTACTATTCTGTAAAGAATGTATTTTACAGCATTACTTATGCTTTTACTTTACATGCTATTGTTATTTAGCACCTATTAGTAATAAACTAATAAGGTCGGCTATGGAGTAAACTTAGAATATTGTTCATTAGCAGTGTACATACAACAGCACGGATTACAACACTATGTCAAATTTCCAATTGGTTTTGAAATCTACCCTCAATGCAATAAAGTACAACATCAAGTAGCGATGACGTGCTGTTGAATATACATTTTATATAATTAAAGATATCAAAAATGAAGATCAGCTACTAACATTACTTATAAGGAAAAATAATAATGATATAATCATGGCGTACCGTATACGGGAGGAAGGTAACTGTCCCCCCCCCCCTCTTGGATTTTGAATACATTATCTATTGTAACCTTTAAAAGTTGACAAATCAAACAGAGCTCGTAACTTACAACCCCCAGAAATCTGAACTTTGGTACGCCCATGGTTGTGTATGAAAGCACCAATATAAAATGCCGTGTTCCTTTTACACATTGTTTTATTATGCGAATATTCAATGTCGTAAATGCGATTCCTCTAAAATGTACCTTAAACAGTATTCAATTAATAGCAAAACTCTTTCCACTGTTTTACAAACTTATTCTAGCTAAATAAATAACTTCCATTCCTTTATGTGCACTTATTCCTTGTGTTACAAATATGAATCATATTGCTTAGACGTTAACGTATTAAGGTATGCAATTGTTTAAACATTAGTCGCAATTCGATTTATGAGGCGACAAATATCACTAGGTACCTACTACTCCTTATAAACATGGTGCCATCATGAATGAATGAACGAACACTAATGAATGAACACTAATATTGTGTCAAATTATCTGTTCCCTCTTCGTCCTAGTTAGTAGACAATGCAATTGGCGGATTCCACCAGAGTCCACCACGCCAGTCGATCACAAATATTACATTCTAACATTCGTATCTATAAGTTAAGAGAAGTAATTATTTAAGAAATGGCATAATTAAGTATATTTTTAACCAATTGACGAGAATTTTAATGAAATAAGATCTGTTAATAGCTAATAATTAAATTCTCATTTATTCGTTAAAAATATTTACTTGAGTTATAACTTTTATATTAGCTAGGGATACCAGAGCTGCTGCCCTGGGGCTCTGCTGTCCAGGGGAAGGGGAGGCCTATGCCTAGCAGTTGGCTTCGAACGGCTGATATGATGATGGGCAACGTTTATTCGATTATAGATACGAGCGTTAAACAATTCAAGGGGCACTAGGATCTCCCAGTGTTGTAAGTCATGTCGTATAGATATTATTAAAAATATAGATATCTTTCAATAAATAAAATACGATTAAAAGTGGGTCCTTTATATATATTTTTATTAGAATCACACGAAGCACATTACTTATATTATTTTATAGGGAAATGTTAAATGGAACTAGTTTATGGTTAAATATCTTTGGTATTTTCTGATGAGACAGATAATTTAAATCACTTCATGCTCTTTTCAAAGTCTATAAAAACTGGAGCCCTGAGTGATAATATGTCAACTGACAGCATTCAGGGCTCCATTTTGACAGATCTTCCGTCAGATTTGCACCGACATTTATTTGCTTGCAATCAACTGACTTGATGTATCAAGGTGGAGAAATATATTATACTTAATGGAGTAATTGCTATCCTATGTTTGTGAGGATGGACATGGTGCCATGCGACCGCGTCGTGGTCGATTGCTGGCGTAAACTTGTTTCCACAATCAAATTTCAATTTTATTTACTAGGCCATAAGCTTTTTCTTAACTACGGGATCGTGCGGCGACCGCATGAAAAGTTGTCATCTAGTTTTAACGCGCCATCACTCATCGTCTGCATAATTTTCATAATATCTCAGACTTTAATGAAATGAAACTTTTCTATAGATTATTTTACTATAACTGCATAGCAATTATTGGAATGCCGAGATAAATTATTAAATCGACTAGGGTAATTTCAATTAATATCATTAAGTAAATCTAGACATAAACATAAGAATACAAAAAGAAAAAGTATATAATGATGATTTTAATCTCATTAAAAAAAAACTATTATAAATGGATGGTCCAATTAACAAGTCACACGTATTCGGTTATTTTCCGATGAAAAAAGTTTCAAGTAGTCAACATGTCGTGTTTACGTTTCGTTTCAAAATGTATGAGGTGATTTATTGGAAGACCCCGCAGGGAAAAGAAGAAACACACCTTTAGCGATCAGATCAATTGTGCGATGTTGATATCAGAAGCCATAGCAACCTGTATGTATGTATGGAAAATGTTATCAAGATCAAGATCGATAAAAATACGTAAAGACTAAGTATTGTGTGATGCTCGGTCCTTAAATGCTGTCTACCACGCAAGGAATTCTGGCGTGAATATATAAGGCGCGGCACGTGAATTGAACTAAAATGGCGATTATCCGCCCAGCACGTGTAGCATAACAAACTCGAAAAACGTTTTGTCTACACCCAAATGTCACTTTCTCGGGTCGAGAGTGAGATATCGTACGGGCGCACCCGAGAAAATTGACATTTGAGTGTAGACAAAACGTTCTCCAGTTTGTCATGCTACGCGTGCAGATACATCTTGGACTATACTTGGTTACTATGGTTACGCACTTCGTCTCACCCCAAGTCCCACCCCACCTCGATTGAGACCCGAAAACATGCCACAGTGGAGTCACCATTTTGGTTCAACTTGTGTGCCGCGGATAATAGGTAGACATATAATCAATTACCTAATAATTATTCATATAAACGGAAGACCAGTATCTGATTTTGAATTTCTATATAATTTCGCATTTAACCTTTTTAGTAAAGAAGTAATATTATTTTTTGAAAATTAATTAAATAATTATATTTAAAATTAATTATATTTTTAATTACGGCACGTGGTCTTGAGATGAACCGGTAAACTTTTTCTCCCTGTATATTTTCATAAAGAGAAGACAATGAAGTATTTAAAAAAAAAAGAAAGCACTAAAAAATCACCTCACCTAGATGGCCAAACACAGTCACTTCCGATTCTTTTAACTAACATATTAAAAAACTGAAATTTGAAAAGTTCGAAACTTAGACATCAATACAAATACGAAAAATTAGAAATAGAATATGAGTTGTTTATTGAGTTTTGAAAACTAATTTACTTTTAAACATGTAAGAAAACCGGAAAGGTCGTCATGAAGAAATTTATAACGTACCGTAGCGACATCTAGTTTAATTTCGGGAACTAATTTTTTTTTTAAATACTTCCTCATTAAAAATGTCATAAGACATAAAATTATTTTCCACTACAATATAAAAAATAATCAATTTGTTAATCGATTAATATGTTAATAAATCCAAGCAATAAATGACATTTTCTATATTACAAAACACCACTAGACAATGTTAAATAACGCCCAGAATGCGATCGGACTACATCTTCAATGTGAAAGTCTTAATTAAATTTCAATAGGTATTATATAATCTTTGGTAAATTTACCACAAAAAGTAACGTTTTATATTCCAGATCTTTTTTTAACGCATTTACGATCCAAAATCAGATACCGCGTATCTCGATAAGATTTTATCTACGTATCTAATGAGACTTTTATATACACAATGAATTTTAATATAAATAAAATATTAATTTTCAAGAGATATTAATTTTATTTCATTAAATGAAATTCATTCAGAAATAGTCTATTTTGAAATTACTAACCATTAGTAAGTATAAGCTTTGGAACAAATACACACGATTCGAAATCGAATAAACAGGGTAAATGTCGCAATGATTGCACAATAATAAAACTCAATATTTCATTCTATTGTCACTGAATGGCTACCATGCCCAAGTTTCAAGGTGATGGATATTGTACCGGGTTATTAAAAAAACTATTTAAAAAAACCCGCAAGGTTTGCGACGTGAAGATAACACCCGATTTCTGAATTGAGAATATTAAGTTGAACACGTTATAACCTTACTCAACTTGAGTAAGGTTTAAGAATAATGCGTTGAGATTTAGTACTTTTCTCATGTTAGAATCTGACCGATAGAGAGATCGATCGAAAAGATATGAAAATTCTTTCGATAATGACAAATGAAGATGAACTACACAAGCGACTGCACGTCAGATGAAAAGGCCAGATAATTTCAATCGATTTTTAAAGTCTTAGTTAAATTTAATATGTATTGCAATTATTTTGGCACCTGGTGTAAAAGTTAGGTAATCGATGTAAGACTTCATGATATATACATCGCTAACCTAACTTTAAAAAAAATAATTTAAAACATATCATTGATATCAGTTACAATTTGCTTTGTAAGTGTCACTTGTTTTGCAGTGTCACAAATTTAATTGCATACAATCAATTTGAGTCCAAAAATATTCGTTAAGTCACATAACATTTGTTTTTTTGCGTTTACACAGTACCAATTTCACAAACATTATGCGTGCGCTACACATGCAGTAATGGCTGTTTTTCAACGTTTTTCATTGGTAAAAATGGATAATTTACTCTCATTAAAGGTTCTATTGTTTGAACCCGATTTGTATTTAAAACCCATCGAACTATCGTATTTTACCCAATCCATACTTGAAAATACGTCAGTGGATGTTAAATTTGTTGTAGTAACATACTTATTTCAGTGAAAAGCAAAAATTTACATATTCGATTTAAAAAATTTTGATTTCATTTTTATGATAATTCATAAGTTTATTGAAGCAACCAGCAATAAATATAAAACCACATCTTTAATGTTGGTGTTTGGTCAGTCACTTTCAAATTCTGTTAAATCTACATCTTTGTTTAACATACTGCAACATAAAAATGTTTTAAATATCTAAAAACGCCCATTACATTCATTTCTTAGATTACAAGAAAATTCACACAAACGGTGGGCGAATATCTACCAGCACCAGTATTATGTGACGTTTTCGTATCGCTCACCTTTTCATACTACGAAAGAGTGAAAGAGACGTATTACTAAGTTCAAAACATTTAAGTTTCGACGTCACATAATATCACCACGGATTCGTTGTTGTTGTTGCACGCTGGAGGCAATAAGGCCACTTTATTGTGCCGTTATGATATAGCCAGTTAAATTCGCGCGATAGGAACTTTCTACATACAGGATAAATATGCATTTTAACAATGGTTTCAATTATAAATCGACATTATTATAATTTTACTTATTTATCATATAGTATAGTATAATTTTATAAGTTAAAAATACAAAATTGAGATTTCTTTCGCAATGTTCTATACTTTCATTTAGAGCGTTGAAACCAGGGCTAGAAAGCGTTACCAAATTACACTATATAAGATTATTCTCAAAGAGTCAACATGTTAACAAAGACAGTACAGTAAGATACAACAATATGTCTCACAGACACCTCCGCAAAAGGCTATATTACTGCAAAACAGACCAATCAGAATGATTCAAAGTTGCGCGCTTTATCTCCACCGTGTGTTATCAGAGGTGCATTTTAAACTATATGTTTATAGAAACAAGACTCAAATGTTCGGTCATTGTCGGAATTGGTAGGTAAACTGAGATTAAACATGCGCCATATTATTTGGATTTTACTGTAGCGACATTCAATTTTTAACGGTATTCAAAGCACCTGGTTGAAACACAGTTATCCTAAAGCTTTATAAAGTAACCAGCCCATCGTCATTACGGCACGGAATCCAGCGCGCGTTCCACTACATAATTGTAATATGTATTATAACTGTATAATATTATAATATATTCACGTCTTATTTATTAATCACGATCCCCATTCTTCTAACTGCGATATAGAGAAATTCGATGAAGAGAAAGTTATACAGGGTCTTTTGTTCAGCGCATTCTTTTATATTGAATTTGTTACTATAAATCATAGACACGTTTTTTCTTGTCTTCAATTTACTAACACCAGACGCGGTCACGCTAATTTTTTTATCTACTTAGAACAGAGACATTTATAAAATTACTTTTTACCACTATACTGTACACACTGATTTCTATCGGGATACCTACAGTTTGTTTACTACATATTAAAACATTAATAATGAATTATGATATTTTAATAATATTTTTTCTTATTATATTTGATAAATTTTGCATTCACAATGCTATACTGAAAAATATTCTTAATGAAAAATGCTTATAATATTTTTTTGTTAATATCCAGTTGAAATGTTCTGTTAACGATTTCAAACCACAGGAGATAAATGTACACTGAATAAAAACTGACCCTGTATATTAAAAAAAAGCGAAATACGTTATGAGCAATAAATGACATTAACATTTCATATTTAAATGAAAAATATATAAGTGTAATGATTCATGATTAATAGTGCTCGCAAATATATCAGAGTCGAAAGAGGTGGACGAAATGAATTTCTTTACACATTTGAAATTATAATTCTGACGATTAAGCGCGCATAAGGGAGCGATGGTTTACGTCGTCATAAAAATTCCATTTGATCGTCTTCTTGTGCTGGACTGGATCGATAGATGTGCATCTACCCTTAGATTGGTTTATTCGAAACGTCATGATTAACAAATTAAGACCTTATATAAAGTTTGTGTACGGTTTAGCTGGCGGCCGTGTCGTCCAGAAACTCTACGTACGTGAATGGAAAGTGACCGCGCTTACCGTTCAGCTCGCCTTCCCATTGCCCGTTCATATTCATCTTTATTACCTGCACAATAGCGTTCATATTTAAATAATATATAATTTATTTAAATTTATTTTCCTTTCCTTTTTTTATTATTTATTAAAGATTCTCATGTCTCGAAAATAAAGGGCTTTTGCACGATAATTGTGGTTTCATTAAAAATTGGAGCGCGATGGTGTAGCGGCTGGCGCGCTTGGCTTGCGATACGGTTGTTAAGCAACTTTCGCAATGGCCGGCCATAGGATGGGTGGCCAAAAGTTAATTATCTCGAACTTCTCCATGTTTCGGAAGTCACGTTAAGCCGTTGGTCCCGGCGCATTTGCAGTCGGTAACAATGCAATCTGAACTGGGCTCGCGTTGTGGATCATGGTCAATTTTTCCTATTTCATTCGATTCTATTCAATTCATAGGAAAGGCCTAAGCTCCAGCAATAGTAGCAGCAGTAGGCTAGTGATGATGAAATATGAGACAACTTTACAAAAATTACTCGTATTTCAATATTAGCATTAAGCTTTTTATTAAGAAAACCAGAAACAACAGAAGTACGACAATACCCAGTGTCGAAATAATATAGAGAAGTTCATTTTCTAATTAGATTGTATAAGACGGGTATTAACGCAACAGATTTCGATAGTTAGCTTTTTCACCATGGATATCAAGTGCACGGACGACATAAGCAGCCGAGACTCAAGAGTAGACATCTTGAGGCTAAAAGACAACCAGCATATATGCCTTATGTCAAAGGAGTAACCGACAAGGCCACGTACTACGTAATTACTCTGTGCCTACAGTATATGCTCCTGGCTTAAAGGTAAATAACATCGTGGGAACGCCGCAGGATGTTTTACCATTACAAATACCGTATATGAACACATCACAGCTGTAAAAAACCGCCAGGTAAATAAATCGGCGATCGCAGAACACTTGCTGGAAAGTGGCACAAATCGCTGGATTGAATTCCATCGTTCGCGGGTACTTTCCTCGGCTCGTCATTTCTATTCGCGGATTGTGCGTGAGTCAATGGAAAATAAACAACATCCCAGCAATTTCAAACGCGAAGATGGTTTTAAGTTATCTACAACGTGGAATCCAGTGATAAAAATCTTTTCGCGGTTGCCAACCACCAGAATACGGCTGCGATACAGAATAGGGATTCCGTTAGTGATGTGTGTGACGGTACTTGGAGAAAAAACTGGACGGTAGACGTGGATTCCACTTCAGAAGATGAGACGCAACATCGCATAAACAGTCAGCCGGTGACCACAGGTAGGTGAAAAACCTAACTATCGAAATCTATCGCGCTAATACCCGTCTTATACAATCTAATAAAATGCAACGCGAAAGTTTAATAGTTCATTTTCTAATTGTTATATGTACCTTAACTATATCCCCCTCTTCTAGTTTTAGTGCAGTTTTGTCGTACGCGTTGGGCACTCTTGTCTGCCTCACACGAGCCAATGCCGGTAGGATACGCTAGGATGATTAAATATAAACATTAATAAATAATACAAAGTATACGAAATAGAAGATGACCTCGCATATATATTATTAATAATAATAATATTTGTTTAGACTCTGTTTGTTGAGTAGCTTGGTGGTGTAGTGGATAAGCGCCGCGGCCCGCGATCGTAGTCGTTAAGCAACTTTCGCAAGGGTCGGTCACGGGATGGGTGACCAAAAAAAAAATATTATCTCGAGCTACTCCGTGCTTCGGAAGGCACGTTAAGCCGTTGGTCCCGGCTGCATTTGCAGTTGTTAATACCCTCCAATCCGCATTGGGCCAGCGTGGAGGGTCAGGCCCCTCCTCCTTAATCATCCATAAGGAAGGCCTGAGCCCCTGCAGTGGGGACGTAAAAGGGCTGGTGATGATGATGATTATGATGATGTTGAGTAAACATAAATGTACAGTATGATGAATTATTTTTTTTTGTCTGTCCAACAGGTAGATTATTAAAGAATAACACGCTCGGTGGCGTAGTGGTTGAGAGCCGCGGCCCACGATCGTTGTTGTTAAGAAACTTTTGCAAGGGTCGGTCACGGGATGGGTGACCTAAAAATAATCATTTCGAACCACTCTGTGCTTCGGAAAGCAGGTTAAGCTGTTAGTCTCTGCTGCATTTGCAGTCGTAAAACGCTCCAATCCGCATTGGGCCAGCGTAGAGGGTTCGCCTTCATATATGGAAGGCCTGAGCCCTGAGCCCTGCAGTGGGGAGTCCAATCCTTCCTTTAATGGCTGTCTAAGCTATTTCTTATTAAATGGAGCAAAAAAAATTATGTATCTGATATTTTTCTATTATCTGAGTGACGGACTAAATTAAAAAAAAAATATACTAACTAGGCATAATCTCTATTGATTTGGCTCATTAATGTATCTGAGCAGAAAGGCAAAGTTGAAGCGCGGCAAATGTCGACCAATGAAAATAATTAAAGTATCACAAATACCTACCCTGACTGCCGCTGAGCGCGAGTGAGTACACTACACGTAATGCTATGTATTTTACACCTTGTAATCATCGAAACAAGACTCACTATAAATAGTAACGCTGCAACTAAAATGGCGCATGGTGAATGTTGGTTCCCGCAGAGCAGACCTACCAATGCCGACGATACACTGACGCATGATTGAAATTTATATAGTCTCCTTTTGATAACAACATACAGTGGAGTACGTGATCATCTCAGTCACACTCGGCGAGGGAATCATTCAGATCGGTCGACATTTGCAGCGTAATGCGCAGGCGCATCTATGATCCATAATAGTTGGGTATTACTACAATCACGTTTCGAACGCAATCTATCCTAATATAACAAAAAGGAAATATTTGTTCGTTCTTTTTGTATCGGACAGGCTATGAAATAGCTGGACCGATTAAAAAAAAATCTTAAAAAAAAAAGGTGACAAGGTCTCCCACCGTAGGTCTACGAACCGAATTATTTGATGATCAGCAGAGGCGTCGTGTGGTCATTCAAACACCCTACTTTAAAACAATTTTTGCTAGGAAACAAATAATTTTTATGGGTCTTTTCTTATACAAACTTATGAATAAAAAAGATCATATATATAAAATGAATCGAATGTCTTTGAAACGTGTACTACTAAAGAAACTTCTAACATTGGGTTATGAAAATACTGAGAACTTATTGAAATCTTCTTCATGAATAAATTAAATTCAATAAAATAATAAAATAAAGTAAGCAGTGAATCGCTTCTAACTTGGACCACTCAACAAGTTTCTAGTGAGCGTACGCAAGCACGCATTTACACATTCTCTCATTCATACTTTTACTTACACCAACCACCTGCTCCATAATAGAATAAACACCGCACTAACACATATTATTAAAACTTTTATTACTACCCCCCTAATCAATTATTGTACACTCTTACTGTCTATATTATTTATGATGTGTTATTACTATTGAATCTTTAGCTTATTTTGACAGTTTTGTTATAAATAAATAAGTACTGTAACTTAGTGTAACTTTAGTGAATTGTAATGAGTATTTGTGAGGTGGAGGACTGACTACTTGTGATTCGGGGTTTACCCTAGTGCTGGTGTCAGTCCACCATAGTCGGCTATCTGATACATTGTTATTCCCATGTAATTCAAAGGATGATTATGGTGAGGATTAAATGATTATTATTATTATTTGATGGTATAATTAAAGCGTGCGATCATCATTGTTATATATAAAGAACATTAGCGGTCACCTGCAGGTTGGTGTGCGCGTGCTTGGTGGTGGGGGGGCTGGGCGGGTCCCCGGGGGCCTCCGCCTCCAGCATCTGGCCACAACATGCATCACTGTATTATATAGTATACAAGCTCACTCTGCGATACGGTTATTAAGCAATATGCGCAAGAGCCGGCCACAGGAGCATCAAGAATTCTTGCGAATCCATTGTTATATTGTCTCTATTACTCTTAATCTAAATTTCGAAATTGGAAATCATAAAAACAAATATATATCGAAAAAATCCTATGTCAAATCGAAAATTATGAGAAAAATAGGAAGATATTTAAAAAATATTTACAAATAATTCTGAATTTTGCATTCACAATGCTCTACTGAAAAATATTCTTAATGAAAAATGCGAAAGTCATGGGTTCGAGTCCCATCTCAGGGTGCCAGGGACAAAATGATTTTTTAAGTATTATCCATAAATTGCTTATTTTTCTAATCTACCATGTAGATACACTGTAAACGGTGGTCGGTTAGGTTAGAACTGTGATCTTGTTATTTAACATGGAGGTGTGCGAGTACACTGACCCTCTGCACATAGGGCACCGGTATGGAGCCGGTGCGACCCTGGCTGTTCCTGGCCGTCCACCACTGCTCCTCGTCCCGGTTGATCACCATCAACCGCTCGCCGCGACGGAACGGCAGATCATCTGGATCCTGGTACACAAACCGAATCTAACCTTAGTTAAAATAAACACAAATCTATTTGTATAGAACTCACTGTTGAAGGCGAGATAAATTTATAATTATTTGTATGAACACATGTAAACCTGTAAAAATCGTCAGAATTCTAATGTAACTTGTCATATTATGGAGTATCTGAGACAACGAAGACGAAATCTAGACGCGAGACAATTTAGAAGTCTATTTCCTACATTATTCCGACCGGGAATCGAACCTGGCCGTACGAACCACTCGTCATGATCGGTAGAATGATTCAAGTATCACGCCATCAGGCGATCCACCGTCATCCACGCGCCTGACAAATGTGAGCGAGACAGACATCTAATGCATTGTATTGTACTCCTTATGATTATTGAAACAAGACGTTTTATTTAATACGAAATTCGGTAGCTGCTCTGCGCAAACGAAGACTCATCATGCGTCGTATTAGTTGGAACTTACTTAAAGTTCCTTTTACTGTCATAGTGCGTTAAAATGTAGTGTATTATTCTAGGTATTTCCTAAGTCGTTGAGCTTGAATAGAATCCAAAACGTAATTGGTTTACGTAGATATAGAGTAGGAAGTCTGTGATCAGTCACTGGTCGTGATCGGCAACGTGGCCCACTGTCCCCCTTCCGGTTTATTTTTACTACATAGCGGCATAGTATGAATGACTGCAGTTACTCATCGTACAACGCCAGAACAATCTAATATTAGATTCATTAGTAATAAAATGTTATGTCTTTCTTCGTAACGGTCATCAACTAATCAGCAGTTTAAAATTTGGAAATTGAGGAACTATGGAATTTATTTGTTATTTATATCGTAACGTCGTGTTACAGATACCATCTACTACCCCTTTTTATATATAACTAGCCTTATTCCAGCGGCTTCGCCCGCATGATCTAGTTTTAAGTCCAGAAAAGAGAAAATTCCATTAAAACTTTCATCCCCTAATTTATCCCCATAGGGATTGAATTTCGTATAATCCCGTCTTAGTGAGCACCTACATCCTAAAAAGAACCCGCATGTAAAATCTGAGATTTAGTGATGAGTGAGTGGCCTTTCTCTTTTATATATATGTATAGATTTGTCCCTTTTGTTTAGGTCTATACTAATATTATAAAGAGATCAGTTGCACAAAGGTTTAATGGCGCCTTTAAGTTCTAATGAATGTCAAATTTGTATGGGTAATGTCGCTTTAGACTAATAACAATTTTAATGGACGTTTGTACAACTGGCTGAAAGTTGTAGATCATGAAAATGATTTCACCTGTAGAAAGGTTCATAACAAGCGGGTTACATATATACTATAATATAATTAATTATATAATATAAGACTATAATTTACATAGTCGATGTCGCGGGAAAACAGCTACTATTCTATATTTCATTTCGCTGACTAACTTTGCAATTGTATTATGTATGACAAGAAAATTTTCAATTAAATCAAATCTTTGAAGTTACTTATAGCTTGTTCGTTTTTATGCTCAAGTATACTATGATACAACTCACACTGCCATCGAAGTCAAACTTGGCTATGACCAGTTCGAGTACTTGGTGCGGCTGAGCGGGCGGTGGAGCGGCGGCCCTCGCGCGGGCCTGAGGCAGCGGCCTCACCAGCGGCGTGGTGTCCATATAGTGCAGCCTGTAGAACGACAACAGCGACGGCATATCCGCGAACAGCTGGTCACCGATCCGGTAACGGACCGTCCCGTCCGATGACACCACACGGTTTATTATATAGTGGGAGACACGACCGTCTTCTCTGTTTACAAGAAAACAATTTTAGTCAAATATAATAGAGTTTTTAAATAAGATCACGCTGCGCTGTCGTTTTAATTTATCACGATGTGATTTTGTCGTACGTATTTATTATACACAAATTTATTTAATCTTATAAATAATCGTTCGAAAGTACAATCAAAGTCTCAAGATGCAAGCATAACGCGACAGCAAATTTTGCCATCTTCTGCACTGTAAGATCTAACAACACCTGTGAACCTTTCACTGTCGCCGGTATCCACTCGATTAAAACGCGTTTATGTAGAAGTAGTCGACGATGCTCTCAAGAGATACGAAACACGTGTACAGGTAATAGTCGGTGGTTGTTAGTCAAGTTAGACGGATCAGTACTCACTGAGTTGTTGAATATCTTAAATTTTAGCAAAAGGCCAATATCAATAAAAGATGCTGAAAATGTCTTTACTTTTGAACTTTTCGGAGCATTGCACAAAATAAAAAAAACAAATCGGTTTTGTAATTGTGCAGTACCAAATAGAACTATAACATCTATTGTGAGCTTAACTGTTTGTTTTAGTCTGGTTACTTTCAAGAAGTCTATGCGGTTACTAGTGTCCAGTGGAGTAATCTACTTAGTACTACTACTCGTACAAATTAATATGACACCTGAAGACGTATTCTGAAAACGAAATTTCGTCCATATTCGAAATGCTAATACGACTCCACAGAAACTAATTTTTCGTAAATGTTACTTGTATAACGGATGTAGGGCCCGACACTGCGTCTGTTCATGGATAATCTTTACAGATATGATATAAACAAAATTAAAGAAACAGTCAAAAATTTTCCGAATTTCGACTCGAGAATAGGCCCACAGGTGTCATGTAGGCAACAGCTATCACGTACCTTACACACAAAACATAATCTCCCTGTATAGTTTTGGAATCCCTGACTAGGAATACTCCGCTTTCAGACTCATTCAGAAGCAACCTGGTCGCTTCCGCCCGTGACAAGTCCCGGAAGTACCAACTGCAAATAAATATATAAAATTGATATAATTAGTGAAATTTTGGTAATCCACCCCATGAAGTAATTGCTTAACTTCTGCGTCATAGACCAAACATGTTAACTATGACATGAAACTGTAGCATGAGGCACTCAGTCATAGTCAAATGATTTACTTAAACATGTAAATTATATTATATAGTCAAAATATAATAATTCATTTATTACATAGTATATGAAGAAGAAACTAACAGTGTGTGATTGCTTTGCTAAAGCAGCAATTTCTGCACAGTGTTTGATAATTATTAGTTTTCATGATTAAAAGAAAGTTATTAAATTAATAGGAATTTTCCTATTACCTAAAACATTTTTTATTTATCCAGGAATTACCTAAATATATAATCATAGAGTTCATTTTTGTCTGGTAACCAATTTATATTTTTTTACATTCCATGGAGTTTTTAATCAAAAGCAATGATAATTTTCATTGTTTATTGATAAAAGTTATCATAAAAGACTGCAACCTTACCAAATTATTTCAAGATCAGTATTTTATGGAATTAAATAACTCAATTACTACTAAATACTATCTAGTCTATTAAATTATATAATAATTTAGATTTAGATTAGATATGATTAAAAATGAAGGAAGTTCAATAATTCAAGTTATTTAAACTGCTCAGCTTGTCCGTTTCGAAATGATATAACTTTTTCCTTAAAAACATTGCACAGATTTAGAATATAAGAAATAGGGTATTCCTATAATGAAAATTATTAAAGTTAAAATATAAAATAGTATTAATGCAAAGGAAAATATTTTTTTACTTCACATACATTACTCAGATCCCAAAGGAAGTAGGTAGCTAAACAACTTGTATTATAGAAATCTGAAACAGCAGGTACCACAACACCCAGATCCAAGAGTTTGTTTTCAACATTGATCAGACTGAGTTTGTATCTCAGATATGACTCGAAAGTGTGCAAGCCATTTGGCCAAGGAGGGTGTTAAAATATGTAGAGTTCTAATTTGAAACAAAATATGAAATTTATATTTGAAACATGTTCAATTTATGGAATGTAACTGACATAATAATGGTGGAAAGACCTATATTTGTACCTGTGGTGTTTATGTTAGTTATTATTAGATCTCAACTTGTGTTTTGGAACCAGGACAGTCATAAAACTGTGCTAGTTGCAATAAACAAGGTACCATAGTAAGGTTTAACAAATCCTAGGATTATCATTTAGGTTTCATTTAATAACAATTTTGTATTGTTGATTGTTCCAAAAAATAGCATTATAAGTATAGCATTATTGCATTAAAATTAAAATAAAGAACTACCTCATGTATTTATTTATTTATTTGAAAGGACCTAGATACAAAAGATAGATAAATTAGTTTTTAATTATATATATTTCTTAAATATGGATACAATTCTAACTCAGAAACTAGAAATGTTTCATACTAGGCCAGGCAAAAAACATGGACATGGCCCGAAAGTATTATTATGTAAGCTGTATTAGTGGCCTGTGGAAGCATACCAAGTGGACCGCAGAACTTCATAAAATTGTAACTATATAAAAATAATCAATTATACTAATAAAGGTTGATTATGGAGGTTATTTATGGATACATAAAACATTAAATAATACTTTATTTAGTAAGACTTAGGTACAGCATACTAAACAAAGTTGGTCTTTTGATATCTGAGAAAAAACATGACAACTCATTTGGCCAAGAGCAGTTACATTATTTATTTTAGCCTTAATAAATTCTATAAAATGTTAAGTTATAGCCATGTTTTGGTTTAAGGTTCAATTTTATAATATATTAGTTCAATTAAATTAAATAGTAAAATTATTATATTAAAAAGAATAACAAAAATACTTGTCAACCCTTTGACAAAAACACCTTAGCTACTTCATCTTTACATGAACCATTTGACATCATATCATATGTTTAAAGATAATATTAATTTTAATTTTATTATTAGGAAACATTAAAGACATCTATAAGTTTTAGTTTCAAATGTGAGTATTAAAAGTCAGTATCAAAAAAAGGACAAATATAAATAATACATTGTTGCGACCAGAAAATAAACATTGGCATAATCTTAAGAATCAGGAATAAATTTAATTGAATATGTTAGATAATCTGAAAAGTCGTAAATTTATACCTTGTCATGTCATTAGGGTCAAATGTGACCCCTAGTCCAGGGCTGGCCATGGCGCAGCCGGTTGTCACTAAATTGATGATTAGAACTTCATCGGTGGGACATCACAGCCGGAAATGACTATTACATAGCAACAAACAGCATTTTCTACTAGAATCTGTATGTGTATAACTTTAACGATGCCGGATATTAGGTTCACCAATTCTTATATGCTTGCACTACAGTCCCACGTTTTCAATTCGAGTTAATTATAATTTGTTGACATGTATTCTTCTAGGTGTCATCAATGATCACCATTGATGTTCACATCAAAACACATGTTTCCGCATTCACAGACACTTCAATTTGGTTTGTTTCTACGCTCACTTTACTACTGATTTTTGATTGTATAGATATGTGGTTAATCTATTATTATAACAAATAAAAATAATTCATCAAAATCACACGCGAAGATAAACTGGATGATGATGATGCATAGACTAATTTAAACCTAACTCTTTGTGCATAGACAAAAGTATGTTTTTTTTTATTCAGGAGCAGAATAAAAAATACTTCTCAAAATCAAAATAGATATCTCAACGTACTTTGAATACTTTAAACTTCTTAGAAGCATGTCATGATCATGGGTCCATAGTTTGAATTTAATAATAATTGTAACATTTATGCAGAGTGCCAGTTTGAGTTCCACTAACTTAAGCGACTTTAGTCAATCGAGTAAGTAAATGCCAAAAGGATCGAACGGTGAAAACATGCGAGATTGAGTAACAATGAGGGAGTACTTAAAAAAACCGAAATTAAACTAGATGTCGCCACTGTACTTTCTTGATTTCTCAATGACCACCCTTCCAGTTTTCTTTCATGTATAAAAGTAAATTAGTTTTCAAAACTCAACTCAGTTTTCAAAATAAAAGTAAATTAGTTTTCAAACAACTCATATTCTATTTGTACTTTATCGTATTTGTATTAATATCAAAGTTTCAAACTTTGCAAATTTTAGTTTTTTTTATATGTTAGTTAAAAGGAACGGAAATAACTATCTTTGCTCCATTCGCTTCCTGGAAAAATCAACTTTTGCTAGATTGCTTTGTAGTGTTTTCTTTATTTTTAATACATCATTACGTAAATTATTCAATTTGCGATAACTCACAGTGAGAAGTGAACGTTTGTAATAAACCGACGGCATTCAAAACTGCTTTCGTATTGCAGGTACTTTAGAATTATTAAAGTGAGCAACTTCAATGAGTTGAAATCTCGTATTTTCTATCAATGTTTCGCAATTTTGAAATGTTAATATCAGAGATCTCCACTGAATTCTATTTTTTTCTTCCTATATTTTAATTCATGGGCTATTTGCATTTACACAATTCCGCTAATATCACGTTTGTGGTCTATACACGCAAAGAAACAATAATGAAATATGTTACTTTTGAATTTTGGAATAATAAAAAAAAAAACTGAGCGCGTCTATCTGATTGATTACATTGTAAAGATAATACAAATAGAATATATATAGAAAAAAAAGATATTCATAAATTAAGACTACAATAGATTGCTAGGAATTTAGATAAAATTTTGAATGGGCTGGGTTTCTCCATACTCAAAATACAATTTATATTTGTTGGACGAGGTAGTTTCGATGGAAGCAAATCATAAAGGGAAATGGATAAATTAGGAAAATTAAACAAAATATGATCCGTAATTCCTTTCTCAATGCGACAATCGCAGAGGAGATTGTCTTTAATTTTAAATTTGACAAGTCGAACTGGGGAATACACATGTCCAATTCTCAGACGACAAATAATTGAAATAGTTTTTCAAATCAATTTCGCCAATACGCTTGCGGAGTAAGAAGTTTATATAATTATGTTACATCAAATTCCTAGATTCTGAAAGCCTTATATTTATTTATTTGACGACGTAAATGTAGAAGTTCATGGTATATTAGTAAAAATTAGTAAAATTTTTGACGTAAGCCCTTCGACCGCTTTACTATATGATTAATTATTTTTCTCTTCGTTGTCTTTGTATTTAGTTCCGGTCTTCTTAAGATGATTTTTCTCAAAATAACACATTTACAGCAACACTGGACACATCACCCTCGAAATTTTAGTCTATGGTTTGTGTCCATTGTTTTTCTACAATGTTATTTTTCTGACTGCTGCTTGACGATAAATTTGGTTTCTCCGTCTGGTGTGTGACTTTTGTGATAGTGTTCGTGCTCGATATTGTGATTTATTAGAAATAGATCACGAAGATGTCGTCACCGAGCGCTGGGAAACGTCGAATGGACACAGATGTCATCAAACTGTATCCTTTCTTTGTTATCGTCATAATACAAAGAAGCTATTGCGTTATAGGGCCACCATGTAAATAAGTGGCGAAAGGGCCATCAGCTGATTGTCATGACCCTTTGTAAAATCGATATGCTAGGTCTATACAGTAGTTTTTCTTTAGTTTCTACCAGTACATAAAGCATAAAAATATTTTGATAAATGCTCCTTGTCATGATCATCAAATATTTATCTACGTTTAATAAGTGTGGGCATTCTTCGTATAGCTCGTTGGGCTTAACGTATCTATATATATCGCTCAGATAAACACCTACCACACGTTTACACACGGAGCTCTTCCGTGTCTACGACGAGATTTTGTTATTTCGTAATTCATATGTAGGCCATGGTCTCAATTGCGTATTTTTTCTATGTATTAGTTGTAGCCTTGCATAGATTATTCTCTATTAAATTATGCTTAAATGTTAATTTATGATAATTGTATTACATACCATTGGGCATTCATTCTATTATGTTTATTTAATAAAGTCAATCTTAGAAACAAAGGCTTTTTGTTGAAAAAGAAAACATAAAATAATCATATGTAATGTTTAAAACAATATCTTTTAAATGTTTAATATTAGCAGTATTTGTGTAATTTATCACTGAAAGGTCAAACTGAAGTTCATTGTTCTGTTGATATTTTGCCAGACTAAAGTGTTGACCTCTAAATATAAATAGGAAATCACCATACACTGTTTGGATGAACTTAAATAAAATGACTACCTTTACTTTAACAATTTGCATGTTGATGTTTGAAAGAAAAATGGACATCAAAGTATGGAGTTTGGTTCAAGTATTGTAGCACCTTGAGTGATATATCATTCAGATCTAATTTAAATAAGAAAATGTCTGATATTCACATGGATGCAAGGGGCTCAAAGTTCCTTTTTATCATATTGAACTTATTTATTTTGTTTTTCATATTCATTAGCATTAGACCTATGCATAATTTATTGAGTTATATAAAATACACATTTAGTTCACAAACCTGATGACACTGCATGCACTGAACATGCCATGCTGCTCCACTGCAACTACGACATGCATATGAGTGGGACAGAATAGGCAAGATAGCTGGGTATTTTCGTAGCCCTAACATGCAATAAGTGTGAGCAAAATTATTGCAATATAGTAATAATGATAAACATTTTTCCACATATCCTCTTAAAATTCACCCCATTTCATAATTATGTTTACCTTTTGAGGCAAAGATCTGGTGATCATGATATTATTGAACTCTTCTATTTTCTTTTATTTATAGAGCATTATAAGACAAGCCTTCAAGTTTTAAATATCTATTTTTATTAAAATTTCCCTCACTTTATTTTTAATATTTAAATTCGACAAAATATACTACATATAATACACAGCAACTTCACCACGGCGATGCTAAAGGTGCCCAGGCATAGGCCACAGACCCTGATGAGGTGCAGAAATAACTAGATAGACATTTTCCAATATAATAGAAGCTTACAGACGCTCGCACTGGATGCATATAAGGCTAGTAAGGCTAATAACGCAACTCCTACATGATCTACCTATCTTATCTCCATGTTAGATTCCTTACTGGGTAGACAAAGATAACCGGGTTTCTAAAGGGTAAGGGTTTACATGCGTCTTTCAGTTTTTTTTCAATTGACTTTTTTTATGATAACTGACATCACTCTCCGAAAATACTAGGCAATGGTTGAAGATGAGTTCACTTGCGCGTTGTCTATGGGTTTCGTAATTAATCTTAAATTTCCAAACAAACAGAGTATAGAAAAGAGGTTGTCTTTTCTTATCACTCTATCAACTGGTTTCCTCTCTATCCACAAACTGCAGAAAACCATCCACTCCATGAGAAGACTTGATCTGTGTACCCCATTCAATTTTTGAAACCCCTTGAAACATAGATTGTCCACAGCTTTCCATCTTATTTAATCAAGCCCGTCTTAAGTACAACAGGCGCCCAGGTGCAGGCAGTGCTCTGGACTGCCTGATTAAAATGGTAGGAACACCTTGTTGTGAAATCTCGTACCTTTTCTGGTTTTCAGGCTCCGTATCAACTATTTAATTTTAATCACCACATAATGTCATCAAAGGATACTTGCCCTGTGAAGTTCGCTCCGAACTCACTGTGTCAGCATCGGGCTTAATCATATATTTCCTCAAAATTATACACTCCATTGTCCTGATATATCCACTGTTAACGAAATAGTGCCCTTTAAATTTTTATCTTGGGGCCGTCCATTAATCACGTGAAGCTGTAAAGGACGGGAGGGGGTTCATATAAAAATAATACAAATAAAAGTAATACATGTTAGAGTAGTAGAGTCTGCACATATACCTATTGTCGAATTAAAATATGAAAGAAGGAAATACGAAATGGGTTGATTTGTATATCGAATGATTATATGATTCCGAGAGAAAAAATTTATCAATATTTTTTTTATTACATAATAGTATTGATTTCTCGCTTACTCATTGTCTGATTAATGCGTACACGGCGGTGACGCGGCGTGCGTGGTGCATTCAGTAACGTCATGTTAGTGAACTATATGTGTATTTTTATAAAAATTGCTGACAACTTTAAATAAGTAATTTTAATATGATGAAATGGAACTATGAGCACCTGTGTCCTCTTATTTACGAGGATTTTTAACATCGTCGTCGTACAAAAAGTTATTTCTCTAAATGAGATTTTTCAAATTATATATTAAAGTGTTACTACCCTACCCTACCTACCCACATATATACGTAACTGAATTGTGCAATAACACGGTATGATGAATATTAATATTTAAAACTTCGTTTTTTTCAAATATATTCTAATAATAGAACTTTTTTCGCTCCATGTTTCTGTTGTTTCTTTAAAGCTAAATATAGTCATATTGGCTCTAAAGCTTTAAAGCTTTTACTAGTTATGAACTACCAATTTTCAAGTCATCAAATTTCGTCGTTTCGTTTTGGCGGGAATATTCTAGTTTAATATTATTTTGTCCACACAAAATACAGACATTCACGACCAACAACGGCCAGACCAGAGGTCGGCAACCTTTTGTTGAGTTTGAGGCGGAAAACCAGACGTACAATTTACGAAATGACAAAAGTTTTCATTCCAGTATTAATTATGTTTGTGAATTTATTTACAACAAACGATTTTAATTATCTATACCTCAATCATATTATAGTACGGATACTTAAAGAGCTTTCAATGAAACTTGAAGGCTTTTATATCGAAAAAGCCTTAGGCTGCTGACCCCTGCACCAGACTACTAGACTGCATATTGATTTTCTGTCTGCATATACTTAATTATTGATATGTGATCACTTATATGTCCATGAGAGCTAATTATATGACCCTGACGGACATTTTCTAATGACTGACTTGTCAGCTTACGAACCACCTTACTTTGCTCAGCTCAGCTCTTCAGCTGTCGTCTAAAGGCCTTAAGCCTGCCATTTTGACAATTATTAGCTTCTTCGATCTTTTTTTTTAATTTAAACAAATAAGTATATAGTCTAACTCTTTTCTACAAATTCTACTTCGTTTTAATGTACTATAACTAGCCGAAGTTCATACGTCAAGCGATATTAAGCTAAGACACCTCTTTAAAGCACATTTAATTCGAAGTCAATCCGAACATCTTAACGATATATTATGCCATTAGCATTTGTAATTTTATATTTATTTAATAATTTAAAGTATTCCCTGAAGTAGTTTATTATGCCGTTTTATTTCAGGACTTCAGAACGATTCGAAAAATACCGGTAAAATAAAGATTTATAAATCAAGCTTTTCGAGAGTCTTTCTAGGTCAAAATGAATGCGGAGCTTACCACAGAATAAAGTACTCGTACCCCGTCCTTTTTTGAGATACAATTTTTTTCAGTGACAGGTTTTTTTACTGTTGCCGTTTCAATAACAAAATGCTAAAAATCAGAATAAAGATAATATTTAAGGGGGCAAGGAACTCTTCGTGCGCGAGTCCGACACACACTTGTCGCTTTTCTTTTCTGTTAACAAAGTAATTGTTATTAGTTAATGTCTTAACAATATATACGTATTACTAGGGGAAGGAGTCTTGATAGTTCTTATGCAAGATCATAAAAATACGTATAGTTGAAGTCATATACGATAAAAATTGGTACAAAGTACAAGTCAGGTTAGCACAATATGTCGATTTTGACAACTACCCTCAATATATTATGGTTTGAAATTGAGTGGGAAAAAGACTGTTCATACGTATCTACAAAAGAAAAAAAAAAACTAAGATACCTAGGTATTATTTCACGTCCTTTCGACGTTTTGTCCGTATTCCTTTGACCATCGAGTTTGAGCTCGCTTGATTTGTCTTGATAGGGGCTATGGTTGAAGATAAAACTACGCAAACCTGTCGAATTTTGGCTCGTTTGATTTGTCAATTCAAGCTCTCTGGTTCAATATAATGTACAACAAAATGTTTAAAAACAAATTTTAAATTATTTCTTATATATTGTTAGAAACTGACTAAATAGATGATGCTAAAAGCTAGCTATCGACATAGTCTAATCTAATTAGTAAACAATGTAATCTTATCATGGTGATATCAATGGTTATAATATTGTTACGTTTTATGATATTACAGTAAAATATTCATACCTCTAGAATTTCTATTTAAGAAGTTAAACAAGTTGCTTTTTTAGTATATTTTAATATGGTAGCTAGTAGAGATGTAACGGATAGTGGTATTACCGGATACCGGATATTCGGCCTTTATCGCATAACATGACCCCATCAGTTTGATTTGAATCTATAGCGTGTATACTCTGAAATCTATTTTTTTTTAATTATGGAGTATTTTTAATTTGGTATACGCTGGAACTATCTTGAATATTTAGCAATACGTTTTGGGTCAGAGTAGCAAAAAAACACGTTGTTGTTTACTAGAATCGGACAGTATAATTATTTCGGTATTTTTATACTTTTGAAACATTGTATCGATGGGAACAAAAACAATAGCAATTTATTTTGTGACGTTCTGTGACGCTATATGGCCTGTTGCGATAAAAAAAAGCTTTAATCGATCTCGTAAGGAGTTAATTCCGTTTTTTAGTTTTTATGTCATTTACTTTGCTAAAAACTCTTTCGCATTCAACATTCGAATGTGGCAGTGATAAAATTGTCAAAATAAACTCGGGCAAATACTTAAAATAGGAATTCCCTGAAGCTGGCCTGGTATATGAAGCAAAGCGGGGTCGCCAACAAAAGCAGAAAGTTTGGTATTCATTCACCACAATTTGCCACTTGTTAATTTTTGCGTATTAAACTAATTAATAAATTTATGTAAAGTGGTATAGTTTTCCTTGTGTCAAATAATGATATTTATGTTTATTTTACTATCCTTAGATATCCGGTCTTCGGTCGGTAGTAAAAATATGGCCGGATACCGGATAGTAACCGGATATCCATTTCATCTCTAGTAGCTAGGGTACAGTCAGTCAAATATCTATCTACGAGTATATAAAATCACCTATTGTGTATTCAACCTATCTGTATAATGTAAACACTGAAAAAATAAATCCGTGACGTTTATTAAAATATTAGTTGAATTGCATCGCATTTGGTAGTTGGTATTTAATAAATATAAATACCGTGTTCTAATCAGCACCAATTTTTATCATCATTCATCTTATTAAGATAACTTAATTGCAATAATAATAATGTTATTCATTAAACCGTCCACACCTAATTCATACAAATGCATTTTGCACTTAAATGAGTGTATGTCGACTCCTCTGATTAAGAAGCACTGTATAAGTGTGTTCATAAGTTAAACATTGAATTTATTTTCCTTGACATCGAACCACTAGTATCGAGAGTAAACACGAGGTGACCATTTTGAGTGGCCTCAACGAATTCTGCGTCAAATTCTTCGGACCTCCTGGAAGTAAGTTACGATTTACTCAACACATTTAGATTTCGTTTTAGGGTTATTTCATAATGTTCTTATCAATCTACTCATTGCTTATTACATACAACACCACAGTTGTGACGTCATAATTCAATACATTATGCATTACTACACTATACACTTCAGAACTTCAAGATAAAGATATTTATTGCTTGAAATATGGTTACATGTAATGGATGTTCATTTGTCATAAATGGGTTCACATATTTCACCGGATACCCGACATGCATTTTTTTTTAAATACAACAATAATTGATGAATAATTGTCCAATTATAATTCCATTTGAATATATAAAATAGTTATTAAAAATGTCAATTAACAATCATCATTAGTTCAATAATAAAACACTAAACATTTTATAATATAAAAATTATCATAATTTGTCAATTATAATAAATATTCCTATTAACTAATTTCACTCCTTTTAATTGGTTTTTGATACAAGTCACGTATGCAATTGGTATTTAAATTGTTTATATGATAATTCGTTTATACTTTGAGGAATTTTATTAAATATTTTGATTGCCGTTATCTTACAGTTTTTATATAGCACAAGGCTGGTTTTCTATATGGTATGATTAATTTGATCGGATCACGTTTACGTACCACAGAATAGAGTTGGTCTCCATGCTTTTTCTACTTTCTCTATAATTTCGCCGAAGCACGTCAGCTTAAATATTTAAATTATCTTTGTTGTTATAATTAGTGAAATGTATTTAGTTTAAAATAGATTAGCTCTCAAATTATTGTGTTTTAAACAGTTGAGAACTTTTTTCATTGCCGGATTAATTAAATTTTTGTACTATTTTTCGTTGGTTTGCAACAATTATTGAAATATCAATAGCAAAGAGAACACACTGATGATTTATTGCAGAAGGCAGATCATTTATATAGAGCAATAAGCTTTTCTTGATTGCTTAATGATTGCTTAATACTTCCTTGGGATACACCGTATCTGTTGGGTTTAGATTCTGATGCAAAACTTGTCAAACAATTACTTTGGTTGAGTTGGGTTATCTCTAAGTATTGCCTACGATTCTTAAGATAGGTCTGTAGCTGTTTTATTGTTGGACCTCTAATACCATATTTTTCACTTTCAAAATTAAACGCTTTTGTCATGTCTCATAAAGTTACCGAGAGGTATACGTTTATCATTAAGAACAAAACTAATCAAATTAAAAGCCGCTAAGGTAGTCGATTTTCACTTTTGGAAGCCCCTTTTTAAAACTGTTCTTTTTTTATAATTACATATTTTACCTAGGGATTTAAAGTGAAGTTCTGTTTTTGGTGTGTGGATAATTTATCACATACCTACTGAAATTTATTTGTAGATCTATTACTTATATTATCTAAGGTTTTTAATAACCTAAAGAAGAAAAAATAATAAGATATTTATGAATTTGATGATTTTTCATTTTCCAGCCCCTTACGAAGGCGGCGTGTGGCGCGTGCGAGTCCACTTGCCAGACCACTATCCTTTCAAGTCGCCGTCTATAGGTTTCATGAATAAAGTGTATCATCCGAACATAGACGAAGTATCCGGCACAGTCTGCCTCGACGTCATCAATCAAGCATGGACCGCATTATATGGTATTTATTTAATAATAATAATATAGTAGTGGAGGTTACTAAAACCTCATCATCATCATCAGCCCTTTTACGTTCCCACTGCAGGGGCTCAGCCCTTCCTTATGGATAGTTAAGCAGGTTGGGCCATGACCCTCCACGCTGGCCCAATGCGGATTGGAGGGTATTAACGACTGCAAATGCAGCCGGAACCAACGGTTTCACGTGCCTTCCGAAGCACGGAGTAGCTCGAGATAATAATTTTTTGGTCACCCATCCCGTGACCGACCCTTGCGAAAGTTGCTTAACGACTACGATTGCGGGCCGCGGCGCTTATCCACTACGCCACCGAGCTACTAGAAAAACCTTACTTGGTTTAATTGTAGTCATACATTAGTGTCGAAGTGGCGCAGTTTTTGGTTTGCGATCTCAAAGTCAAGCAAATTTCGCAAGCCGGTCAAAGAATGGGTGATCAAAAAATTATTAGTTTTTCCGTACTCTGTTAGTCCCGGCTGCTTCTGTAATCATTCCCACCAATCCGCACTAGGCACGCGTAGTGGGGTGGGTCATGGCCGATTCTCCCTATTCATGATAACGATTAATGTACTTCCCAGGTTTCCAAAAAATGGCTCGCTTGCTATAAAAATTAAGATTCTCTGTTCGTGTTGCACGTGCTTCAGTAATACGTTACTAATATACTTATATTATATTGAACGTTATAAATTTATATCGTTCAATGTCCTGAAAAGTTGTACAGTACCTGAAGGTTCTATTTTAGGTCCTTAGTTGGTTTTGATTACCGAATGGATACCAAATACGATTATTTATGTTGATTGCCTTATCAAACCCAAAATTTTCATGGTTTCGATGTAGCTAATTATTTTATATCTAGCATGAACTATACTTACTGTATCATATGAAAGATTCGAACACCAAAATAATAGCTTTTAAGTATCTGTTTATAGAGTAGCTGCGATTGAAATACACATATAGGATCAATAATCTAAGCAACACCATTGAAGTGTTTGAGAAGTAGCAGCTGCGATTGAGATATACACATTGGGTCAATCATCTAAGGTCAATAATTGAAGTGTTTGAGAAGTGAAAATCTAAACTTGGGAAATATAAATTCATAGATCCTGTGCATACAAGCTTAATCTGTTGATATAATTCTTATTGTGTTCACAGACTTATCGAACATATTCGAATCCTTCCTGCCACAGCTGCTCACATACCCGAATCCCATAGACCCGTTAAACGGTGATGCCGCCGCTATGTATCTTCATAAACCAGAGGAGTACAAGAAGAAAGTATCAGGTATGTGGCTGTATCGTTTTTATAAGAATACTGTTAAGGTACATTTTTGATTAGCCGTCATCCTTTTATTATGTAGGGTAATTTAGTTGGAGTTTTTTTTTTATACAATGGGGAGGGATGGTAGTTTTGCTCATATACATTGCTCTGATTCCAAATTATGTGGCTAACGTACTTGTATTATGGATTTTTGAAACAATAAATACGACACATTATCCAGATACGAGATAAAACAGACAAATTTATGTTCTACACTAGTGGCCGCCAGCGACTTCGCTCCTAATAGTTGCAGCGTGATGTTATATAGCCAGAGCCTTCCCCGATAAATGGTCTATTCAACACAAAAAGAATTTTCAAATTCGAACCAGTAGTTCCTGAGATTAGCGCGTTCAAACAAACAAACAAACAAATTCTTCAGCTTTATAATATTAGTATAGATTGACCTGATTGGCAATCGAACCTAGGACCTTGAAGACACCTCGAAATCGGCGTATTAGCCACTCGGCCACGGAGGTTTTCCAAAGAAACGAAAGATCACAAAAAACAATCCTAAGATCACAACCTTAGTGGCTACAAGAAAGAAAAAAGAAAACAAAAACAATGTTAATATGATTTTCCTTTTTAGTTTCTGATCTTTAAAAAAAAAAATTGATCATATTAAAGCGATCTGTTAAAAAATTACTTATTTTATAAGTTTTACATTTACGTCATATGATACAGTACCGGCACGAAAGTATATCCGTCACAGAAATTCAAAATTAAAAAAATCGACGTCAAGAAATCTTACATAAAAATAACAATTGTTCAAAAGGCGGGTAATATATTTAAGAAATATTAATATTTCCGCATTTTTTCTTTCGTGCCAGGTACTGTATATTTATTCGAAGCTCTCCAAACAGGTAGAAGTTTTTCACACGTTCAATGTGTCAGTGTGACTCGAGCCGCTCTGCTTCGCTATCTTTCCTCGAACTCTACGTAGTGCGCAGCGCTGTCACAACTTAGCATAGATATCTAATGAAATCAATCTTTTATTAACGTTATTTTGTTCAACTAAAAAATCACTGCGCATAACATACTCTATAATTCATTGACTCAAAGGCCTTTAAATAAAATATTTTGTATACCCGACCACAGACTACGTACGAAGGTTCGCGACGGAGGAAGCCCTCTTAGAGAAGGACGCGATAACGGGCATGGGCGCTACGCCCGCCTCCTCGGGCTCCAAGTCTAACGGCAACGCCAACAATAACACAGACACAGAGAGCTCCATGAGCGACTTCAGTGATGACGAAGCGCACGACATGGAGTTATAACGCACGCACGCACTCCAACGCTCACACTCTATATTGTCTATGCTCTCCGCTGTACGTGCGCCCGCGGAGGTTGTGTCTGTGACGCAATGTTAACGCATCCGACTGTTCTTTTTGTTTTTAAATGTTTATTGGTGAGGGATATACGCATTGTGCCGTCGGTGGCGTTACTTTGACTTCACCGAAAGTTTTGAGATGCAATATTCGTTTAATGTGGTTTTTAATCATGTAGCTTCGTTTCTCGTTTCTTATGTACAGTCAACAGGACATCAGGTTATACGAAACTTATTTTTTTCATTCGGTATTGAGCTTTAATACGTTGGGATTGAAGTTCAAAGTCGATTATGGATAAACAACTTCTGGTAACCCGATGTCTTGTTGTTAGTATAAAATGAGGGAACATTTTAATTTTGTTTCCAATTATCGTCATTATGCGATAATTTTGTGAGGCAAGTGAAATCTGAATCTGTATGCTTATAAAACAGTGTATGAGTGTAATGTAGCATCCACACATCTAATACAAACTGATTTAATACAATTCCTCACTCCTAAACTCAACATAATAAAGTTTAAAATTGAGTTATTTTTTTTTCGCATAAAATAAGCTGTTACCATTGCAGTGTTCTGTCTCTTTAATATCAATAATCTTTTTTTTAATCAGTTTTGAGTTACACTGTTTATAAGCAAATTGGTTCTTGTTTACATTTGAAATCTTTTCGGGTGTTAATTTAACGTCCCGATTTCACAGCGCGTATCCGCTCGCCGAACTAATCGATGTAAGCTTTTCCTTTTTACATATAAAATGGCACCTTGATATTCGTTAAATAATAAGATGTATGGACTATCGCTCAACATGTGTCTAAAACGCTTAAATATATTCTCATATTTTTTCTATATAAATCATATCTATAAATAAGGATGGAACGGAAATGAAATGGGATGTACTCACATTGAACGTAATCATATCGGGGTGCCTAAATAACATCAGAAATTACTGTTACATACGTATCGGCAGTACGTTAGGTTATCAACTAATTGTCAAAATCCGTAATTCTGAACTCTATTTGTAGTGTACTATGGGTTTTTGATCTAAATATGACAGTTTAGTATAACCTAACGTGTTGTTGATTGTACTTGAAAATAAAAATATCTTACTGACTTTTTTAAAATTCACTTCGGGTCACAGACAAATTTTTTGAAATGAATTTAATGAAGGAAGACGAGCCATTCTTTCTGTATAATCATAGTGAATTTCGTGTTTGCTGCTAACTATGTACATTTTATTTATATCTCTAAAATATAGTGTAAATCTAAAAATCAGATTGTATTTATGGACCATTAAATATTGCCAATTTGTAGATTGTTAGTTCGGAAGTGCATATGGTCAGAGGTTGTGCGATAAAGAAGCGCAGCAAACGGTTTAAAATAAAACGCCTGATTATCTAATAATCAATTTGAAATTCGTGTTTTTAAATATTATAGTTGTTGGTGTGTCGAAAAGTGTTATTGGAAAATAATAGGATTGTCTATGGCTTGTCTTTGGTCGTTAGTGTCTATGCTTATGATAAGCTGCAATATGATAGAAAAAAAGTGTTCACGTTTCGGATTATCAGTAGTACGATATAGTTTGGCTTTGGAGAAACGGATCGAGATCGAAGTAGGGTTATCTCTATTATTAATAATAAATATATGGATCTTATAACAAATGTCAGTTAACTACTTATATTTAGTATTGGTGGACGATATTGTGTGTTTCAATTCGTATCCATTTGAATAATAATGCATATTTGTAATGTCTCGTCATTTTAGAGAGGATTTCGTTTACGTCATTCTCTTTGTGATGAAACTGGGAAAACCAAGTAATGTTAGCAGCTTGCAATATGTGATAGTTTTAATTGACAACACTGCCATTATAATGGAAAGAAAGATACCCTAATGGGTATCTTTCTGTTTAATAACTTACTACCGTTTAGAGTTTATTTAATTTTAAACAACTATCAAAAGCATATATTCTCAAATAAAATTTATATCCGATAGTTAAACGATAGTTAAAAATATGACTATTAAGTAAAATTATATTCGTCCACCATTATTATTTGTATATATAGCTAACGTATTCGTGTTGAAATTTTAAATCACAATTTTTACCTTATAACCTTGTGTACCGCAGCAACGGAGATGCGTGTGAGCGAGACAGCACTATGTAAATATCTTTCTATCTGTCCCCATAGCGTAAATCCAAAATCTAAAACATACGGCCCGTATTGACGGACTAAAGTCAACACTTTATATCTCATAGGTATTTAATTATTTTTTATTAATAGTGTTAATTATTAAACAAACGATGTGTCATGTTTATTTGTGGTTTTTGTCTATCTCCCTCTATGACTAAGGAATAATACTTTTTTTCATTGGCAACACTTGAAAGTTTATAGTCTATGTTTTGGGGTTGACACACTTAAAATCATTTGTATGCATTGTTATTTTTGTACACGGAACTGTGATTTCTTCTTCCTACGATTTGTTTGTTGAATAAAGTCAATTTGTCATAAAGAGGTTGAGAAATTTGATATAGCAGCATGTACTTAGTATAATTGCCCTTTCTATTATTGCTTTTAGATATTTTTCTTAGATCATTATGTTTTAGCTTCAACACCGTTCTGATATATTATTTTTAATTATATTTACTTTAGACGCATTATATGAAATTTAATTGTATTGTCATATAATATTTAGAAATGTATAAAATTTTCTTCTGCTAGTAGATAAATGTAAAATTCGCCTACAAGTGGACAAACATTTGATTACACTTCGTGCCGCTATTACATGGTCATTATATTTTTTTTCTAATGTTGCATTTGAACATATATTTGAAAAGTTCATATTTTCGGACGGTGTTGAATGCTTACCAGAGGCAGTTGTTTACACCAAATATCTAGCATTTCGTTCATGACAACTCGACGAGCGTTGACGCTTCGCTGATTCTGCCAATGTGGATGTTTTGGCCGTATTTGTGGTGTTCTTTTTAGTTAAATCGAATAAAATTGTAACAATTAAAACTGTTTCATATCCTTTTTATAATAAAATCAGTACACTTATTTATATTATGATGTATGATCGAATGGATGTCGGGACATCGTCAACGCGGTCGAGTGTGATAAATAAATTTAATACAAAATAATGCTATTATTAAACAACTAATTTAATATAACAATTTCAGCTCAAAAAGAACATCACAAACAATTGCACAGATCTCTAATACGACATATTGCGAACTCAAAAGTGTTGCAAACGTCTTAATAAATAAGTGTAGGTTACGAATAGATATAAACACGAAGATTATTATTATATATTATGTATCTTTGAAAATGATAACTCAAGCCATAATAATATATTTTGGTATAAGGAGGTAATACGTTAAAATTTTAGTTGTGTACGAAGTTGGATGGATGCTTATCTAATTCTGGTGTCCTGCCAACTGTTTCAGATTGCTGAGTTGTCTAGTTATTAAAATCGCTGTGGTATAGATGTGTAGTTGTGTAAATCGACACTTGCTGAGGTTTTTTATTGTACTGTATTATGATAACATATAAACCGAATACAAACTTGTTATTATTTTTTGAAATATAATATTGTGTGTAGTTTTTTTTGTCAACAAGTGTACACGTTGCATGTGCATATGCTCATGTTGCTTGATCGTCTATTGAATTACTACAATTAACTACATTTTAAAATCTCGATTGATATAAAGTAAGTTCATAAGCACACAATCGCAGTATGTGCAATCGAAAACCTCAGCGGTAACAATTGTGAACGAATAACATAAAATAAAATAAAATCTATGACGAAATTCTATCGAATTGGTTTAACTTTTTTTTTAAATATTTTAACTATTGAAATGTGGTCCCGTCACGATTGTTACTGGAAGTTTATGCGCAGTCGAATTATCTATAGTTTACCAAATTGATAAGGGGGGCATGTTCCCCGTGGAGCGGTTATGTACATGTAACAGAATAAAACTATATTATATTTTTATTTCATTACATGTAATAAACTTACGTTATTTTTAAACTACATTTGTGTTTGATTTTCCTCTAGTTGGTAACTGAAAAATATGAAGTCAACAAAGTAATATACTGAGTAGTTATGCGAGGGGCTAAAACCCATTTTAAACGAGGTAATTTTCCATTGCAAAAAATAAAATATTCTAAAAATACGAATTGAAAATTAAAGAAACATTAAAAAATCTTGCATTAGCGCTTTTTACCCGACTGCGCAACGCAAAGGAGGATAATGTGTTTATGAGTCTATGTATGTATGTACATATGTTAGTTCCTATATTGTATTGTAGAGACCAAACGGCATGGTCAATTTTGATGATTTATACGTCAATCGATTTGTCTTAGCCTTGCGAGTGTCACATAACATATAACAGTAATCAGAATTCATCTATGCAACTAACAGACGCCATATTGTCAAAATGAAAAACAAAACCGACTAACCGTGTCAAATGGGGTATCGTTGATTAGGTATTTAATAATACAATGATTGTTGGGTTTACTTCGTCTTTTTTTAGGGTTCTAAAGTCCCTACATGGAACCCATTATAGTTTCGCCATGTCAGTCTGTCCGCGGTCTAGCTCAAAAACTATAAGTAGAAAGTTGTGATTTGGCACGAGTATACACATTAATAACGCCGAAAGAGTGGTACAATAAAATCGTGAAAAACCTTTTTTTTATGGTACCTCCTAACATGCAATGTGGGGCTTTATTTTTACGATTTCCCTATAGTGTGGGATATTGTTGGATAGGTCTTTCAAAAATATTAGAAGTGTGTGAAGAAAATAGATATACCTAGTGAGCCGTTCGCAAATTATTAAGCTATGAAGTGCCAAGAACTACTTTGGACCGAGCTGTGGTTGTCTTAAGTTCAAGGATATGTAGCTTTGAGCCGAGTGATGATCTCTAGAGGGACTAATAATCACTAGATTAGACTACCGCATGTTGCTTAATAATCCTCACAATATAAAATCCCTCAATAAAATGACAAGGTTGCAAAATTTACCGTCTTATAGTTCTAATAAAAAGTCAATGAAAACTAACTAAAAAATGTAAAATAAATATTTAATTATAAAAAAGACCTGACTGTGTGAAAACAAAAGAAAGAAGTGCAAAAAATCTATAATTACTTTCATTAAAAGCTAAAAAGGAAAATACATTACCCTAGAGGCTCCAGGTATTCTAGACAATGCATAAGTATCATTTGGAATACCTGAATTATATACAACGTGTCCCAAAATTCAACGATAAGCGGGCGCCAAGAGGTAGACCTGCTCATGTGTACTTATGGAAAAATAAAAAGAATTATATCTTATTAATCTTTTTTATTTTACACCTGTAGGGTATTGAGACCTAAGTAAGTATAAAAAATAATAATAATACCTAAAATTAAAGGTATATCAGACTGAACAGATACAATTACAGAGTATTGTCGTGTATCGATACGTATTAGTGGCAACACTATTCTCCAATGATTACTCTACGGCTAATATAGAAAAAGGAATTGCCATGGCTGCTAGTGAAATACAAGGATTAATTAATGTCAACTGAGTTTCTACTCAATATATATTTACAACAACTTCCTGATACATCAAAAGTATCATTTGCACAATCAGCCGTCATGTCAAAGACTGTAGTTTAGGGCTGAAATTATTATGCAAAATATTCTTAAACCCTATATTATTCTATAATCCATTGTAGATAACACCAAAGCATAAAAAATTGTTAGCATATCTAAACTCTTTGCAATTTCTCAAAATGAAACTTTTTTTGGTAATTTTATCTATGTGTATATGGAAGCGAAGTTTATTATCTATATATACACCAAGGTCTCGTCCTAAAGTAGTTTCTTCAATTACACATTTTGCATTTTTAGTGTTGAGATTGATTAAGTTCTGTTCGCACCATAGCGAAAACCTATTTAAATCTTCCAGAAGCAGACGATAGTCATCAAAATGTTCAAGATTTTTAACAATCATAAAGTCATCAGCATAGAAATGTATTTGGGAGTGTATAAAACATGGTGCCACATCATTAATAAAAATATTGAAAAATATTGGTCTCAAAAGTGACCCTTGGGGCACACCCGACGACAATTTTAGAGGAGAATCCATTTATTACATTCATAGAAAAACGACCAAGAAGATAGATGCACACCAACTGAGGATGTTGGCAGAAATACTATACTGTAATAGGTTGTGAATTAGTATTCTGTGTCTGGTCAAATGCCTCGCTGAAGTCGGTATAGGCCACGATATTACAGGGTAAATAGTTGATTCTAAAAACTTCGGCAAAAAAATAATTGCCTCATGCATACACAGAACATTTGTTTCAGAGGTCCGGACGTCATAGCGACGCCATGACATACGTGGGGTAATACGCGGGAGATTTTGAATATTAAATTTATTTTTAGATTTTAAGTTATATAAACGAATGATACACTAATGACTGATGAACTAACGATGACTAATGAATGATACTTTTTTAAATATATTTCATGTAGGTATATCAATAAAATAGAAATATAAAAAAGTTGTCTACACCCCTATTAAGTACCGTGGCATTTAGTCCCTATCGTGTCTCTAACTGATAAATATGGTCTTGACGAGTCAAGAATTTGTTTCAAAATTCGAGAAGGTGGCGCTGCTGGACTAACACTATAAAAATAGTAAATGTTGTTATAATATTGTATTTCACATAAATCTCATAATTTTGGAGAAAAACACGTGTGTAGGGAAAGAAAAACTAAATAAAATGAAACACCAAAATTCGATTTATTAACATAACTCTATTAAAAATAAACATTTTAACAACAGGCTTTATATACAGCTCGCCATATCTATCTACACTCATACACAACGCTTCGCTAAAGGTGGAAGTGTCAAAATCACTCTAGGCTTTATAAACAGACCATTATCGTGTGACACCATCGAAATACACAGTAAGTATTTTAAACAGTGCACAAATATATACTCAACTTTTGGTAAAGTTAATAGAATGTAAAAAAAAATATATTTAAAATGTATATAGATAAAATTTGGTCGTTGGTCTCTGGTTATACTAACACTGTGTTTACAGAATTATTTTTTCTTCTTTATATCAAATGTTTAATGGGTTTAAAAAAAAATTTATTATAAAACACCAAAATTTTTGCACTTTTTTAAAAATCTGGAGTTAACAATTACAATGCAATAAAACATACAACGTAAATAGAGCGACAAAACTATCGCATTTAAGAAAAAAAAATAATTATAACAATGAAGTATTACTTGTTTGCAATATGTAAAAATAATAATATCCGTATCGCATAATATGTATATTTCAAAATATAATTATATTCTAGAGTGATGTCGACGTAAATGCTAATCTGGTGCGTAGCAATTATTTATAATACATTTAAACGTCATGTATCAATCAGCAACGCTATGTTGGATTCTGGACCTTATTTTCAGTGCGTTTACGATTATCTTTCTACAGGACAGTGAAATGAGCAGTTGCAGCAAAAGAAGGAGCATTAGACATGTAAAGTCGGCATCAGGTCAAGTTATCAAAGAATGATCCACTGATGGAAATCCTTAATCTGTAGATAGTTAAGTTCAAAATTGATTGCCTTTATTTTATTGTAGACTTCCGAAGTAATTTGCTGTACAGCTGTGTGTTCAATAATATGTCATATAATATATTCAATAAGGTTCTATTATAACTAATATTATGTAATACAAATCAAAGTCAAAAGATTTACATCAATACAGTATATAAATCTTAATGAATTAATCACTTTGACCCTGGCGCTCTCGAGTGGATTTTTAAACATTTTTCATTAAGAATATATTTCACTATAGCATTGTGAGTGCAAAATTAATTCAATATAACAGTATATAGTTGTAACAATAGGCCAATAGGGTATTCTACTCCATTTGAAATAGTACTTGTAATTTTATTTTACCTTAAAAAAGCTACAAAACAAATATTTGGGAGAAATAAACACGTTTTCTTGCCTTAAAATTAAATCAAAATTTAAACTATTTTTATACCCGCGAAAATGCTGTCCGTCATATTTATGACGTCATTGTTATATGTACACAAAACAGATGCATAGAGTAGAAGATTAAAAGATGTCAATAAAACAAGAACAATGCCATCTAACGATCGATTATGAAATAAAAAGATTTTAATAACCTAACAACAGCGCGATCTAGGAATCTGATTTATAATTATTAGCTACATCTTTATGACTAATATGACAGTTGTCACAGTGACGTCACAATGGCGGGACGTGTTTCAAATAACGTGACAAACAGACATAATAAGTTTTAATTTTAATATAATAAAATAATCGTGCGATTAAGACTCAAAATCAGAATCTCTGTTTATAACGATGTAAATTTTGGTTTTTGTGCAATTTCGTGACTTATTTTTCACTATCAAAACTACCCTATTGACGTATCGTAGACAGCTACCGTGAGTCGCAGAGCCCAAGCTGTCATACATTCGCTTGGGATACACCGCTCAAGAAACATAGTTGTTACTTCAATCTTGCACATTACAGTGCTTTGTGGATTTTATTTATTATATTGGGATCCCGATAGGTTATTCACGTTTGCATACTTTGAATAACCAATGTTTTCTCAACTAAGTTTGCGATCGAAGATTGCAAGTCTCTACAATTAAATGTTTGGTTTTGCTGCCTTCATATATGAATACACACGCAAAAGTTTAAATTTACCAACTTTTAGCCATAGCTAATGACAAATCACAATCAATTTAGAACTCTATATTCAACGTATTAAGGTTAAAATTGAATAGGGATGACGACTAATTTTTGTTTGTATGTCCATCAGGTAGAGTGTAAAAAAACATTAAACACATATTTTTTTATTTCTTTCGTAATCATTAAATTACGGCGTTACATAGAGTTGAAATTTCGCATGACGTCACGTTATGGAACGTTTTCTACTAAACTGTGACGTACCGAGCCCCCACTCCTCAACTTTATTGCCTGTTATCTAAGCTATTTCTTGTTAAATTGAAGTAAAAAAAATACGTATCTAATATTTTTATATTATTTGACTGACGGACTAAATAGAATTGCCCTTTTTTTACCCAGTCGTCATCCCTATTAGAATAATAGAGTTTATAAGGACTAAAATCGAATAGCTCGGATTCATTTTGGTACATTTTATCGTCAGTCAGGATCATGATCAGATCAAAGTTGCGGATTGATGACAAAAATCAAATTATAAATATGTGATCCACTTCAATCTGGCATCAGTCGATACATTACACGATCAATCTGATCTAGATAACGGATTGACGCCAGATCGATCTACTTTCTAAGTAATCATCCCAATCATCCCAATCAATCCGAACATAACCCATCAAAGACCAAAGAAAATCTTATAACATCAATCCATATCATTAATAACACTCAAATGCATCCTCAACAATTTCTGTATTTGTTCTTTGTCAATTTCAAGTATAATCATTATAGTATTTTCTTTCATTATCATCATTATCAGTCCGCATAATTATAAAACTGTACTTTAGATCTACTAATGTTTTTTTTGTTTCCATAAATTAATTAGATGGCAAACTTAACAGGCCCGATGCTGAATATAAAAATTACACCACTCAGTTTACTCTATAGGGTAGCCTACCCTAATACGTGGAGTAAATCATAGGCCATTTATAAATATTAATTGGATACGAATGCGATTGTGTAGCACAGGCAAAAATACATCAAAATTATAATTAATAACTCATACATTCACTACTATTATACCACATTTCTTTTACCCATAAACATGTTAAATGTTAAAATATATCTAAAGAAGTTAAACCGCCTTTTGGTATATTTTGATCTCGCTTTAAGAAGAAGTATTACTGTGCTAGGGCATGAACAACGATGCCTATTAAATTTTTCAATTCCACTCCCTAGCAATTGACTATGCGAATCTTCTATGTATTTATTAAAAAGGGATAACGCTAGAGAAAAATACCAAAGAATGTTCACAGAAATTACAGTTATTAAATTACCATTACCAAAGGCGTCGTCGGGAATTTTATTTACTACATAGTACATTATATTAATGTCTCAATAGTACTGATGAGCAAGCGATAATTTTTTTAAGGATGAAGGAAGGCAGAATGACAAAAAGATATAAAATAATAATAATTTTAGTTTTAATGGATATCAAAGTTCGATATTATCATCCAATTAAAACAGGTTCTTGTTATAAATATAGCGTATTTGTAATATCAGCCTTTTCCCATGGCAATAAGGGTCAATTAGCAGCAAACTCCAAGACAGCCTTAGTAAGTTTTCAGTATAAATAAACTATTATTAATTTTAAGCATTCATATCAGAAACTTACCACTTTATCAAAATTAACTTTATTTCAATAGAACGTTTTTATTCCTTTTTAGTATATTTCGTCCTTTGAAACAGGTGAATAGCTCAGCCATACCGCCAAATCGTATTTTTATTAAGTCTAAACTCTTTTTCTATGCCTTTTTTATAATTCGCTCTTTGATAATGACAAAGGTACTAAGCCATACTGCCAAATTTTGTAACATAATTCGTTTCATTGTCTTTATTTAGCAAAGAAGGATCTTTGCGAGCAACTCGCTCTCTCGTTTTGTTAGTTAAAGGCAAGTCATTAGCCACTTTATGTTACACCAATACAAACATATTTTAATTACCCGTTATTAAGAAAGAAAAAGTTCGTTTATTTTTTCTTTAAAAAATAAGCTATAACACGTCATTTTCTGAAGTATTTGGCATTAAATGTATTATGTAAATTTTTTTCAGGTTCAGTTTCACTCAGTTAATCATTTCATCACATCCATGATTCCACATTTGTGTTAATGATAGCGCAAAACTAAAATAATTTAATACAAGTTTACAATGATGTGGATATTAAACAGATTATAGAATGGCGTCAAAATATTCAAATAAGATTTGTCTATTCAGCATATTAAAATTAAAAAAAATAAAACTAGCTTTAATTTAGTTAATTGTATTTAACAAGTTAAGCCCTTTCATTTTATATCTATTATATTGAGTGGGTTGTTCAGAAAATTGTACGGCGCCATTTTGTCACAGCGGCCATTTTGGATTAAAAATAATACCGATTATATATAATTGCACAGTCATCAGAATTTAACTGTATTTCAAATTGAAGCTCAAATGGAGATTGCGAAGTAGGTGAAATTTATCTTGTAGGATTTTATTACAGAAACACAAACATCGGGCTAGATTAAATTAAATATAAGCTTGTAAAAACAGTTTATCTAAGCTTAAATAATATGTATGGACATATTATTCAATTTGGTGCTAAAAAATATGGTTGATATAAGATTATGTTTAAATTTAACCGTTTTGGACTAGACCACGTCGGTGATGGTCCGAAATACGCCATAATCTAAAAGCAGTACAGTTGTAATTCGTAATTTACGTTAATAGTACACGAAACGTCCTAAAACTTCACAAATTATGCAATCTAGCAATAAAATTAAGTCTTGTTTAAAATTCATGAGCATTCAAGTAATGCTACTTATATAAAATCCAGTATATAGATATTGCAATTATCCAGGATTCCATGACGATATCTAATATGGATATGACAAAACCAATCCAGGTTTATTATTGATTAAGCGATAGAAGTTTCAATATTTATTTTTTAATCATAATCAAGGTTAGCATAACAAATAATATTTTCTCAAGCCAGCTTAAATAACGTTTTATTGATAAAAAACAAAACATTGTGTCTAATTTATTAATTTTTATATTTGTCTTCAAGTCTCATCATATTTCAATATAATATAAAATTAATATTAATATAACTTGATAAAATACGTAGTATTAATCTTTATGAATAGAAACCCAGAATCCAAGTCATATCCATACTAATATAAACATTTAATCTAATCGTCGTCACCAAATCGCATTACCTATTCTTATGATTGATACTAACGTATAAGAATTAACAAAAGTGTCTGCGAGCAGGTGCACTGAACATACTTTGGTGGTTCTAACCGATAATTAGTCCGCAGCCAAACTTGAACTGTTGTTTGGCTTGATTGGCCATGCCAGACAGTGCGAATGTGAACGGTAAAGGTTGCAGTTTCTTCTCTAGAACCGCACCAATATTCCAGTTAGAGTCCACCATGCCTATGAAGAATAATAAAAAAATTCAAAAAAGATATGTCAAAAAAAGAAAAAATATCCTTGATTCTATTTAGGGATTGTAAGAAATATGTAATATGCTATTTTGTGGCGACATCAATCTTATTTTACAGAAAGTTTCAACCCAACATTGAAAATTGATTGAAATTGAAATTGATTGAACGTCTTGTTTCAATAAAAATAACATGGAAAATACAACTCGTGAGGTGTATGTCTCACTCACACTCAGCGGGTGTCTGGTGCGTGGATATTAGTGAATCGAGCGTTAGCGCGATATTCGACTCTTTATGATCGGTCAACATTTCCTGCGTTTTGAAATTCACCTAGTTAATGGTTTTTAAAATGCTAATACACACCTCTGAAGACAAGTTCTGCTTTCGGAATGTTGACTTGATATCCGATTGTGCCAACGGATTCCATCCCTCGGAAAGATGTGTCCATTTCTGCTACGATCTATGGTAATACAAATAACCCTGAACTGTTAATATTGAAAAAAGCTAAATGATAATAGTATGTGACCTGTATTTGGATTTCATGACAGTGAAGCAGCAGCAAGTTTGGCAGGTCCAGTAATAGGATGGGTGTCCAAATACCAGACATTTCGTTCATAACTCAAATTCTAAATAAAGAAGCTATTATTATCACTCGTATTATGGAAATCTAAATAATGAAGGCACCACAGGCTAGACCTGAGACAAAATAGAATATTTCGTTTCTATGTTGACCCGAACGGGAATCGGGTTGAAACCGGAACCAAACTTAAAGTGCTTTCTGTAACAAGGAGCCAGACATAATGTTTGGTTACCCATGCTATGACAAGTTGTTTAATTTGTGCATCGAAGACCGAAAACGCTACCCACTGCGCCGTCGAGCCCCTTTAATCCAACAATATTTACCTGTAACTGTTCACTGGCTTGTTTGAAGTAGCAAAGATGGAAGCCCGCAGAGCCCAATGTTGCTGACACTTCAGAATCTGATAATAAAATAAAGTAACAATGAGACTTAATTAGTATTTCATTTTTTTATAGTAAGTTAACAGTATATTTTAATATGTAAACATAATTATATAATAGTTGAATCTACGAGATTTTAGAAGCAATTTTTGTAAACTTTATCTCTGATTTTCTTACATTAAAGAAAAATGTGACTAGAACTTAAATTAATGAATACAATATCTATTCCAATTTGTCCTTACAATTTTTGTTGTAGAGTTCTAGACTTTGAATCATCCATTATGTCTAATAATGCAATGTTTTTCAATCTATTTTCTAGATTTATGACTATCCCTACAAAGGTACAATTATTAGATTACATAGACAACAGGACTGTCACAAATGCTAACTTACCATCCATGGTGTACCTTGCTGCAGCTGAAGTTATAGCGATCTCACCTCCCATCACTCTGGTGCCAGATTGATAGACTAGTTCCGCACCCAGAGCTAACCGTTTTGTTACAGACTAGTGCAGAAAAGGTATGTACTCAATAACAAAAATCACAATATCTGGGGATAAAAGGATCTTAGAAAAAAAAAAATTGCTGGTTAAAAATTTAAAGAAATATCAGACTACATTACTTCCTACTGAGATCTTCCTCACTACTAACTGAATTATGTACAGAAGTAATTCAATTATTTAATTTCAAATCAAGTTTAATATATGAATTTCATATCAAGGAAAAACTAAAGCTTTCTGAAAGTAAAGAAAGTAAGTTCAGTTTTTTTATGTAAAAGATAATATTAAGTAAAAAATATGTACCTGTAAATAGTGTCCAACGAAAACTGCAGATTTATCACTGAAGTCAGGTTTACCAACTGCCATAGCCAAAGTGTAGTCAGAGCCTTTGTATTCTAGAGTTCCCTGTGTTGCTGTAAGCTTGCATTCTTGAACCTGGAGGTATATTTAGATTTAATATTATTGTAGTTTTTTCCATATTAAATGATAAATCACCGAATTTTGTAGAAATGTCCATTAAGGTTTAGTGACAAATTTAAGCTCTAGTGAATGTTCTAAATTTGAAAATTTGTATCAGTAACGTAGTTTCAAATTAATGACTTGTTTAAGACATTTGTGCAGCATAGGGCCTTTTACTAGCCTTGTGTAGTTTTTGAATTGGTTGTTCAATTGGAAATAAGCTACTAAGCAAGTCAAGCTCTTTCATTAGTTCATTCTTATCTCAATTGGTTCATTTCTTATTTGAAGTTAAGTGGAGCGACATACAAGTGTTCATATGAACAATAAATACATATCTTTTCCCTCAAGTGGGCGATTTTGCTCATGTCTTACGTTAAATAGGGTGTTTATAATGAGATTTTATAAATTACTCTTATAATTATGTATATCTTTTTACTATTTTTAATGTTGCGAAATCATTTGTTTGCTGCTTGAGCTGTTGTCATGCAGCAGAGCAGACTAAAAAAACTGTAGGGCACAGCCTAGGATATAAAAATATGATGGTTGGGAGCATGATTATGGATTTTATTTTTGGTCTTTGATCACTATAAAATAAAAAAAAGATATAACATTAATAGAATAATGTCAATTGTTACATATGTTTTTAATTAAACATACATTTAAAAAGCCAGTAATTACCTGTGCAGCTCCTTTAACTCTAATTTCAGGAGTGAGTTGATGAATGAGGTTGAAGTTAATGTTACCGGACGGATCGACATCTCCTAAGACAACTGGGAATGCTTCTGTTGGGGAGATTTGCTTAGTGCCAATGTATGTGGCACCCAGTTTGTAACCATTTTGTTGCGAACTCATTGTCAATGTGTGTGACATCTGTAAGGAAAATAAAAATTGACAATATAATAACACCAATGTTAGTCTTTGCCATTTCTAATCATTTAGGTTAAATAAAATTAAGACTTATAAATTGTGTTGGTTGGAGTTGTAAGGAGCACTGCAGAAAAAGATTTTGATAACAGTTCTTACATAACCAGAGTGTGTTTACAGTTTTCTCTTCAGTGCTGTGTTACACTTTCACCAACCACATGAGAGCTCTGTAGTCAGCACAACATTGTCATATTCTGTATAGGGGTGAAAACTTTTAGTTGGGGATATTTGTTTTACATTTGTTTGCAAGTAAATGTGGCATTTAATAGCATAAAATTCATATGCTCATAAAATACAGACTTATATCATACCTGGAAGTGATTAGAAATACCCTTGTTGACCATGAGCTTTCCACCCTCAAAGTTGACTGGCATGACATCTGGTGATAAAAAGCCATTTGCTATAATGTAAAAAATGACTTACACAAATTGTGAATTGTGGTCACAGACTGCATTTGTGTTACTTTATGGTTGATTCTAAGATTTTTTTTTCTCTCAAAATAAAATCCTTTGATCTACACGCCATACCAGTATCCATGTAAAATTTGGAAGGGCTTCTAATCTTATCTCTAGGTAAACATGCTCTATACATGCATTCAATTAATAATTTAGAATATTTAAAAGGTGTAGGAATTACCTGATCTATGAGTGGCAATAGTTTGTTTACTGAACCAACCCTGTATACTCTTAATATTAGCATGATTAAAAGAGAGATGCTCTATATTACATCACAAGATAACCAAACTTTTTGATCTTAAGAAATGCTCGTTTTTCTGACTGGACGTACATCAAAAAATTAATTAAGCGTTCCTCCAAAACATGGGGAATTGTTGTTATCACAAAATAACACATATAGTCTGATAGGAATCTTACCTTTGGTCTTTTTGTGCAATTCGTCTAATGTCCCGGGGTTTTCACGTTTATTCTCATTTTCTATGTTTTTCAGATCTATACTGGTAAGTCCTGAGTTAGCGACACGATATCTGCTAGCTATAGCTCCCATTCTAATGAGGTATGCGATATACTTTCCCTAAATTCCTCAGAAATCGATGAACATGTGCAACAAATCTGTGGAATTATTAAAAAGACAATCTTCTTCTTCTTCTTTTTAATTAATGGCGATGCCCTTATGGATGCAGGACGATAGCAATGTGAAGTTGACAGTAGGAGTTAACCTATTTAACCATAGAGAAAACGTAATTTTTATGTATTTAGAAATTTAAGACAACAATAATCTACGAGGATCATCTATTTATTTTTCTCAAAAAATATTGTGTAAAAAATTGTTTATATATTAAACAATTTTTTAATTTATCTTCTTAAGTGCTATCCATATCGTCGACTTTATAAAGCTTACATAAAAAAATTGTTTATCTACTTGATAACGGTGAATTCTTTACTTAATATCTTTTTTTATTATTACAAAACTTACAATATTTTTTTATGATTTAGTATTTATGAATCACATTATAGCTTAAATATAAATTATACATTTAAATTTTTTTTCTATTTACGCACGCAAACACCAACAAAGTCAATTCGCTATCATTTGTCGCCAACGAATTTTTCTTATTTTGTTGGAGTTTCATGAATTTAGCACAAATAGGCAAATAGTTTACCTCTTTCATGAGGACTTTCCATTCTTACATGTCAATATGCCAACATCTTTCGGTTGACTTAAAATTCAAAAAGTTGTAAACATTTAAAATATTTTATTTTAATATTGTACGGAATAAAAATGAACGTCAATTATAGTTCACTATCCGACTTTATTTAACACAGTAAAATTACAAAAATAATCTAACGACAAATTCACACTTCAACTTCACTATTTCACGTCACTAATAAGACTTCACAACATTATTAGATCGTTCACCGTACTAGTTATCGCTTCGAGTTACGATTCCGACGCTCTCGCTTTCAGATCGCTTGTTCACTAAAGAATGTTGGGACGGGTAGTTCACCGCGTATTTACAGGGGCCGATACCACATCTAAAATGTTCTAGGATAGAACTTTTAAAACACAACTTTAACTGGTTTATCTTACATTAAAAAATTATACCAGGTATACGACGCGATTTTATCATATATTTTCAAAAACTAACTGATTCCGACACATCGATTTTTTTACTACCTTTTTGTTGATTCTCTGATGACGAAGTATTTAAAAAAAGAAAGCACTAGATAAGCTTTTCCACTAGATGGCGAATCTAGCAAAATTTGATTTTTTCACGTAACGAATGGACCAAAGATGGTTATTTCCGTTCTTTTTAACTAACATATAAAAAATTCGAAACTTGGATATCAAAAAATGTTGGTGATGATGTTTTTGTAATACTCCCTCTTTCCTGCTTTTTTTTTATTTAATTAATGGCTTATCTGCACATTTTGCACAATTCTGCCAATGTCAAGTAAATAAATTAATTTTAAGTAAAATGAAAGGGTCGTTTTCACAAAAAGTGTACATTTGTGTTTCATCCATGTCCCACTACTTTCGTATTTTTTTTAAAGTAGTATATCAACGTTCAAAAGCAACTACTGTTAAAATTAAAATCTATGGTTAGTTAACAACAAAATTAATTAACGTTTTTGCTAATAAATACAAACCTGATACTTTATTTTTTTTTTAAATAAACAAGTCATTGTCGGATTTACTGCTGTCCTGTAAGCAATTTCCTTAGTATAATGTAATATAAACGTATTTTTTAACTCGCATTTTAATTGTGTTTAATTTATTGGGAAGAATAGTTATGCCCCATTTCTTATATAATTACGAAAAAAGTCTTACTTTTTATTAAATCAGTCAATATGGAAAATTCCCTTCCGAAACCGCATTTTTTCCGTGATGGTGCCATACAATATACCATTTTTGTTTAATTTTCTTCAAATGGCAACGTTTTTGATCACGTTGACTTGTTTCGACAAGATATTCGGCCAATTTGACGGTGACGAGCGGGCGAGCAACTTTCACCACCGAACGGTCCAGTTTCGTTTTTCCAAAGCCGCAACCAATTTCAAAGTAAGTTTACAAGTCCATTTCTTTCAAATTATTTCGATATCATTATTATCAATAACTGAACTTAATTTAGTGCGCAGCTTGTAGGTCTAATGTGTTTGTTTCAATTAAATAAAACAAAAGTCTTTTAGTTTACGCTTCCGATACTTCCGTTCCGTTTCCAAAACACAAGTAATTTAAAAATCAACATATTTTTAATATTGTACACTTTTTGTGAAAATGACCCGAAAATGAAATGAATGAAAGGTGTTTTCCTAATTCTAATACTCTCTCATTGCCGCTATAAAAAAGTCATCATCCATTAATGTCAACTTCAAAAGTGCCAGTGACAACCCTCTGACAGTTAGCAATACAATAGGGTATTTGACACTTTTCCGAAAACTACTTTAAATCGTTGTTTGCTACATTATAAGCACACTGTCATTATATTTCATAGGAATCTTATCTATTTTTAATGATAATAATTGTTAAAATTTAAATAGCTAAAATCGCGCGAAAAACGCTGCTATACGTAACGTCGCTGATCGTGACGTCACAGGCCAGTAAATATGACAAATCGAAAAGTCACAACTCGGCTGTCCCATTTCAAAACCTAGTAAGTCTACAAAAAGTAGAAATTATGTTTTTTTGTTAAAAGTGGTTTTTCAATAAGTCTCCACAAAATGCCAAAATGCCCTATATCAAAATTCACTTCTATCAAAAGTTATAGGGTACCCTAAACCTAGTAAGTGCTTCTAAATTTATGAAAAGTTAGGTTTTAACCATTATAAAACCTAGTATGTATCTTTATCTAGTTACTGGGTTATGAAGTGAATAAATGTATAGAAACAATATTTTGTGGTTTTCGTAAGACATTAAAATATTGAGTTACTAAGTTTTGCTAACTAAGTTTATAGTAGTAGTAAAGGTAAAGATTTTCGCTGTAGTGTAGAAGTTTATCGACAAACAATTAAAAGACTTAATATTTCATGTAATATGCCAAAAGACAATAAGTGCGCGGGTTGTTCATTTTATGAAGTAGAAATTAAGAAAAATACACATAAAGGTACTGAAGTGCCAGAAGATATTTCGACTAAACAAAGAGAACATCAAGAAAAAGTTAAATTAGCAATGGAACCATAGACTAGATCCGGGTTCCCAAACTTATGTCGTCTAACTTATGCCCACTTTGAGTATTTAACTTAAAACCAGTATAACTTCAAATTACATTAATTATTGGGAGCTATATTAGTGGAAATTAAAAATTCATTCTAAAGAAGACTTAAATTTATTTTATTTATTCAATAAAACAGGACAAATATGCATATATAAATTACACTGAGAGAAATATAGAACCGAGTTATTATGAGCAATCTCTTAATTAACATTATGTGTTGATGTTCACAACTTATAGTTCGTAGTCGAAAGCTCAGTCAGTGTCGAAAAGTCCATGTAGATAAAATCACAAATCGCCGTTTAATAACTTTAAATATAATGTCTAGCGTTATCGTGAACTAACAGTGGCGTAGAGCGATTGACCAGCCTCGGTTGTTTACCAGCTAGTTTTTCCAGCATGGTTTGCACTTGCTGACAATAGTCGTCTGCCGCAATCGTCTGGCTAGATTTGAGAAAACCCTAATGAACGACACCGGCACTAGTCCACCGAACGCTTACAAGTAACTTTTTTGGGGTCAATTTTCGTTTGGGGCAGGATTTAGCTGGTCCTGGTCATCAAAGGTCCAACCATTGCGATGAGCGCTTCCGATTATCGTAGAGAATCGACTTTTCATCACAGATAATGATTCGATTAAAAAACCCTTAATTATTGTGCCAGTTAAATAATGTAACGCAGCAGTCGAAGCGCGTTTACCGGTTTGCTTCTCTCAATTCGTGAGGTACCCACCTTTCAAGCTTTTTAATCTTTCCCATTTGCTTCAAGTGGATTAAAACAGTTTTATCACTAACACCGCAGCCTGCAGCTAACTCGGACGTGGTTTTCGATGGATCCACTTTCACAATACCATTCAAATTATAAACTTGGGTCTACGGCCGTCCATGAGGCTCGAAATTTCCAGAACGAAAACGTTGGAACAAAAAACGTACTATGTTTTCTTTTGCGACATAACCGCCATACACATCATTAACCCTTCGAGCCGTTTCCGCAGCACTGGTACCATGGTAGAACTCGTACTCGTAAATAACACGATATTTAAATTTTTCCATTTTTAATACTGGGTGACGTATATAAGACAAATAGAAAAAAAAAACAAATGAATGCCGCCTAATGAAACACAAATACATGTGTAAATGGCTGTATAAATTTGAATTTACTAGATTTTGATCTGGATAAGCTGATTTTTAGCTACTATGTTAAACCAGATCAAAATCTAGTAAGAGAACTTACTAGGCTTGAAATGGTTTTGGAAGTCAATTTTTACTAAGACGTTTTATTGTTAAAAATATTTTAGCTCATAAAATTTGTAGAATGAAACTTAGACAAATAATTTATATATCAAATTAACAGTTTCAAACTACTCCTTCTTGTAAATAATAATTTCTCAACAGGTGTTAAATAGTTTAAAAGAGCTACCTTAAAAAGAGTTTTTTTGCTCTCCTGTAAAATTTAGTCCAAAACAGTTACTAGGTTTTGAACTGGGACAGCCGAACTGTCTTAAGTGGTGCGTAGTGCCACAATGTACTAATACTTCTATAAATAACAAACAAACTTCGAGTCTAGAAGAAAATAGATTAATGATAAATTAACGCTTAAACTCCATTAGGGATGTTCCAATATACACCGACTTATGTAGCGAGAGAGAGATGGAGCTTATTTCATGCCAGCTGTGAGTTTAATAAAACACTCGATATATCCAGTACGATATAAATCGGTTACAGTTGATATCGATATATCGCTTCACAAATCCGATATAATGATAGGTCTTAAGTAAAATTAAAAACTTTATTAACCGTAAATAAAATTCGTTGTGTCATAAATTTATTTTTAAAAATCAGCTAATTATGTTCGGTGGCGTCTATTGAATTTAGGAACAGTAATTTGGACACCTGTACGCTGTATGATGTAAGGATGCCATTAGATTGTAAAATTTTGAGAAGTGATATACAAATAAATATACATTTACTGTTTGGATTCTCTTTAGTATTTTCGATATCGAAATCTCTTTTTCTTTGAAATCGGTATCGATATATATCTGTTATCCGATCTATCGTTTCGTCCCTATCTATGTCTTTGTGTCGGTCATGTCTAGCGATGGGTCGTTATCCATTTTTTAAATCCGGTGATGCAGCCGCTATCAGATTGCCAATCAGCGATATCAAATCTGTCTATTTTTGATAACTAGTGATTTCTACAACGCTATAAAGTTAAAGCAAATTTTACTCTTATGCAAACCGCGATAAAGCTCAATTTTTGGTTGGTTACTTGATCAATCCGAAAGCCGGACTACGCGGAATATACTTACAAATGAAACGAAAATGTCTTTATTCAAGTAAGCTTGTTACAAGCACTTTTGAACCTTCCAAACATATAGCTATTTTATTCACACGTATACTGACATCCTGATGTTGTGTCATTTACACATGATAGGTTGCATTGTTTTCGATCCATTTATTTAAACGCTCTACATTGAGCGTTACATCCTATACGGTTATTGAAATGAAATTAAATGAAATGAAAATATCTTTATTCAAGTAAGCACTTACAAGCACTTTTGAATCTTCCTTAAAAATTTTCATCCCCTACCACTTGTTCAGGACGTCTTTTAGCTGACAAGAAGATCAAGCGCAAGAAACTTACCAGCATTTTATCATAAGTAATGGAATTTACATAAATCATGTCATTACCAAAATAATATGTTTTATCACAATAATAAAAAAAACTTTCAAAGTCTGTAGGTCATAGTTTGTACATATAATTAGTCGTTATAGAATACTTTATTCCATGCATTACGATCCTTAAAATAATCATCAATTTTATAATAGCCTTTACTTATAAGTATGATCTTTACATGAATTTTAAATTTATTTATGCTTATAAACTCGATTACATTTTGTGGAACTTTATTGAACATAGTAATGCATTTACCCAGAAATGAGCCTCTGGTTTTCTGAAGTCAAAGTTTGGAACTGCAAGTTTATTTTTATTTCTTATGTTAAGATCATGAACACTATTTTTTTTTGTGAAGGAATTGTAAAGTTTTCTTGTGTACATAATATTTTATAAGTTGTATTGAGAGGCAACAGTCAAAATATTTTTTTCTTTAAATATTTCTTTGAGAGATTCCCTAGACCGTAAATTATATATAGCGCAGACAGCTCTCTTTTGTAAAATAAAAATATCTTGATTGCTAGCCGCAGAACCCCAATCACATCACACAACAATAGACCATACGTCATTACCAGTGGTCGGAATTAAATAGAGTTATTCATGTACTTACACTGATTTCATACAGCGAAAGAATAAAGTGGATATGCCTCAAATGCCGAGATTAATTTTAAAGAGCAGAAAAAATCCCGTGATTTTTTAAATAAAAAGTTGTTTTCTTTTACACAATTTAAACTGTGGCGACTGATACATAGCGACATCTTATTCATCGCAGTAACATCGCCACAACAATCGATAGCGAGAAGTCAAGCATCGTCACAGCCATCGATAGCAAGACGAACTGCAATAAGTTTCAACAGCAAGTAACGAGATGGCGCTGTACCAATACAAACAGCATAAATTAATAACTACAAGACATTTAGAACAAAGAAACCTACATCACACAGAATAAGTTTAATTACCCATTAACATAAATAGAACGTCCAACCTACATCGGTTGGACCGCGGTCCCCGGGCTAACAACACCTAGCTCGGAGGGAGACAATTATCCTTTAGTCTCCCTGACCAGTTGTCTCCCAATCTCCCATCGCCACAATAGGAACACCAACCTCCAACCTTTGGGTTCCTAAAGTGGTGACCCCGACGTGATTTGAACACGCAACCTTCTGCATCACAACGCAGCCATCACTCTTCATCAACAGCCTCTCACCCTCCATCATCAGCTTCTCATCCCTCATCAGCACAGCCACTTCAGCAGCAAGCCAGCCAACACCAAGGTCCATCACAGCAGCATCGACGACGCTTCCTGGATACTTGGCACCACTCGACGGCATCATCCCGACCTGGTCCTCGCAGCCCACGACCGGACCTCAGTTCACACACAACTCACCGGCGTGGCAGCCCTGCACACCAGCAGCTTCGGTCCCGACGTCACAACCATGGCACTTGCAAGCTCTGAAGCACTGACTACATACCACCTACTATCAACATGGATCGACCTTCGGTCTAGGGGGAAAGTACTGTGGCGACTGATACATAGCGACATCTAATTCATCGCAGTAACATCGCCACAACAATCGATAGCGAGAAGACTAGCATCGTCACAGCCATCGATAGCAAGACGAACTGCAATAAGTTTCAACAGCAAGTAACGAGATGGCGCTGTACCAATACAAGCAGCATAAATTAATAACTACAAGACATTTAGAACAAAGAAACCTACATCACACAGAATAAGTTTAATTACCAATTAACATAAATAGAACGTCCAACCTACATCGGTTGGACCGCGGTCCCCGGGCTAACAACACCTAGCTCGGAGGGAGACAATATCCTTTAGTGTCCCTGGCCAGTTGTCTCCATCACCACACTAGGAACCCAACACCTTCAACCTTATGGTTCCTAAAAAACTATTGCACGCATGACGTTGCCAAACTTACATCAATGACATCTGATGTCTAAAGAATTAGAAATTGTCCATTAGAAATCCCGGGAAGGTCCACACTAATCAAGTACATAAATAACTCTACCTAATTCCGACCTCTGGTCATTACACTATGGAAATAACTCAAATATACTAATCTTTTCGTTTCAACATGTGTCAAGAGTCTAATTTTCTTAACAGCAAATGCTGCAGAACTCAGTCTACTTGAGAAATTATCTTTTCATAAAGATTTGCATCTTGATCGCATTGCAGTCGGGAATCTAGTGAATTAAAATTGCATTACATGACCGTCAATGTAAAGCGTTGATCTTATAAAGATGTCTTCGTATCGCGGCGAACTGTGACTGCTGCTTCTTGGTGCGGTTATTGTAAAGAGAGTCGTCCAAATATCAACCTTAAACGATTTATTTAAGAGTAAATTAAGTTTTACTTTTAAGCGTTGTGGAAAATAGATAGTTATTGTGTGACTGAAACACGAGTGATCGCAGTTTAGGCAATTCACTAGTCTGCGTCTGTAGAAGGTCTGTAGTGTCTGTTGTTGTCTGTCATAGAGATGGGCAAATAGGAAAAAATATCGGTATATGTCGTATCGATATTTATCAAATGTATCGATAAAAATTGACTTAATAATATCCACATGTTGATATGTCGATATTTTCTGCGCATTAAGCCATTTCTATAAAAATTGACAATATATTTGAAATTTTAAAGCAAATACACACTACTACAATTTGAAATCAGTTTTATTATTCAAAATAGGTAGATAAAGTCAAAAAACAACATCATCAACACAACAAAAATTACATTATTTAAACAAACCAGTATTTGTCTGATATTGAAATTAGGAGCACTCTCCGTGTAACCAACCAAACGAGCAGTGTCATTGTAATAGACAAAGAAAATGGACAAGCAGGTCATAGACTGTAATTTCTAAACTCTTACAGCATACTGCCTCCTACTATTTTTCTAATTTAAAGAAATACATGATAAAAAATATATCGATATTGATAATTATCGAACGCCGATATAACGCGGAAAAAACACGAATGTCAATTTAAACTGGATTGCGTACTGATATATTTCTTAAAATCAAACTTACACTTTATCTAGTATAAAATAAGGTTTATTTTTCTATGTCACATTTCAGAGTAGAAAAACGGTCTACTAGAGATGTTAGATTTGTAGTAGTAGGTCCTTGTCTAACGAGTTGCCATTGGAAAATTAAATAATTGTTATTGGCAATTAGGAGATTTTATTGATTTTTTAAAGACATCACTAGGTAATTTTAATTATTATCTATTAGTAAATATATTGAATAGACATAGTTGATATGTTTTTTAAGTAAAGTTTATTTGTGTTTTGACTTACTAATTCGATTATTTACATCAAAATGGTATATTGTTTTGCTTGGCTGATTGCAAAAATGAATGGTATCACGAATGTGACTTCACATTCCACAGGTAAGCTGTTTTCCTTATTTATTAAACAGTGATGAAATAGGGTGTCTACGATCAAGAAACAAAACCATATCAAAGAGGCTTTGATTTAAATTAATATTCATACGTTTATATTATAAACATTTATAAGTTTTACTTACGCTACCCGCCATTCTTCGTTATCAATATTTTCACGGTAGGTACAAAGTTATTTGGAAAATGAAAAACGAGAACTAGCTTAATTATGTTTTGGAAAATATCTGAATGGCCTACACATTAGTTTGGATAAATATTTATAAAGTAATAATTTTCTTATGCTGACCATGACAAAATTGCTCTTATGTTTCTAGGATCCTAAAGGATAAAAGTCTAGCTGAAAAATGGAGGACAATAATACCAGGCAAAGTGATCCGTTGTATTCTAATACAATTAATAGGAAAAAAAACATTTCTATCCTTTTAATTGATTTATACATTATAGATGATTATAATAACATTTATATACTTGTTTTATTTCCTACAAAATAAATATCTTTACCGATAAATAAAAACTAATTTATCGGTTAAATTTCTAACATCATCATTCATAATATCTGTAAAAATTTATAAAATTAAATTAGTAAATGTTTAAATTTGGTCATGTAAACATTATTAAATATTACCTATTTATGAAATTATTAAAAACGCGTGGACATCCTACAAAACTACTAAGACAGAGATGAAGAGTTACTAATTTACTCTCTCACTCTGCCCGTTTTTAATGAAACACTGCACAATCCAGTTTAAATTGACATTCGTGGGAAAAAAATATCTATTATTAATATCGATTTATATCAGAATATATATCGATTTTTCGACATATCGATAGTTTTTGCAAATCCTATCTATAATGGCCCGTCAAAGAAAAGTTTGACGTTGCGTTCTATAATAGTGTTTGTTTATTACCTAAAGACCTTTAGCTTATTAGTTTTGATTGGTTTAAAACTACATTAAAACACGAAAGTGATAATTAATCAGAATCTTAATTTTCATTAATCAACCGATAAAAATGCCAAAAGTAGTATCGAGAAGTATCGTATGTTCAGACACCAAAGATCAGGAAGAATATAATGAAACAAAACCTTTACACATTTACTACTGCTTATGCGGCCAAATGACCCTCATATTGGACTGTACGATAGACCGTCTACCGTTGAGGCCTACTGATGGAGCTCGTGTTATAGATGGTTCAAAGCATGCACACAAAATCACTTCTGATCCTGATGAAATTGTTTACTTGAAAAGAGAAAAAGGAATAGAGAGGCAATATAGATTAAAATGTAAGAAGTGTGCTATACCTCTGTATTATAAACATGACCAAGAAGCTAATATTGTATTTATTATGAGAGGAGCATTAGTGCAATCCACTGGTGAGGGCGGTGTTACAGATATATACAAACAGGTAGCATTAGCCCAACCAAAGAAAATAATGGTCACCAAACATACTAAGAACATGGGTAAATTCAGTTCTGTAACAGTGTCAACAATAGATGAGGAAGAAGATGAGATTGAAGCTAGGGAAGTGGCAGACAGTTATGCGAACAATGCCAGGATTATTGAAAAGCAGTTGGAACGCAAGGGTATGAACAAGAGACAAGCTGAAACACCAGCCCAGACATTAGAGAAGAGAGCTAGGGGCACCTTGATTGATAAATAAATACTGTTATATTTGTTTGAATTAGTAATGATGTTTCTTTTAAATCTTATTACAGATTGTCATAAAACTTCTTCCTTGAACATTTGAATCCAAACCAGAACATCAATATTAATATTCAATTCAGTGATTGGTTTAAATGTTTGAGTTTTTTTTCTATTGTTAACACATTTTGGTGTGGTAACTGACACAGCACTCTGTAACTGTAAATAGCAAGAATTATAAACATGTTTTATAAATACCAAATAAGTGGAAATAAGTCTAGAAAAACTAGTGATATTTTAAAATGTGTAATGTATTAAATGACAAATATTGATTATACAAATCACTATATAACTGTAATGTTAAATAAAAATACAGAATATTGATTCTCACTTTTTTTTATTATATGAAAACAATTTTACAATATCCCTTTAAAACAAATAAAATATAATGAATTAATAATGTCTCAATTTCATTTGATTGATGGAATAAATATATCTTTCAATTGTAATTTTTTCCATTATTTACACATTTATGTACAATTTTGTAATTTGATTACTAGCCGCCATGCTAGCATTGAAAAATTACTACACAAGAAACAAATTTGAGTATGGATTACAATTTTTACATTATTTACATAAAATCTATTATAATAAAAGTATTGTAGATTTGTTGTCGCATATTAATTTGGATCTGCTACAATTTCCAATATTTTTTAACAAGTCTTAAACAAATGGAAGTTCACATTAGAAAAAGAAGATTGTTAATAAAGTCTAAACAGGATATACAGTGTGAAGTGATTGAACAACACTGTCTTCCACCTAGCATTCAAAAATATTGTAGTCAAATAAAATCAAATTATAGAGTTTTGAAACTGAATAAACTGCTATGCTTCTCATTTACGTCAACGTTTTGACAGCCAATATTATTAGGTCTTAGGTCACATGAACATATGACCTAAGACCTAATAATATGGTTGATGATATAAAAATCCCTCCACAATTGGCATATATTTTAATATATAAAGAATATCCATTCATAGGTTGGCACATATTGACATTCACTTCACGCATCATCCTGACCAAAGACCAATAAGAGATACCAATCCTTATTGGAAAATATGTGAAATCTGTTCAAAACCAAAAAGTATTATAGTTTCTTATAGTAATACTTTTTTCTTACTTTGAAGATAACATTTTATAAATTGGCACTTTGAAAACATATATAGCGGCATTTATGTAGGCAACATTCAAGATGGCCAAATAATTTAGTAGTGATATCATCAAACTAAGAGCATTGAACATTTCTCATTCTCCTGCCTCGGATCAAAAATACCTATCAGTTTTAGTAGTAGTTTGATAACAGGTAGAATAGCTCTTGGTCTCAATTATTTGCATATCTTGAATGTAATCAAATATGTGTGCTGTAAGTAAGTACAAATAGTATTACACGAGGTTACCACAAACCTGTTAGAGAATCGATTCTGAACTTTATTGTAAAAAATTGCATTTCATCCATTTATTATGTAAAAAAATCTGCCGATCGAATCTTAATATTCATGCTGTACGTTGCATAACCGTCTACTAAAATTGACAATAGTTAAAAGCTACATTAGCGATAAAAAATAAATTTAGAACATTAATTAGAGCTTAAAGGTCTAAACTGTAATGGACGTTAGTGCAACTGGGCGATAATTTCGCGAGATTTTGTGATTTTAATTAGAACTATCGAGACTCCCTCTATTTCCCTTATAAGAAAAAATAAAAAACAATGCTGCTTATTCCTATCACCCTTGTCGACTGACGTTTTGAACAGATTTGTGTAACCTCACGTGTTGACGGTACCAATCACAGGTATTGTTTAGTTTAAATAATTTTATAGGAAGGTAAAAAAATTTAGAAGTGACAATCCACATAGAGAAACGGATTGGAATTTGTCTTATTTCTAAAGGAATGTGACTTAGGAGAACGAAGTTCGATTCTAACCTACGTCGCGTCGTCATGAACAAGGGCACTTACTAGGGTCATCTTACATAACTATAAAATTAACCAAGTTTTCATTGCAACATCTTTAATTCTCTATTTTACCATATTTAAATATTATTGAAATTAAATAGGGAGATGATTATAAAAATTAAAAAGATTTTGTCAAAAAGTTGCTACTTAGCGGATTTACAGAAAACTAGGAAAATATGTTAGAAGAAAAAAAAATATACGAAAATTGTAGTGTTATGTTTCTGCTTCGAACACATTATCATAAGTTTGAACTAATATTTTTTTATTGTAATCCGAAAATGATCTGTCAAAGTTACAATGGCACCCCACGTTGGGCGCCATTCTATGTGCAAAGAAATTTTACATAAGTAAATAATTCAGCGAAAAAGTCTAATTATTATTTGGATTTGATTTAACGTTATTTTGATTCGTATAGTAAGTTCACTTTTGTTAACGTTGTTATTTACAGAATAGAAAACTACTTTGATAACGGGGATAACTAAGTTTCTTAGTTAAAACCGTATTAAAATCTCGTTTTGTGCAACAGAATTGTTACCATTCTCTATGTAAGATTATTAAAAACGTTGCAAATGACAACACTAATGAAACAATCGGGTAAATTTTATGTAATAAATATATCTACCTATCTAAGGTCAAAAATAGCTGGAGTTTTTAAGATACAATTAGTGTTGTTGATCGTAGAAGACTCAGTTTTACTGTTGCACAGGAGATAATAATTCTCACTTAATAATACGTTACTGCGTAGCGTATGTTCTTATTAGCGATTTATTAATAAAAGAAGTATCTATATGAAGGAAATTAAAGAATAGTATAGATTAAAACCAATGTTTAGTAATGTGTATTTGAATGTAGTTAGACTTACCAATTCGTCATTACGTTCATACAGCAAACGAGAAGAATTTTGAAAAAATGGACAAGCCGAACCTATCATTCAGTCTGCGCCCCAGGAATTTTAATAGCCTGTCTGATAAGTGAGGTAAGGTACAAACACTTGTTAGGAGTTACCGACATAGAATTGGAAAACGCTAATGTAGGTGAGTACCTACTTTCAATTGCTATAAAATTTTAATGAATATAAGTAATCAGATCAAAAAATTGTTGGACTTTAAAAATACCACATGGAAAGCAGAGATGAAAAATTTCTAAAAACGGTACCATACAACTACGCTTTGGCACCTACTAAAAAATTTGTTATCTCCTAAAATTAGTGGTCAATGCTAAGACGAAGCATCGTTTATAAAACACAATTCAGATATATTTGTTATACATATAAAATTGTGTTTTGCCTATTATGTTTGTATTTTATAAACGCCACTCGCGCTTTTACTACAGAAAATTGGATTTTGAATCTAGGCTTCACAATCAGTTCTTTGGAGTCTTTCTAATGAATATTGTCTTATGGGTTCAAAACTAAAATTAAAACAAAATACAATATACTATATTCAAAATATCAACGGACATAAGTATGTATAAATTATTTGTCTCCGATATTCCTGTTTTGAAATAATAAAGGTTTTTAGAATTGTCAACGTTAAATAGAAGAATTTTTAATAATAATAATCAACATATCTCGTTTAACGCTTTTAACTGTACAAATTATGTAAGAGCTAAGAATTAACTTCAAATCATGTTAACACAGTAAAATTCTTAGCTAAGTACGTAAAAATTACCACTAACTATTATTGTTTTACGAGATAATTTCTCTCTCTCACAATTTGCAAAAATTTTAATACTTTCTATAATTATTAAAAGTTATCTAAATGGGCCAAGTCTTATTTTTTGACTAAAATAATTCATATTCCAGCTTGACTCGTTTCTCCATCTTGACCCTCGATCAGTAATGTAACATTTTATCAATAACCTACTGAACTACAAATCTCACTTTTACTGTTATTCGTATTTTCTAAAAAATTTAATTTTATAATTATTTAAATAACTAAATTTGATCCGCCTGGTCGAGTAGTTAAAATAATAATTTTGAGCATCACCACCAATCTGTTACAGTTCGTTACTCTCAGATCATAGAAGTAATATATTTACTTAATTTTTTGAGATTTTCTCTAAACCAACACAGGTTTTCTTTTTCTTTTTCGTCTGTGATGTGAGTGCCGTTTGGCGGTTTTTGGAGCGCCATTTTGTGTGCGTTCCTTTCCACCATTTTGTGAATCACGTGGTGCGTCCGCATGGGGGGTTGGTGCTATAACCGTTTGTAAGGTGGTGGCGGCATCGTCGCTGGTTGGTGAAAAGGGTGGTATCGTGGAGCTAAAATGTCGCCCTGTAACAGCCCAAATATCATCCTATAAATTAATTTATAACATCCATGTTTCAATTACGATGAAAAACGCTTCACTATTTCACGAATTCATTTTTATGAAGTTTGTTTGTAATTGTATATGAATCAATTTATTTTGATGAAGTCGTTAATAGTGAAGCGTGAAAAACTTCTGTAAATACTTACAACTTGAGGTTGTTGGTTTTGAAGCTTTAAATTCTTTTCTTGAACCATGAGTTGGTGAGCAGCTCTGCGATAAGAAATTATTATAAATTTAAAATATCATAAAGAATATTTTCAACGCATCAATAACAAACCCCTTAATATTTTTATCATGTAATGGTAATTTTTACCTATCCATTTGTTCCTGTGTCATTTCTAATGCCTCTTGCATCTCTCGTGATGTATTTCTTACAAAGTCTGCGTCACAATATGCACCCAAGCCTTGCTCAGCTAGAACCTAATTAAAATTATTTTAATATTAGCATATTTACTTACATAAGAGTTTGGAGAAGTACTCATGGAAATACGATACTGCACAATTAATATTATATGGGATTCACTTTAATGTTTTGATACTTTAAGTAAAGTAGGTATTATAAGAACTAACAAATGACTTTTGCCAAATCGTTCAATATGTTTTATTACCCTGGTGACTAAGCTTTCGGCAGATCCAACAACGGGAACGGATGTGTTGATTCCTCTTGGGCTTCCCGGTAATGATACAACGCCCCTAGTCGAGTTATCCCCACCTGTAATTTGGTATTTTATTATTTAAACATTATTATATCTTGATGACATAATTGTAAGCGCTTTTTTATTTGATTTCGCCGCTTCGCCCACGTGATCCCTAGGAAATGTTTAGTGGGATAAAAATCTTAGTATTATCTATCTATTATCTATGAGAGCTCATACCATATCTGTATATCAAATTTTATCAAAATCCGTTCAGTAGTTTCGGCGTGATTGACGGACAAATATACAAACAAATAAACTTTCACATTTACAATATTAATATAGGATTACAAATTTAAAAAGTAAGTATTTATTTATAAATTATTCTGACTTATCAAACAAACTTTAACCTGGCTAATTATTTTTCTTTTAAAAGCTTTCCTCGGTAAACATATTATATTAAGTTATGATAAATTGTAAAGATCTAATCTATCTAATTTCTCTAAAGCATTTTTAAGCTTTAGCAGCCTATGTTCTACGGTAATGACTTAGGTAAATGCTTGTGACGCTTCTAAACTAATTTGTTCTCGTGGAAGTTTTCATGATTGATCAAACTTACGTGCAAACAATGTTGATTATTATCAAATGGCACTGTAAATTTATTTCTAAAAGCTTCTAGTTAATTTACTAACTGATGCAACTCTATTAGCACTTCGAAGGCGTGTTAAAGCATGCTTTCATTTATGTGATCGGATAGATGGATTATTTATGTAATTTCTAATCGTTTGATAGATGTTTTAGTTGAATGTTATTAATATTAGCATATGTTAATTTCAGTGCAATTCATGTTAGCGGTCATCAAATCTTATATTACATAAGTGATATTTATTTATGTATCAGATCAATCGAAATTAGCAAAGCGAGTTTTGTATGAGTGATATCGCGTACCAAATATACTGTGGATTTACTTCAATAGTCGGGATCGACGATCTGAAAATCTCGATTGATTAGTGATTAAAGCGATCGAAAGAGCTTCCTTCATCTATCTTTACGTAAATTCAAGGACTAAATCGAACCGGGTACAAAAATAGACCTAAGAGTCATTCGGGAAGGAACATTTTTAATTTTTACAGAGGTCGGTAACCGCAAAAGTATCCTGAATAGTCGAGGATGAGTATATGTATCGACATGGGAATTACAACAAATTTACTTAAAATTAAGTTTCGTAATCGTCCCTCGAAATATTATAAAGGGTGAATCAAATAGGATTTAGTCGATATCGGATGAAATGCATAGGTATATGTTAACCAATACTGCACGGGACGAGGCGACACGCCGGAAGATCGTTTATATTCCGAATAGTTTTAAATTCGGGTGCCAGAAATCCAAATAGAAATCAGCCGACGAGAACTCGGGAGGTAGTGAAGGAAGCCCCGGTGGGGGTGCGGCGTGCGGACCTGAGTGTGCTAGAGTGCGCGCGGGCGGGGCATGCGGGCCCGCCGCGCCCGACGACGCGCTGCGCACCATCCGACCTGCCGCCGCCGCCGCCGGCCGCAGCGCGCGCAGCGACCGCCGCTCGCCGCGCGCCGTGTGCGAGAACGCGAACGGCAGCCGCGCCGCCGCGTTGTACCCGTACAGGGTCATCGTGCGCGATTCCGTCGTCGGCGTGAACTCGCTCGCGAGTAGCGGCGAGATCTTCGGCTGGATCGCGGCGTCGCCCGGCGACGGTGTCCGGTCCTCCGGCGACGCCTTCGGGACGGCGAGCCGCTCGCGGGAGGAGGTCGGCTCCTCGGGGTGTACGCGCTGCCGCGACCCACCGCCGGACGACAGGTAGTTCACGCAGCCGAACGCGAGCCCGATCTGCCCGAGCATCTCGGGGTAGTTCGACTTTTGGTTGCTGAAGTGCGAGGGTGCGGTTAGTGGTTAGTCGGTGACCGATGTGATGGGGTGCACGCTCGCGTCGGCTCCGTCTCGACGACCGAAACTCTGTGTTCGACGTCGAGACGGACTCGAATCGGTTAAATGAATGACTGTTAAGGAAAAGGGCAGTTTGAAAAGACAAATTCTAGCATTGCAAAACCACACTTTTGACTACCTGCGTAGCTAGCGTTCTTTAGATCGTATGTGGTTCTTCTGTAATACAAGCATTATTCGTTTTAGATATCGTTATCCTGTTATGACATTAAGACGTTTACTGTTTTACTGTTATGAATTATTTACTTTTAATCGTAAACAAATACTTACTCTAGCACCTGGTAGATTTTTTCGGATTCACCGTTAAAAATTAATGGTCTTAGCGGAATTTGCTCTTTAGGTTGCCCATTGGCGCTAAAAATAAACACGAATTAAATACTATTTCAATATATTTAAAAATATATTAAAGACGAATGAGTGAGTTACTAACAGATTCGGTGCAAGCGGTAAAGATGCTACTCCATACTCCCGTTGCATCATTGAACTTAAGTGATTTCCGACACCATCTGGAATATTACAGTTTATTTCACAAAAAAAAAAGATAAATATATAAAATTCACTAATGTCTTCTTAAAGATTAATACCCGTTTTCACTTACAACGCATAGCTCAATTAGGAAACGCCTTATACGAATACGAATCGTCTAAGCAGAATAGTTAAATTTCAAAAAAACATTTTTTTCTTTTATCCCTTGACACATTTTAAACTGTGCAGCGCAAGCCGCCGCATGACGCTCTATACATCACTTAGTGTCGAAATGCATTTTCACCTTAGGCGATTCCTAAATATTCAGACGACAGATTAATTGGATCATTTAACTTTATATTCAAGTAAATATACCTGCAGGTGCATCGTCGTGTTTACGATGCCTGTGGAAGTGTCTGTTGGGTCCATGCCTTCGTATACTTGACCAAACCCCGCCAAATAACGAATGATTTCTCTATAAAAAACGCAACAGTTATTCATTAATTAGGTACTAAGTATATATTTTTTCTTTCGATCTTAGAAAATAAAACGGAATATTTTGAAAAATTCTAAAGTTTGACTTCTAAGGCGTCTATTATTTTTATACAAATTAAATGACTTGCCGGAACAAAACTAATATTTCACTCCCTTACCCTGTGCATAGGTATATCAGATTCGGCAGTGATATCATCCAAGTTTCCAGATATAGCCCTTTTAAGCTCGGGACCTGCTTCGTGTAACGTTCTTAGCCCAGCTTGCAGAGTCATCTGGTGTGTTTGTTCATCACTTTGTTTCATCTCTTGTTCTTTCCTCTTCTTAAACCTTATTCGTGAACATTAATTGCATTTAAAAACTTTTACTACTTCTATATCAAATTACAGTGAATAAAAAAATTAACTGTGCAACTATTTATTCTATAGATATTATAAAGTGAATAGTATTTTTCTAAATTTAAAGCAGCTATCTGAAACTATTAAAATATCGCTCTAGAAAATTGAAAATCGACTGTAATTTATTAACTAATCGAAATAATTTTAAACGTTATTACAACATTAAAGTAATTTAATTGACGCATCAATCTAAAATTTAAAAAATCCTTTTTATTAGCATTAATTTTAAATCTAAGATCTAAATTATTTTGGGAACAAAAATATTACAAAACCACAACATTTAATAAAGGGTGTAAGAATGTCACAAATTTTATTTAATTTTCGGGTAATTTAAATTTTACTTTTATTCGATAGCATGCTTACTGGAAGCAAATTTTTGTTTTGTAAATACGGGATGAGATGTATTCGGTAAAAACACTATAGCAACGACAAAGAACTGTTTCCAAACAAATTAAACCATGCATGGAGTATTGAGAAGTTCACAAGTGTTTATGGTTTACATATTCACAATTGGATCGTTAAAGGCAGATTTAACGCTATGGACTTTAAGAATCTAAATCTCAAAGGTTCATTGCAGCATTTTATGAATAAAAGGGTACATTCCTGATCTCCTATAAAAACATACGTATCCTTGCGATACTTACGCGTGATTCCTATGAAACAAAAATTATTGTATCAGTATCAACCGAATGAAACTTGTCAAGAGCAACAAAATTAATATACATATTAATGAAAATTTAGTTCAACTTAAAAGATAAATTAACAAAGGTAATGGAAATGTAGGTTTCCATTTTACCAGTTGCAACCCTGGATGCTAAAAGATACTTAATACTTTTTCTTCTGTGATTCGTCCTTAAAAGATTCCAAAAAAATCTTTCAAACTTTTGCTTTTTCTATCAAACCAGTCACATCATAAACTATTCCTTGGTATAGTTTCAGCACCCATTATTCCTATTTACCAATCGTTGGAATAATAAGTTAAATTGATCGTACAGAGTATTTTGCAGAAGTGAATCTTCGATATCGCTAAGGCTCATAATGACTTTATGTCATAAATTATCACTAACCTTCTAAAATAATCCTGTATAAGGAATGTTGCGTAGAATTTACCCACTGTGATCTCATTAGGGTCACCTGGTGGTGGCACTACCTGATCTAGAAGTTTTGGCGAAGTTCGTTTCCAGATTTTCTTGATGACTGCGCGGAGTTCTGTATTGCAGTCATCAATGTTACCTGCGAGGTTTAAGGGAAAATAAAATGAGTATCTGTTATAGTTTATCGCACATACACAGCATTTTGTGTAACTTAAAATAATAATAAAAAAGTTTCAACATAAAAAAATTCAAAGATATTCGCTTTTATACTAATATTACAAAGATAGTGATTTATTTATGAACATTACCTTCTGTTTTTATCTTTAGCGAAGTTCTGACAACAGCAAATAGTGTCGCGTTGAATAAAACTGTTCCATCAGAGTTTAAAGGCATGTTCATCGATACCAATCTTTTACATGCCACTCGATGTGGACATAGTTTACCAAATCCTAAAATATCACACGTAAATAAATATATTAAAACAAATCATTATTTTTGTTATATCAAATAATGCCTTTTGGACTTAACAAAGTACCTGAAAATCCTTAACTAACTATTTTCAAATAATTCATAGCTGGGTGAAAATATGTTGACTATTTGGATGATATCTTGTTTATTCATAATTATTGACTTACCAAGCGGTGGACTTATTTTTCTTAATAACGTAACTACATCTAAATGTTTTATTCTACCCTTTGCGTCAGGGTCGTATTCACTCCATAATCTGAAATAAATATAAGTAAATAATTTGGTGATTTTTAATAATACGACGTCCAATGCAACGTTGAACACAGTGCTTTATTACTCTTTGATTGAAGTAGGTATTTTTAACAAATAGCATTGTAGTTGAAAGTACATTAAGTTGCGATTATCAAGGCTATTTTCCAATCGATATTAAGCTTTAGCCAGGTTCAAATTTATTTCAATTCAAATTTGCATGAAAATTTGCCTTTTAATCAGATGTAGTGTTATGTGTACTAATAAATCTGTACGTGTACTAGGATGATCGATATTTGCCTATTGTGATAGTCACAATAATTACCTTATAAATTCATCTAAGTGATGTGGTCCCAATATTGACCAGTCTCGGGTTAAATAGTCGAAATTATCCATAATTACAGCAACAAACAAATTGATAATCTGGAAATTATGCAACAGCTATGGTAATTAATTATTATCATCACCACATCATCATCACCAGCCCTTTTACGTCCCCACTGCAGGGGCTCAGGCCTTCCTTATGGATGGTTAAGGAGGATGGGCCATGACCCTCCACGCTGGCCCAATGCGGATTGGAGGGTATTAACGACTGCAAATGCAGCCGGGACCAACGGCTTAACGTGCCTTCCGAAGCACGGGAGTAGCTCGAGATAATAATTTTTTGGTCACCCATCCCGTGACCGACCCTTGCGAAAGTTGCTTAACGACTACGATCGCGGGCCGCGGCGCTTATCCACTACGCCACCGAGCTGCTACTCTTCTTATGCCAAATAAATAATTTGAATCATCAAATCTGAATATAGTAATCGTACCAGAAACGAACAGAGAACGTAAAATGATATAAAATATGGGAACGCGAGCACACTGCCACACGTCCCGCCGCTGTCCTCGCCTTCCTCATCATAGTTCTTGTCACATTTGACTTCGGGCTCTGGGGATACGCCCATCATAATGTCTTGCCATGCCTCGCCTTTAAAAGAAAATATTTCCACGTTTGCTTACAATTTTCTGGTTAAACTTTGATTCAAAACCCACAAGAGTAGATTACAACGACGTGTTCCAATCAATACATTTAAAAAAATATATATTTTAGCCTTATTTCTATGAATACAGAGTTCAAAAATATTCGTAAAAATATAATAATAAGTAAATTTTAAAGGTATTATAAGTTATTTTCCCTAATCAATTTAAGAAAAACGAGGTATATGATTTATGATAGCATGTAATATTCTTAAATTTGTATAAATCAACTTTTCTTAAAGAAACTGAGATATCTCAGTTTATATGATTTTCTAAACACACGTGTCTAGTTATTTTTATTTATTAATCTTATGGATGATTAAATATTTTCAGATTTCAAAATAGGAGCAAATATAACATATTTTTGTAATAATAATAAAGGAGACTTTAATTTTTTTTTGTAAGTGAAACATAACTATTCTATTGAACCCTTATAAACTTTTTGTAATCAGTTTTAGTTAATTTCTAATTAATATTACGATCAAATTAACGCAAACATATGCTGGTTATTTTATCTTTTCTTTAACGTGTATTTAACACATAAGTAAAAAGTGTAATTTGTGAATAAGCAGATATAAACTAATCTTAATACGATTTTTACCTGTAGCTGAACGAAACAACACCAAAATAGCTTGCGGAAATGTTTGAAAGTGATTGTTTCTTGTGATCGGGGTGTCATCGTCTATAGCTATTTTGCCAAACACCTAATAAAATAAATAATCAACGTTATTAACATATATTTACTTAACGCCTACACTTTACAGTACCGATTTAATTCTGATACTAACCTGCATTCCTACTACTGCATATATGAAAAATAACATCAAAATGAGTAGGGCGACGTAAGGTAGTGCTTGGAAAGATTTTATAAACGTCCACAGTAACGTTCTAATTCCTTCGCCCCTTGACAATAACTTCACCAGTCTCATTACTCGGAATAGGCGGAAAAAATTTATTGAAGGTATAGAGCTCTCCTGAAATATGCCAGATATGGTATTCTTTTAATTGAATAAAACTATCTAAGTAATGTCTGTATGATTTGCTGTTGTCTTAAATTAAATTTCCCTTGCATTGCTTGATAGACAAAGATATCCAAGTGCTACAAGGTAAGTTCCTTAAAGACGATTTTCACTTCTTCTAGTTAGTTATCTCTTTTCATACATCTCGCTTGTTTGAAAGCCGCGTGATCGATTTGTTTGTGAAAAGCCTTTATTTGACCTTTTGAACTTTTACGTTTCTACTTTCCATTTTCGCAATATATATAAGTTTTGTCATTTCTGTTTATTTTTATATTCAGTCAATTTTTTAACCTAACTTTCTTATTCATTAATTGCAGTCTGCGATCGTTACTTAGACAAATACTCACTTTTTATCAGCAGCTAATCAAATATTAATATTTCTTTATTTAATCAGAATAACTAGTTTTACTAATTATAAGTATGTAGGGCCTATTATTTATTGCCTTAAAATGTGGGTGAGTACTTCGAACAGTGCTTGATCTTGCATTAAGAGTTGCTTGACTTAAATTTTGTGATAAACGTATATTGCGTACGTTACTGTCCCATTAAGTAAATTAACATCTAAAGCTGCATTAAATATCTTTGCCTGCACAACATTTAAAGCGTTATGGTATCTAAGGAGCATGGTTAACTTCGAGATTTCATTACCCATGTTATTCTTTCTAATATTAATATTAAATATAAGTAACATTGTGACATTTGTGTTAGTATTATATTTTATTGCGTGAAAGCGTGACGACTCACCTTCACTACGTGTGCTCTTGGCATCCCACTTCCCTGAAATCAACAGTGTCTCCTTCAATCGTTTCTCAACTACCTTCTGTACAATATGTGAGATTGCATCAGCGAGTACTGTTATTACAACATCGATTTTGTCCATGCTCGGGACAGTAACAAAATAATGTTTATATTGAGATAGCCATAAAGAGTAATTTTTTTTTTGCAAAATAATTTACAGTCATATATTTTGTAATTACAATGGCTATTTCAATTTTATGTACAATACCAGTGAAAGTGATAATCTAATAAATTCAAGTAGATAAGTACAGATGCGTTATAGAAATTACCTGATTTTTGAGTTCATTTACTTGTGATACTACGATGTCAATGATGCTTCCTAGTACGATGATGAAATCAAAAGTATTCCAAGCGTCACCGAAGTAATTCTATAAAAAGTTAAAAACATTTACAAAATTATTTTATAGATTATTACCAAATTTATATGAACTAAAAGTGTAGATATAAAAACGTTACCTTAAATCTAAAGGCGGCAAGTTTAAATATAAATTCCAAGGCAAACACAGCCGTGAATAACATGTTGAGCATGTCGAGAGCTTTACTGTATTCTGGTGGCTGATTGTGGTACTTCATGGCGAGGGTAATGGTGTTGATCATGATTAACACAAAAATAGCATATTCAAAAGGCTGTGATGTCACAAACCACCAAACTTTATACTGAATCCGATGTTTAGGAATATATCTGGAATAATTATAGTTTTTTATTACAAAGCTAACGTAGCAATTTTGTCTGAGTCTGAGATATTCCATTCAGAAGTAGGTACACAGTAAAAAGAAACAAGCTAACCACTGACCTTCTTATCGGTTTTGCCTTCAACGCGAACTCTATGCAGTTTCTCTGATTCTTATCTAACTCACAATTTTTATATTCTTGTTCACCCTCGTTTTGGAATGTCACTATGACGAAACCCACGAATATATTAACCTAAAAGATTTTAGTTTATTATTTATCGTTATGCAGAAAAATATATTATATTTAAATGAACTCGATTTCTCACCATAAAGAAGGCAATTATAATAATATAAATAATATAGTACGCTGCAACAATTGGACGGAAGTTAGTAATAGGACCACGATCTTCAGCATTCGAATCAATTGATACATACAGCAATCTGAAAATAGTTTTTTATCTATCATTAATAAACGGCAAAGAGAGGTAGAAATAATGAGAATATCATCCAAATAATCTTACCCCGGCCATCCCTCAAAAGTAGAAACCGTAAAGAGAGTAAGCATGCCCTTCATAACGTTATCAAAATGGAAGTCGTTTCGTTTCCATTCTCTATCTCTTACAACATAATTACGATTCTCAAACACCAAATACGTCCCCCTAGAATACATTCAGTAAGTTGATAAATAGCACGATTGAAATGCAATTTTGTAAAGTATTTTTTTTATTAACAATACTTACTGACACTCTTCTTCTGTCATTTTCGAAATATCATTACACCTAAAAAATTTACCCTGAAAAAATCTTTGAAATTATACCATCTGGCAACGCAATTATTTACTATCATGCTACGACATCTACATACGATTTCGGAAACAACAATAGTGGTAAAATTTTGGCATAACTCATTTCTCATGATCGAAATTAAATCATTCTCTGTTTAAATAACCAATATACACACTTAGCTTGTCATTAAAATGAAATATAAGCAGAGTTTGATGTCTATATAAGTATAAATAGATACGAGCAGATGTAAGTACTGCAACACATAAAAAGAGCATTGTATTCTATCGCAGGCCATGCAAAGGACAATAGTTTATATTCTCCTTGGTTAATATTAATTTCATGCGAAGTGTGAGGTTCTTATAGAATTTAGTGTAATTATCATCTACTGTTTGCTGTAATATTCAACTTCACAACAATCATTTTCTATCAAACTGGATTATAAGGCCTCGCTTCTTTTTCAACATTTAGAACTTACCTTAAATAACTGTACACCGACGACCGCAAACATAAATTGTAATAAATACGTAACTAGCATTATATTTCCTATTGTCTTAATCGCTACTATCACACATTTCACCACATACTACATAACAGTACAGAGGTTAGTGGTCAGGGCATACGTTACCAGGGTGTAAGGATAGTCCGTATTTGTCCGGGACAACGCAGCAGCCGGACATAAGGGGACAAGCAAATAATTTTAATCACGTGGGAATTCTTTACATAGGACATTAGGGCTTTTCTATATTAGTCACATGTCGGGGGTAAAAGTAACCTGTTAGAACCTACTGTGGGTAAATTTAAACGCCAAGGTAGGGGGATGGTTATGATTTTAATAATGCTATGGTTTAATATAATAAGGCTACACCTTTGGGTTGATTAAGTTAAATTACATGCTAATCGAACTGGACGACACAAAAACAATGAATCTGTTCCACGGCACAGACTAAGGGGGTATATAGATTGGCTTACGACTACAACCATTTATAACATGCTGTGTTTCTTAAAATTTTTGAACAATTCTAGTATAGTTTCTACTATGTTTCACGATAACAGTTTTTTTTCATTTATCTAAACTTAAACAGGCGGATTTTATATTTTAGGATATCTTAAAATATAAATAAGTTATAAAGAGTATTACAAAATTCTAAAAATTGCTGAAAGGAAATTCTTTGAAACAACAAGGTCCATTATATCTATGAATCAAATATCATGAGAAATGAGCAGGTAAATAAAAAAGCCAGAATACATAGAGTACGAAAGAAATTAAAATACCCAAAGGTGTAATCAATAAAGTTGTTTTTTTAAAGAGTCCAATGTGAGAAATATACTTGTTTTGTATATGTGTTTTCACTCAAAACAGTGTAACCACACATGATGATATCAAATAGCAAGATAAGGAAGTTGTTTGTGATGATTTTAAAGTTAAAGTGACCCCCTACCTTGAACATTTGCACTCCCATGACGGCGAACATGAATTGTAGCAATGACGTTACCAATAAAATGTTGCCGATCGTTTTGATTGCAACGATCACGCACTGAACAACGTGCTATAATCATGGAAAAATATTGTGAAATCTCTTATTTATATTAAATATTAACAGTATATTTATTAAGCTCCTAAATTAAATTTAGAAACTAAATAAATTGTTTCATATAGTTAAGGTTAAGTCGAACTAAATGGTCATATTAATAAAATTTCTGCACATAATACTAACCTTAAGGCCCTTAGCCCTATTGATGGCCCTAAGAGGCCTCAGCACCCTGAATACTCGCAATATTTTCACCACTGATATACTACCAGACCTGTAGAAAATAATTGAGCATATTTTAAACATGTTCCAAACGTTAACTAAAACAGTGAATGGGAAGTGTGTACATACTTAAAACTCATGGAAATGAGCGAGACGCAGACAACTAGCATATCGAGCACATTGAAAGCTGAACGCAGGAAGGCGCCCTGATGCAGGATCAAGCCGTACGTCACCAGCTTCAGAAACAGCTCTAACGTGAATATACCAGTGAAGAACACGTCGAATTGACTCAGCAACTACAACATACACGTATCATCACACTCTAAAATAATTTCTAGACATTTTAAATTATAAGGAAATGGTTCAAAGACTTTAAAATATTATAAATGTTTTTTATATTAAGCTTCAGAGATGAAAATAGTGTGTTGAATGGATATGTAAGAAAAACATACCCAATTCCGAAAACCCTTTTGGGCCGCATCGAGGGGATCCTCGGCCGCCAACATGGCCGATGAAAGCATGATGCATACCAAAATGATGTTTCCGAAGGTCGAGGATGCCGACATCTTGTAGCAGAACACCCGAAACCTGACCGTAGAAATATAAAATATATGAAATCGTCATAGGTATTTTATAGTCCAACAACGGACACTCAAGTAACAACAACATTTAGATATATAAATCTGGAAATCTGAAATAGATATCTCATAGGCATCAGATATTTTGTAATAAATAGACACTTACATGCTTCTTCATAAAGAAATGATTTCGAGCGTTCATCGGTCGGTACTTATTTAATTAAATAATACAAGATTTACAAGACATACAACAAATTGATCATATTTACAAATATATATTTACACGAATATTTATTACACACGTTTACACTAAAGCGGAACATAAGTCTAAAAATAAAAACAAAATATTTAAGCACATGCATATGAAGCTCACATAATTATTGAATACGAACTGGAGTTTAATATCATGCATACATGCTGGAATCGCCTAAGGAATCAGTAGGGCGAGCTAAACTAACAGAAAATCTCTTTAAACGTTTCTATGACCACGGTTTAGAGATTTGGAATACTAAAGGTATCAAGAATCATCTAATCAGCAACATGTTGACGGCTAATTCCGGGGAGGAAAGGGTACCCACTATTCTCATTGTTGGAATGTCTGATTCGGATCACATATTACGACACTCGTGCAGATTTTAGGCGACGACAAATATTTTAATGCGCTCGACGGGTCAGCCAATTAATGAGATGGCGGGCATCATGGACGCTGATAATGCCAATGATTTTTACAATGAGACATGGGTACCGTTCGGAGATCACCAATCACCTGTTTGTTGGTGAAAATATGAAGAAACTACTAGCGTTCGGTATTGGCGGCGTCTGATTTGGCATATTCAGTTCGGACACGCGACGTGGCCGAGCCGTTACCAGTGTACCCTCCTCTTCCGATTGACCACCATCTTTGTGAGATAAAAACAGATCACGACAGTATTTAAATTCTAATTTAGTATTACAAACTACACTATGATTATTGTTAGCTACCGTATCCATGCCCAGTCTTCTGCCTAAGTACGAATCATCACCTAAGCTAAATACCGGAATATCTGCAGGTTTTAATAACAAGTCGCAAACATAAAGAAAGTGTGATTAGCGAATAAAGGTGGGAAGGAAAGAAATATTAGGATCGAAAGTATTAAATTCGAGAAAGAAAGAAGTGAAATAGATATATTGTCTCCGATTGATTTCCAAAATAAAGTAAAAACAATCAAAGACGGTCTAAATCGATATAATATATACGAATAAAAGAAAAAAGTACATCTAGTAAAATCAGTAAGCTGAGACGATGTCGTCAATTGTTCCCTAACCTGTTTGTTTTGGAAAAAATGAAGAAGGACGAAGCATCGGGGATGGGTTTCTTAGTGTCGTGAATATCGACCTCCGAGAGACGTCGCGGCCGCGCCGACGAAGTCGTAGGTTTTCGTTTGAGACGCGGCTCTTCATCCATGTCTGTGTTCACTATGTTCATTTGGTTAGCTACATTCTTTACACTGTTTGGGATTCATTAGTATTTGTTGTGCAAATATTTGTAATTATAGGTTTATAGTACACTTGTTTGTTGGTCTCAGTGTAGGCAACAAATTATTGAACTGGATTGATATAAACTACAGATCTTATACCTATGTGGTTCCTCTGATGGCTCTCCATCATTTCTTCATCCTCGGCCCTCTCGTGATCATCTATTCTTTCTGGGCCGTTTTCTTCTTCTGCGATGTCAGCTTCTACGTCTCCCTCCATGTCTTCTTGTTGTTCGCCCTCAGAACCTGTTTCTTCATATTCTCTTTCAGAACTGAAATTCACAATGTTGATTTTTTCATACTTCTACTATTTGAAACAAAATTAAATTGTATTTGATATACAAATATAAATTAGAGTGTAAATTAATATTATTGATGGTATCCACTACAAAAATTGTTCTCCATAATATTTTACGTAACTAACATTGATCGAGTAAGTGTGTAACTTTGTCTACGTTTCAACTCGTGAGTGTACGTTATAGAATATTAATCTTACTTGTCTGTTGTATACACATCATCATCGTGAATGTATTCATCATCTGTATCAACGTGACCACCCTCGGTTGCCACAATGCTTCCACCTTCTTTTTCTTCAGCCCCCTAAACAATAATTTGTATAAGTAGTCACATATAAGATATTCGAACTTGTTTTCTTTCGCGTGCGCTCATCGTGAGTGATAATTTCCAATATTTGGAATTAAATTACAGAAATAACGGTTATTTGTTCCATTCTAAATTCTAATGCCGATATGTTCATTTGAACAAATACCAATCCCGGTTTGTTGCATTTGTAACATTTTATACAAATGCAACATTTTATATAAAATGGGTATACTCTTACTCTCACCTATGCAGGCAACGTATGAAAGTGAATTAAATTAAAAATATTTAAATTACCGACACCTCTATAATTATTAAAAAGCTTTCAAAAAAGACATTACCCCTTCTTCTTTTTCTATATTTGTCAATGATTCTGCATCTGCTAAATTATCGACAGCGATGGCCAAGAACACGTTTAGAAGAATATCTGGATAATTTTGAGTGAAGTAAAAATATTATATATACATATGAAAGCGCAAAATTATAAACTCATATTATCGCGTTAATTATTTTCTGCTAGTGATTAATATGCTAATTTTAATTACCTATAATTCGGTCACGTTAAACCTCTTATTTCTTTCTGAATTTCATTATTACCAGCTTTTTAATTTCCCCATTGCTGGGGCTCAGGCCATGGAAGGCCTCGCGGTGTACGGATTGGTGGGAGTTAACGACTGCAGATGCAGTCAGAACCAAAGTCTTAATGTGCCTTATGGAGCACGGAGGGGCTTAGGATCATAAATTTTTGGTATCCTATCCTATCGTCCGCATCGCAAACCGAAAATTCGTTATTGAGCTCCTTCGATTTTCGGGATTTTTGAAGTATTAGAGTAGACTGTAAAAAATATGTTTATTTTAAAGTAGTTAAGGATACAGTTGCCGCATATAAAGAGAATGATGAAGTAGATGCAGGCGAGGATGCCGAAGGAGCCGACGCCACCGTAAGCTTTGATGCCTTCGTACATTACAGCGTTCCAATCCTCACCTGTCAATATCTGTTAATCAAATGCTGTATTATTTTGATTTTATTAATACAAGTGACAGTTATTAATACAAGTAGGTATTTTGACCGAACTAACATTTTTTATGACAGAAAAATAATATTATCAGCAGCTTCACGCTTGCGGGATAGGCAGAGAGAACTGAGCACCACATGCCATGGTTTTTACATTCGTCTTTGGCTTCCTTGACTCACATAATGCTATTCATTAAAGCTAATAAAGCCTAAATTCACCTGGAAGACAGTGAGCAGCGCTTGCCAGAAACAATCGAAGTTGTGGCGATCCTTCTCCTCGACGGGGTCGTAGTTGAACTTGCCGCCGAATACCTGCATGCCGAGCAGCGCGAATATCATAATGAACAGGAACAGTAGCAGCAGCAGAGACGCGATCGACTGGATCGAGTTCAGCAGGGACGCCACCAGGTTGGAGAGGGAGCGCCAGTATCTGCGGAAATTATAATAATCTACATTAGGATTATTTTTAAATTTGACACATTATTTAATTATGAGGTGGTACAAATGTCAGATACTGTTTTTTATTTTACATCCCATTTTAAGATTAGCAAGTCCATGACTTTTATCGGGATCGGTATGAAATCAGTGCAAATTTGACATGAGATCATGAAGCATCTCACGCGTTAGTACTAGATGAGTAGCTAAAATCCCCGTGTTATGGAGTATCTGAGAAAGCGAAGGTACAACAACACTCAGACCCGAGACAATATAGGTAAAGTTTATTTGCTATGTTGATTCTATTTGAAATCGAATCCGGGACGTCAGAGATGGCAACACCTTGAAACTGGCGTGCAAACTACTCGGCTACGGAGGTCGTCAATCAGTTATTTATCAGTTCTAATGTTCTGCAACCGACGAGAGGCATTTTCCGTCAGATGTGCTGTATTAAATAGCTGTATTGGGGGCGTTACCTTGTAACCCAAGCCTTAATTTATCTGTCAAAATGGAGTCCCGAATGATCTCTAAAATTTGTTTAGCATTCGCCTTCGAATGTAGCTCTGTGACAGTAAAGAACTTCTACGACATGAAAACTTTATAACCTTATCGAGTAAGTTTTCTTTGATTGAGCTTCTATGCTGTAACAGAGCTGTGCTCATCGGCAAATTCCTGACAGTTTTTATAATATAAATAAATATTACTGTTTTGGTTGAAGACGTTACCTGGTAACTTTGAAGACTCTGAGCAGCCGCACGCAGCGCAGCACGGAGATGCCGAGCGGCGGCATCACCTCCGTCTTGGTGAGCACCATCTCGCTGATGGACCCGATCACCACGAAGCAGTCGAAGCGGTTGAACAGGGACACGAAGTACCCCTTTCAACACAAACGAAAGTCAATAACCGGTATTTTATAAAGTTAACTTTTACAATCGCAGGCGAACGCATATGTAATTGAGTTTCCCATGCCTCCTGTAGTAGGAGAATTCTAAATCTAAATAAAAGGACAGTTTATGACGCCTGTGATATTTATCTGATTATATCGACTTACTTGTAATCCTAAGCTATACATCTTCACTAGCATTTCTAAAGTAAATAATGCAACAAAAAACGCGTTCCCATATTCCTGGAACAAGTCCAGCCATTCTGGTTGTCTGAAAATGAAGAGTACGAAATAATTGATACCTAATAGACTTGCATATTTTAAAAAGATGTTAGAGGTCTAGAATTTGTGTACCGAACCTGTAATGTTCGCTGGCCAATACGACAGTGTTAAGGAAGACGAGAACTATGATGAGCCAATAGAAAGTTTGTGATTTCACAGCGCGACGACACGCGCGCTTCATACGGCGGTTTACCTGAAAGAAATTCATATTCAATATATTATTTATCAAGTTTAGGCTGTTTATAAGCACTCTTGATGAACTGTGCCATCGATTCGTAAATTGCTTGTGCTGAGACGAACTTAAAGAAAAATGTTAAATTCGCATCGGTCCTGTGAAAATTTGAATTAACTGAAAAAGTAATAGCGTGATAGCAACAGGACATGAACTATATGCTTTATGTGATCTATTTTAATTAGAAATTGTATATTTCAGCAACCACGATTCATTTTATATTGACATGGATCTTGTGAATAGTATCTTGGTAAAGACACTTTCTTTAAACTACAAGGTCTTGGTCTATTCACAAGACCCATGTCAATATGAAATACTTGGTGAGGTTTTCGAACTTTAACCTTTCTTTCAGGATTATGTTTTAAATCTATTGGAAAAAATTATAGATCTGGATAACTTGTAGATTTACATATAAAACAAATTTACGATATATCGTAGATTTCGGCACTATCTTATTTCATAGTAACAAAAACATACAAGCAAGAAAAGGATAGTGCAACTAAATGGTACACTGAATATATTATATACTAATATTGAAAATAGATTTTAGGAGTTCAGAGCTTAACCTGCTGATAAATGTTTAAAGCGATCACAGAATCATAAGGATCCTTATTGGCCGTCTGATGATATTATAGAATTCTTTTATCCTTACGTAGGAAATTAATATCATATAGTTTTTATATAGTTTCTCTAAAAATGAGTGCGAGTACATAATCGGAGCTTTCTTTTAAGTATAGCCAGTAAAATAACATAACTGACTATGCTGTCTATAAATACAAGTACATCTACTGACCTTATCAAAATCTTTTTTCCATAATTTTGTGATGGAAACTTTCTGCTGTTCATTCGTTTCTATACCTAGATGGTCTGTGGAATCATGTTCATTCTGAGTTTGACCTGAAATTTATAAACAATTTTTTTATTTCTACACTTATTCACACCTGAATAATTTGGGGTTTCATTTTGTCACATCAATCTCAGAGCTTCAGTTACGCAGTAGAGGTGTAGGTTCATAGGGCTTTATTATATTATACACAAATCAATAATAGGATTCGTGGAAGTCCCAGAAATCCGACTCGCTAGTAGTTTTGCCTTCTTTTTTTTCGTATTTGGGTGATTCTTGGGAAATGTGTTCTCCGTGTAATTTCCAGGGCATTTTTGAAATCGCAAAATTATGGTGAATTATATAAATATTTCGAAAACTTCTGCAAATTTAAACAACATATTAAAATTGGCCACGACTGAGATTTATACTTTTGCTAAAAAAAAATGTAGAAAATTGGCGGACCATGGAAATTACAATAAAGGCAATGGAAATTACACAGCAGATAAAATTTTGCTAAACACCATGTCATATATGAAATTAAGCTGTCATATTAGTTAGGGTAGTATTAAGATCTACCTACATTATACTGAAACGATATACGATAGTACTTACTCAAAATTGGAACGAAACGTAAACACGTTCATGTTCTCAAAAAACAAAATATATACAACGTGTTATGGAAATAGCGCAAAACCTCTCAGGTGGTAGCTCAGCCCATGAAACTGAACAACTTTCACTATGAGACCAACATTGAAATTTCAGCATCTGGCAAATTTTTCGAAGTAACGTTACATCGGACAAACAAAAGTCGGGCGTCGAAGTAAGATATGCGATGTATTGAAACTTCGAACAATGAATGCTTCGACGTACTCGTATAGTTGTCGATGTATCAATTATCGAAGAAACGTGTTTCGAAGTGACATAGATAACCCTTTTTCGAAATGGTTATTTATTTTGTCAATTATCTTATAAAATACGCATCCTACGTCAAATATCAATAATTAATTTATTGTAAATTTAATTGGCTTTCATTTAACACCAAATTGGTACCTGTAGGGCCAGTGGTTTTCTCAAAAACGATAGATAGCGAACACCGGTCATAAGTAGATATTAGGAGGTTATTTCAGTCAAGATAACCCCCTTTGGCTATCTATCGTTTTTGAGAAAACCATTGGCCCTACAGGTACCAATTTAGTGTTTAATCAAAGTAAATTTTGGAATAAATAAATAAATTATATAATATGTTAACTTAATCCGGTGTAAAAAATGTCCTTGTGACCCTGTTAACTTCAAACAGACGACAGCGAAAGACAGATGTTTTAAACTTGAATTTGTTTAATCACGATTTGAGAATTTGAAGATGATGATCAAAGTTTTAAATGATATTTAAGACGATTTCATTTAAAAAAATAACCAACATTCAACATTTAAGTCTGTATTTGGCGATGGCGTGCATTTCATTGAAAACAAACATTGAACATAACGTTTGTTTTTTTGCAACCAAAAAGAAACAAGGTAATTTCCATGGGTGATACGTAATTTCCATGGTGTTTTATCCATGGAAATTACATCATGGAAATTACCAAAAAACATATATTTTGAAATTACTCTGCATTGAAAAGATATAACCGGCTAGTTTTTTACTGTTTATCTACATTATAGAGCTAGGTATTTCACCTTAAAACCCATTTTCTAGAAGAAGTACAATTACATTGAAAAAATGTGACATGGCAATGCCGGATAACTGAGAACCAAAATTTAAGAAATTGAAGAACTTATTCTCGCAACGAAAGCGCGGGCAACAGCGACGTGGCCACCTCACCTGCTAGCTGTGGCGTAAATGACGATTCGCAAACACCAATCGGGGTTCGCCTACGCCTCTCCAGCTCAGAGCAGTATCTCGCGCAAGGCGCGCCGCGAAAATTTTGCTAAGCGTGTGACACGTATACTTCTGACCATAAAATCAAAAGTTTCTTTCCGATTAATTTGAAATTTGATCAATATGTAAACCGATTTGTCTTTTTAAATGTGTGTAACAAACTGATTAAAAACGTGGGTAATTTCAAAAATATTTGCGATTGCTCAAAAGTCGGCGCTCGTGTGACACGGTAAAAACGTGCAAAATTGACCGGATTTGAGGTGTTGAGGGTAAGTTACTCCGATCTACGTCGTTTTTCATCCGTGAAATCTATATGACACGATGCTTAATGAAATGAAGAAACGATGTAATATTAGTTTTTATCATAATAATTTAGTTTTATAGGAGATATGTCTCTGTGACACTCAAAAATTGCTTTTTCAAGAAGTACCCATTTACTTAAAAACTAAACTTTGATTTCAAACAGATTTTTTTCCTAATCATGAGCAAAGGTAAACAAATATTATTATTATATTTGATCAATTTTGCATTCATAATGCTATATAAAAAATTCTTAATGAAAAATGTCTAAAAAATTCACTTTGTCACTAGCATTGTAAGATGGGATTCGAACCTATGACCTTTCACAATCCGGACGATTGCTCTTACCACTCAGCTACCCTGGACTTAATAGGACTGACGAATTTTTCAAGTACTTGTTTTTTTTCCGCTACTACAGAACATTGATGAAAATAATCAATGTTCAGTCAATCCATCGAAATAGCCGAAAGAAATATTTGAACTTTCGATAAAGATGAAAATTTGTTTAAAGGTACTCTTTGTTCCTGGCACTTTGAGATGGGACTCAAACTCATGACCTTTCAAGCCAATAATAATTCTGGCTAATAGTACAATCCTAGTAGGTATTTATATTTCTATATTAGTGATTGTGGCTAATTTTTCAACTCGCTATCTTGACATATTACCCACCGATGCCATAGTCCCTCTGGTCGACGACATCGTGCTGATCTGCAAGTGGCTCCAAATACTCTGCTTGCGTAATCCAGTCGAGGTAACCCTTCAAATCTTCCTCTAACTGCTGCTTCTCCCGAAGCTTCTGGAAATCACCGCGGTTCTTCGCTTTTTCTCTTTCCTTAGAGAACTCACTGGAAGAAACGAGTGATTAATGCCAACACTAGATTTTATATACCTTGATGGAAAAAGTAATATCAATATTCGAATCTGAATGTATCTACTAAACTATATGTATAAAAACTGGGGACAAAAATGTGTAAGAGTAGTTTAACGGTTGATACTTCAGTATGTGGAATTACTAATCGTAATACACCTTTCAGTATCCAGTGCGGAGGTCAAGTGGTGGACCACCTGATGACGTTTAGGTACAGGTGTTACAGCACCACACCTCCACATTGAGTACTGAACAGATTGATATATCTGTGGTTCTTCCAAAAACTGATCTCTAGGATAAAACTTTAGAACATTAAAGAACACCTTACCCAGACAACACACCGAGAATCAGGTTCATAACAAAAAAAGCACCCAGGATCACCATTGATACGAAATATATCCACTCCCAGCTATTACCCATCGCATCTTGTATCTGAAATCATCGTTGAAACTTTACTTCACAGTCTATTGGCTTTGGTTACGATATGTTTTAAACATTCCTTGTTTGACAAAACATTTTTTATACTTATTTGAGTTGAAGTCATCACACAACTCACATGGTACATAACATCGGTCCAACCTTCAAGAGTGATACATTGGAAGACAGTAAGCATGGACAAGCCAAAATTATCGAAGTTGGTAATGCCGAAATTGGGGCCGATCCAACCATCTCTGCACTCCATGTCTTCACCGATAGAAGAGCAGTTGAATCCATTGTCAACGTCGCAAGGGTGCGGAGTGTCCATGATCTCATCTAGAAGTAATATAACTTAATCGTTGAAATGCACAATAAGGTAAATACACGCACTATCGTAAAACATAATCTTAGAGGATTATCATTTTCTATAAAAGTAATACAGATTGGAATCATTATGAATCAGCCCGTGTACCTATTGCGGGGACACAGGCTTTTCCTATGTATGGAAACAAATAGGGAGAAACGCCACTACTTGAGTCATGTGAAAATTTGTGAGTTTTAAAGACCGCAGAAGCAGTCGAGACCGTCAGCCTAACGTGTCTTCCGAAGCACGTTGGATATTTATTTATTTAATCAATATTGCCAAATTACAACAAATGGCGGATTTAATGCCGGAGCCATTCTACCAGTCAACCGGTGAGGATAAACAGAAAATATGTAAGGCAGTGACAATGATAGAGAATTAGCATTTAAGATGTTATCATAAACACTCGGTCACTCGTCCTACGACTGCCCATTGCAAAAGCGGCTAATCCTCCGCATTCCATCGAACGCTTTAGCTATAACTTCATCAAATTCGTCAATCTGGATAAACACAAACAATATTTTTAGCGCGCAGCTTGCCTTACATAAGCTACATACCGGTATATTTATTGTAACAGCTTTTATGCATCTTGCCAGAGAACAGTTCGAGGCCGATGATGGCGTAGATGATGATGACGAAGATGACTAGCAACGCAATGTGGAGCAGTGGTATCATTGCTTTTAGAATTGAGTTCAACACTATCTGTAGACCTGTCGAAATAAATTACAATTCACTGTGATATACATTTAAAGACCGTTTCATACTAGGAAGACACGAGATATACCCAAGAATATCGAAAACTACCTATTATTGCGGAACCCACAGTTATTTGTGAGAAAGACTCTAAAATATTTTAAAGTCTTTGGATTATTATTTTAAATTTAATCAAGTTTTCTTAACTGTCGCTTAGTAATCAGTAGAATTTTGATTGATTGTGACTTTCGTGTGTATAAAAATTATTCTTACGAGGGTCAAACTGAAAGTTCTTAGAACTGGCCACTTATAAACAATATAATAAAAAAATAATTCTAAAATTTGAAAATATAACTCTTTGCCAATATTACTGAGTATATATTTCATTCATTTGTCATTTGTTTTACGATTTGGCGGCAAATTGAAAATTGTCTGTGTCACGTCATCATGAATTTAACACGAGAAAATTTTCGTGCAATGATTTTTTATGACTTTCGATGTCATTTAAGTCAACAAGAAAGTTATGATAGACTACGATTGGCCTTTCACGATGAAGCCCCATCTCGTGCGACTGTTTACAACAGGTTTAATGAGTTTAAACGTGGTCGCACTAATCTCACTGATGATTTACGTGAGGGACGGCCTTCTACGGCGACGACTGAAGATAACATCTGTGTTGTGCGGCGTATGATAGAGACTGACAAAAGAGTGACCTATCAACAGATTCGGACAAGCTTAGGCATCGGTATGAGTCAAGTGCACAAAATCCTCCACGAACATTTAGCGGTCAGGAAGCTTTGCGCCCGGTGGATACCCATAATTTGACTGAGGCTCAAAAACTCCATCGTGTGGATTGGTGTCGTAAAATGATTGAAAGATTTAACGGAGGTGACTCAAATGCTGTGTTCGACATACTAACAGGTGACGAAAGCTGGATTTACTGTTATGATCCTAAAACCAAAAGACAATCTGCTCAGTGGGTGTTTCCTTTCGAGGAGTTGCCAACTAAAGTGAAGAGAGATCGAAGTGCGGGAAAAAAAATGGTGGCCTCGTTCTTTGGAAGGATAGGTCATTTTGCAACAATTGTGTTAGAGGATCAAAAAACAGTTTCTGCAGAATGGTACACTACCAATTGTTTGCCACTTGTCTTGGAAAAAGTTCGAGAGAAACGACCTCGCAGTAGGATCCTCCTTCACCACGACAACGCCTCGTCGCACACCGCCAAGCGAACGATCGACTATTTGGCGACATCAAACGTTGAATTACTGGGTCACCCGCCGTATAGCCCCGACCTCGCGCCTTGTGATTTTTATTTATTTCCAAAAATTAAAGAAAAACTTAAAGGAAAGCGGTTTATGAATGCTGAAGAAGCGGTGGCTGCGTATCGCGATGCCATTGAAGAGACCCCTAAGGACGAGTGGGCAAAGTGCTTTTCCCAGTGGTTCCATCGCATGCAGCGGTGTATTGACGTGAATGGACAATATTTTGAAAAGATATAATAAAACTAATAACTGGCTAATGTAATCAGTTTTTGATTTTCTAAGAACTTTCAGTTTGACCCTCGTATTTATGAATCAATAACTCTACAAAATTTTATTTTCTATTTTGATAGAAAAAATTCATATTCTGAAAAAATTTAAACAAATAGTTTAAAATTTACTCAAGGGATATAAATTTTTGTAGCAGAAAATACTTACTAGGAACGCCTGAGACAAGCCTCAGTGGTCGTAGAACCCTGAATGCTCTTAAGGCTTTAACATCGAATGCATCCTTGAATATACTCGATAACACCGTGCTCACCATTCTAAAAAAACGATATCAGGAATTAAAACAAAACAAAAATAATTATAATGCTTAATTTTTTGTTAATTGATTTTTAAATGTAAAATAATCGCAAACATATATACCTACTCTTAAATGCTATGAAACACATTTCAATTTTAAATTAAATAAAAACTCACCTAATCGTAAGGTGAGTTTTTATTTAGAAGCGTTTAGTGTCGGTGCATATCAGCGCGTGAGAGTCCAGCAGAGCGACAGCCTAACTTCTCTAGCTATAACTCTAGCTATAGGATACATCATCTTAGCAATGTTATAGCGCTATTTGATATGTACTTTAATAAAGAACCATGAATATAAATAATAACGAATATGGATATGACAGCTGTGTTTCTAACACGGTAATTAATCCCAAATTTATCAACTAAAAGACATGTCAAAGTAGTAAAATGGAACGAAAATCGTCATAATATTCGCTAAGATGTCGTATCTTATGGGTTGAGAGTTAGGCGGTTGCACCCCTGGTAAATCGCTCACGGACTACCGGATCTCAGTCCCCAGGTAAGGGTACAGCGTGGGTTGTATTAGTTATGCCTCTGACAACCCATTTGGTGGCAAAGTTGCTGAGTTGGTTCATAGACACTCCCACACACCCTCGTTACCTGCAGGGTGACAGGTAGTGCATAATGCCAATTCCTAACGCATGAAAAAGGGCTTGGTGCATATCGTCGTATAAGTCGTTAATCTTCGGTTGCGGAACGTCAAAACTGACAAATTACATAACTGATTTCTTATATTTTCATGCGCACTATCCAAAAATGAAACTTTTAAACGGTTTCATTGCATCGCATTTAAATGTTTAAATGTACATATGTACAACTGTATAATACCGTGAGACGATTGACGGCCAGATTCGCCAGATTTTCATCGACCAGGTAGATATTTTTTATATTAATTATATTTTTTTTCCAAATAATGTCAAAGATTAATCCATTGTGTAATATTGTTTCCATATTTTTTTTTGATATAGCGAAGACGATTTGTCTACAAAGATCTTGTACACAGCTTAACACAATGTCAAAGTTCCAAGGGAGAAACTGAATAAACTTTCAACAGATTAAGTTGTAAAACCTGCTTTTATCAATTATATCTTTCCAGAGGTAGAAACATACCCTATGACCACTATGGTGAAGTCTAGCAAGTTCCACCCATTCCTGAGATAAGAGCCAGCGTGCATGATGAAGCCGTACGCGATGATCTTCATAACGCATTCACCGGTGAAGATTACGAGAAACACATATTCTATTTTTTCCTGTAATTTAATAAAAAAATTGATATACATTCCAGAATACTTAATGATTTTGATACATCGTCACTTTCTATGACGAAAAGCTTGGCTTAAATTTTTAGTTGGATTTAATCTCATTTCTGATTGTGTATTATAGATTCTTTTTCGCAATGCGCAATTTCGAATGTGACAAAGATATTTATTTAAAAAGTATAATTACCATTTCCATTATAGAAATCACTTATCAAATAGAGCTGATATTCTATTTCATAAGTGATTTCCTGAGTATTTGTATCACTACAGATATTACGAATTTGGCGTAAGTAGATTTTTAATTTTCTGTTTATTATGATGCCATAAAAAAGAGTCTTTAAGGTGAAAAATTGTAAGTTTATAATTTAAGATGTTGTAGTTATTGACGATAATAAACTATTAGCGCTTACCAGGACAGAGTTGGTATAGTTGGAGTCACTGGCCGGGTAGGGAGTGTACACAGCCAGTGCTATGCAGTTGGCGAAGATGGTAGTCAGGATCATCCATTCAAACGGTCTGTGCTTGTTAAGGAAGAGTTTCATCGATGTTTGGACATGCATAAATGACATAATTAGTTTTATATCCCACTTAAATATATAAAAAATTACTTGAATGGGAATTATTTGGTTCCGACTGAGGTCAAACATCAGTCTTTCTGGACTTTCACAACTTCAAAGCAGCTACGGTATGGAATTGTTAGAGCTCTACATTACTATGTATTCTAAATAAATCTCTGAAATAAAAATATTGCGAAAGGAAAGAATATTACTACACATGAAATTACCACACATACTACTTTTCCGTACGAGCTTTTGTGTAACGTATCCTACGACAAGCAAAAAAGAAAGAGAAAAATGGTTATCACCAAAAGCTTTTTCTCTTTCTTTTTTTGCATAGATAGCGCATTCTCATATAAAAAATATTTCTGTTGATTTTAATTCTTATTTCATTAATTTTCATTTGTCAATTTTTCCTTATCTTGTCTCTATAATCGACAGAAAATACTTTATAAGTCCCAATATATTGTGAAGCTTTGCCGCATTTACCACCATTTAAACTTAAGAAAAAACAAAAACCTACATATCGACACCATTTGCCGGCCATTTCGACCTGTCTCCTGAGCTGTGGGCCCTACGGCCCAAGGGGAGATACATAGGGATCGATGGCTACTCTATTCGACAACAAAATCAGCCTCGAACTTTACGACGACCACAACACTGTTACAGCATATAGGTTGAATCATAAAAACAATTTCTAAATATAATAAAGGTTTAATTACAGAAAATAGCTACTGATTACTATTACTTGACCGTCTCTTTCATAAACGAGTCTTTATCAGCAGTATGTCGATGATACACTAGTCTTGTTGGTGTAGTTACAACAACAATTTGTTTGGCTGTTGGCCAAGTTTTTTGGCTTCGACAGTAACGGACTCGATGAGATGTTTTATTACCGGACGTTGCGTCCATCAGAAAGGATACTTCGTTGGTTAGCCGATATCTCGAATGCTGTGTCTAACTAAGAATTTATATTGTAACATTTCTATAGTAGAAATTGATTGTGTCCAAAGATTTCTGTGTAAACTGTTAATTTACACAGAAATGTTATGTCTAAACTAAACATGCGGTTCTGAAAAATAAAAATAAAAGAAATCTTTATAATAACAAAGCTTATTTGATCAGAATTCTTGTTTAACCAAACTACTTAGCTCTAACTCGATTGAGTTGTGTTATTTAATAACGAAGATTCAATGGCTATTTTTTATTTCCATGATCATTCTCAGGATATTATCTCGACTAAAATCCTTATCAAGAAAAATAAACGAGCTTAAATTCGATCGGATTAATTAATTCATCGTTTAATTACAGAAATTCCATGACTTTGTAAATGTATCATCAAATCAGCCGCATTCCATATTACTATAGCTTGTAAAAGTTTGCCCAAGTAACATAACAAGTTAAATAAAAGCTTATAAAAACTGTTCACTAACTATTCGCATCCAATTCAACACCTTCTTGATTGATGTGTCACGCTGATTTAATTTGTAATTACTATTTAAAGAAAAATTCAAAGATTTGGCGCCAATACCTTTTATTTTTCTTTTGCCATGCATTTAGTACTCGTAATCGTTGGTCACAACACAACGTGCAGTGTTTGCACAACGTATTGCACGGATTCAGACAAATATCCGAGAGGATATTTCAAGAATCCATTTGTCTCTAGGTCTCACTACATATAAGTTCCATTTTCAAAAATGTTCTTCTTTTTTCTTCCTCATCTTTTGAATAAAGACTTTTCTGTAGGACCTTTGGTCATAAACACATGATGAAAAAAAAACTTTTCCATTCTTTTCCCCTTAAAGCAAGATATGCTCATTATATGCTAGCTACTGGGTATATTGACGGACTTTTAAGTGAGAAACATAAAAAATCTTTAATAAAAGATTTTAATCAACGCACTAACGTAGAAATTATATTTATTATATTGATTGAAAAATGCTTAAAAATCCTACTTTGTGCCTTGTACTCCGAGATGAGAGGGGCAAAGTGGATTTTTTAAGCATTTATCATTAAGAATATTTTCCAATATAGCAATGTGAATGCAAATTTGATCAAATATATTAGATAATATTGTTATTTTAAATGATCATATCGTTTACTTGATTTCGAATTTTTATTCTTTACGTACTCTGATCATTCGCTGATTTTCTTATAGAAAAGAGGAATTGACGACACAGAAATCATTTTTAGTGTAAAAAATGCTCACCTAAACAATGCTTAGGATTATGTTTCTACTATAACTGATAAAACTGATTGAAATATTTGCTCAAAATATGTATCATAAAAAAAATCTTAAAACTCACGATCATCAGTAGAGTATAGCACAACTAGATCTACTCACGAAGCTGTGGTTAAAACGAATAACTTCTAAGCAATAAAATCGTCTGGATAGCGTTCTGTCTGGTCTTATCTCGAGTGCAATAAAACTATCTAATAGCACAAATACCTATGTCTTATGTCTGGATTGGATGATTCAATCGTGTGTTTTAAAAATGGGGGTGCCACTGGGAACCGAGGAGATCACTACTTATTAATTAATTATTATATAAGTTCAGGAAAAAGTTGTTTCGTATATATATATATAGCATGAATAAACTTGTAACAAAATCTTTCTGGCTATACCATTTGTAAACTGTTTTCGGTACCAATAAAAAGTTTAAATTTTAAAGAAGATATTCCGAATTCAAATTGGGAAAACGTGTGATTTTAATTTGTTTTTCTTACTGTCAAAATAAGTGGATCTAATGAAGAAATTCGACAGAGTAGCAATCCGGAAATACTCGTATTGATGTCAAAGATGCACGTCGAATGCAAAATGGATGCCATTTTTGAAAAAGTGGAGAAATATTGGTATATCAGTAGATGCGACTTAGCTGAAGAACTGGGTATTGACTACCGCACAAAAAAGTTGGATTTTACAAATACACGTAAAACATACACATACATATTTAATTCGATGAATTGTTTTTTTTTTCCCTTCTTAAATGAGTCCAGTGTCTGTGATAATCTTATGTTTGCTGGAAGAGAGCGCCACAGTCGCAAAACTCGAACAGTAAATGAAGCATCATAAAATCTGGTGCTGTGTGATGATGTTTCCAGCATAAGATTTTCTGATGACCGTAATGAGTACGAGTTAGCATTGCGAAGATAACTGAAGCGTTTTTTGAGGTAGCAAGGGTAAGAGGGATTAAACAATATATTGTAGAGAAGAAAGAGGATATGAGCATTCGGGCGAAAACGAATATGAAGTCAATTGAGTTGAGTACGATATTAAGAGACATGGTAATATTCGCGAAGACCAAATATGAATCTAATACAGAAATTTTGAAGACTCTCAAGTTTATTTAGCTTATCCTCCGCAATAACAAGATAGCAAGCGTTAGCATAGTGAAAGACAGGAAGCAATAGAGAATGCGCAAGCGCGACTTTAGTGGCTGTGGGCATGAAATTACGTAGTCTCCTTAAAGAAGCTGCAGAAGCATTCAACTTACGACTAATAGTCTGAAGATGAGATGCCCAACTCAGTGTGCCATCCACTATTAATCTTACATTATATATTGAAATTTAATACGATCGTTACGCTTTGCGATTATGTTGAATTTCTAACATATCACGTGACCTACACGGTAGTGAATCATATAGAAAATTTAGTTCAGTTCATATCTCAAAAAAACTTTACGTTCTCCAATATGTTTATAACACCCTGTGGAGGTAGATTAAAATGCTCTCTTTATTATAAACTGCGATATATTTATTTGCTTTTTATAAAACTATAGAAAAGACAACACCACCTTCGTTACAACCGGTTACAACCGCACCTTCGCACTACACTCCTACAATTATCTTACTAAACTTAATCAAGTAATTGTCTTTCGTTACTTTAATATGTTGTATAACCTAAAAATTAAAATACATCATGTATCACAAAAACAATGCGATATCAGCGACTCTTACTGAGACTAACGTAACTATTTTACAATATGATCACTAATACTTGGCCACATCAAGAGACAGTCATACGATCAGCCGCTCATACCGTTAAACGAAAATTATTCATTGATCTGGCCACGCCATATCATGATATGGCCAGTAACTTTTTCCATTCATGAAATACGACCATTTCATAAAATGGCCGGCTGCATCATGAATTGGACAATTCTACGATCTGGCCACGACATACGCATACACATTATAGTATGCAGAAGTATAATCTTATTTTGTTGAAACCACGTGACTACTGAATTTTACGTTAAAACAAACTCAATTATTTTTTAATTTTGGTTGGTATCAAAATAAATTGACACCATTGTCTAATAAAAAAAAACTAAGATAAAAGACGATACATTTATGATATAATAGGTATTTATGGTATGTTACATTAACTATTCAGCTGGAATTTCAAATAAACTCGGTTTCGAAATTGGGTGATATACGATCTGTTAAACTACTTACGTTTATGCTGACTGATAATTTTGTGTTCATAGTTATTTATTTAATCAATTTAGCCTCATAGATTTACTGTAATGTCAGGTTTATAGATGATAAAAAGAAATTCATGACGTAATTTATGTTTTCCGCGAAGCAATAAAAATATTGAAGAGAACATTAGTCACGTTCACATTATCTAAGTATAATAAAACTCTCGTCCATGTACAATTTATTCCTCAAACAAGTCACAGTTCTTATCACTAGCGGTACACATATTTTTATATTCATGCAGAATATTCTAATCTTCTGCCAAGTGTTTAAACTAACAACTTTTATAAAATCTGTGTTGCCAGTAATCAGAATTATAACTACTAATTTAATTATTCGTTATTTTTTTGCTAATTAAACAATATTATTTAACTATTATAACAATAAAAGAAAACCCCACACTTTGGCTACTTATATTCGAAGTAAAATAAAATTAAGAACGTAAAACAATCTCGTAAGACGGAATCGTTTATAGCAATTTCAATAGGGAATATTGCAAAGCTCAGTGATGGTATTTTGTTCGAACGTCGGACCACAGTTTTGAATAATTTGAATAATATTAATGGCTAATACCATAATTCTGATCGTGCAAAATAAAAAAAAAATATATAAATACATGAAATAAAAAAATATTTTTAAAGCGTTTTTCATTAAGAATATTTTCCAATATAGCATTGTGAATGCAAAATTCATCAAATATAATAAAAAAATATTTCTCTGAAAGTAAGTAGGTACTGTGTTTTAAACGCTTCCTCAAAAATTATTATTTGCATAGCATTTTACTATGTCTGCAATCAAGGACATTTAGTTTGAGTGAATTGTGATAAATGAAATACATTACAAATCTAAATAATAGCAAATTTATTTAATTAAATTATTCTAAATAAAAGCGTAGTTTATCGCTAGAATGCTGTAAAGGCCTTTTCGAAGTTTTGTCTTTGGGAAAATATTTCCCTTCATTCTTACAACCACATAGCACTGATTGGATAAAAATACTCAAATTATAAAATGTAAATACAGAAAAGATTACCATTATAATATTTTTTTATTTATTTTAGAACTGCATTCTAGCGACAGAAAGTTTTATTAACATGTCTGAAAGGTTTTGCAATCGACGTTCCCGAGTTAATAAAGAGTTTTTATAGAAATTGTTTGTTCTTATTTCACGTCAAATCCTGATTTTCTTAAGATAGTTGGGAAGGAAAAATTCAATTGATTTATTTTTGTCACAATTAATATTACATTAGCGATTTGTTGTGCGGATCTTAGTAAATTAAAACATCCAGCTACGAACGGAAGTTTGTTTGGCGAGGTGCCAAAATATAGTTTGAATCAACCAAATGTAAATAAATCATGGTTTCTGCCTAAATGTTTATTTAAAAATATATTTCATCTAAGTATTAATCTTAATTCATTCATTCGTCTCTTCGCAGATTTCCATTAAACAAGGGCTTTTGTACTTTTAATACAAATTTTTGATTTGTCGTTAGCTACATTTCAAGAGTACAGCTATGTTATTCTGTAATTTAACTATCCTCGAAATTAACGTCGGTCACAGCTGTCGCAGAGGTTCCGTGAAATAAAACCTTTATTATTATTTGAAATAGGTTTTAAATCAATGAATTTTTATCGTTCGTCATGTAGTTCGAGGCTATTTTTGTAGCAGAATAGCACTGCGGGGTCAGATCGGTTAAGGAGAAACGATCGAGCAGTACAAAGTGGTAAGTCCCAGAACCCGGCAGTGCGTACATTAATAGTCTGGTGATGATGTCATATTTATATATTATGTTTATAACTTCGAAAAGGAAACACAGAGATTTAGTAAAGGATACTTCCATTCCACTATATCGATGCAGACTTTTCTCAGCGGGTTTTTCAGAGTGAGGCAGAAGAGTGCCCGCTTCGGCCGCTCTTGTTGGACCTTGGGACCCCGTCTAGGAGGTTTGCGGGGCGCCGCTGGTACCGGGATGAGGGGGCCCGCACCATCTGGAGGCGCTCCGGTGGGGGTCTCCGTCGGGGGGCTCACCACTGGCGCTGGATCAGCGCTCGCCTCCACCGCACTCATCTTCTGCTGGAATAAATATATCAGTATAAGTAATGTTCTTGTGAGGAGCTCGATGGCGCAGTCGTTAGTGCATTATGTTCTTCTGTTCCGTGTGTTGTTCTGTTTAGCTAAGGACCATTCGCAAGGGTCAGGTATTGGATGGGTGACTAAAAATGTATATTGAACTTCTTCGTGCTTCAAAAGACACGTTAAGCCTTTGGTCTCAGCTGCATCTGCAGTCGTGAACACCCTCCTTTTGCTTCCTGTTGTGTCATGGCCCGTTTTTTCGATTCGATCCATAGGGAAGATGAGCCTCCGCAAGTGGGGGATTCATAGGCTGACGATGATGATGAATATTATTGTAAAACCCAACAAATGGCGTGTCTTTGTAGTGGCCATAGTTAAAAGTTTGAACAGTGATATAGTCTAGGCACTTCTTCCAGCTAAATATGTCTTTTAGGTTTTTAAATTTATCTCACCTAATAGATATTATCTGCTTTATTATAAACTAGCTCACTAAGTTGTGTTTCTCACAACTTCATCGCGTAAATTTATATAATCATTATAAATTTATATAAATTTATATAGTCTTCGGCGTATAATGTTGCTACCCTTAGGTAAAAGCATTCTTAAAATCAAGTGTGCAATAGTTTCAAAGCCTATTCAATGCAAAGAACTTAATCTTTCCTCCTTTAATAATATGAGTATAGATAAATAGTAAATATAGAATTCAGATAAGCACCTATGTATCTTTAAAGAAGAATTATTGGACCAACAATAAAACTATTTTGAAAATAATCTGTAAATATTTCGTAACATTTGTTTGCTTCTAATGGACGGATCGCATGAATCCATTATTATTGATAAATGATGTACTCTTCATCATACGCTTATTTAATATTGGACACGATCTTTAAAACTTGTAATATGTTGAGTATCTAGAATTAATAGTTTTTTTATAGTTACTAGACTATATACTTATTCCACAGTATTTTCGTCTATAGAGTGCGGATTTAGATGATATTTTGTTTGAAAGGGTTTATTCTCGAGGTTCTTTTAATGATCGATAAGCAGTTTTTAACATCAAAATAATTAGGAGACGTCGTCGTGACTCAAACGACTAAAATGATTTTAAAAAAAACCTGTCTCGTATATAAGACAGGCAAAATTGTAGGTAGGTTGTATGGGTAGCAAATGCTCGCGCGACTTAAATGAAGATTATTTAATTCTCAAGTAAGAATTATTTACCGATATTAGTTCAAGTCGGTTTTGGTTTTCCACTGCCAAATTGACAGCACAAAAATGAATATTCAACTTTCAAGACCAAAGTGAAATTCACTTTCCGAACGATCCTTTTTCATTTTATCTTTAAAAGCACTTTATTGCACACACGCAAAAAAGTAAACATCAGCCCTGCGATTCTGTAAAAATTCAGACCTGATTTCGAATTCACACATGTGTCCGAATTTACTTCAAAAAGCGGCATCCGATCAACCTTGAATTGATTCGGGGCATAAGTGAAGCGAGTTTAGAAAAACATAGGAATAGAATATCTGGGACACGAATATCTAATCAATTTTGTTATGTATTATTATACAAAGAATGGAATCAATAGAAATTCTACACTTCAGAGACGTGAATTCGGACACATGAGTGAATTCGAAATCGGGTCTGGATTTTTACAGAATCGCAGGGCAGATAATAATACAGCTGTAAATCAAATTATAATGATAAGTTTATTATTATTTGCAATCCAACGCGAAGGTCGGGTTCAAAATAATCGTAAGCAGACCGCCTGGATAATTTCCTTCGCTCATCTATTAATTTTTATGACTGATATGAAGCAATCGCTATGAGAACTACAGAAGCCGCACAAATTAATCCTATTAGGCCGAAATCTATTTTTGTACTCTAAAAAATAAGCCTAAATCAATGAAGAATAAGGTATGTGCACGATTTTGTCGAGGTCTAATGACGGAATTTCGATCGATTAAAATCTCGATCAAACAAGGATAGACATAATACCAAGCCATGCCGTCTAAGTCTAATTATCCGCAACCGTCCAACCCCATCACAATCTTATAAAAGAAATAAATAAATCACTTGTTTATTTGAAAAAAAAAATGTTACTAATCTGAGAGGCTACTCTGTTTGTCTACAAACGAAAATTACAAAAATGTCTAATCGACCTTACAATTTTTTTAAAATCATATGCTTCAATATTATCTGTCCATCAGAAGCAGTGTCAGGGTCTTACCTCCGTTCATTATTAAAATTTCGTTTTTGGAGAAACAGAGTAGGCCTTCTGGCATTGCAAACCAAAAAAACACAAAAAATTTATTGTTTTCTATGGAGTTGTTCGAAATTGCCGAGTAAAATATAATGGTTGACTATTACGAGTAAACTTGTAAAGCCAACTCAAGTGTGTATTTATCCTTTTAAATCGTAGTGAAGATGGAGACTAGTAAAGTGTTTTGTGATGTTATACTTTTGTATGGGGCTTTGAGTAAGATAATGAAAGGAAAAATAGATGCTTTGATTAACATGTTTGTAAAGGTGAAAGTTGAAAATATTCTGGACTACTAACGTAGAAGTTCTCAGAAGAATGAAGAAAAAAGGGAAGTACTAAATGCAGTAAAGGACAGAAATATTGCATATCTAGGAGATGTTAACAGAAATAATAAGTATAATATTTTAAAATTGATAATTGAAGAAAAAGGAAGACGAAGATCAACTGGCTTGACAATATAAAGAAGAAATGGACTAATATTAATGACGCTGCCATTCGTACAGAGATTTCTGTTTTGTTCAAAGATGGCGAAGTATAGAGTGTATTGTCCAAAGATATCATCGATCATCCTGTTAAGGTCTGTTACCAATACGAAGAAGAAGTATAGAGAAACTGATGATAGCCTAAAAGCGACGTATATATATTTTTTATACATTAAATATAGAAATATACGTAAAATTTAAGTACTGACGAAACTCTGCGATGTTTGTAGACTTCAAAAGGATAATTAAAGAGGTCAATGGGAAAGTATTCAGGACGATTTAACGGTTCATGGAACCTACATTATCAAAGGCAGAGATTCGGGTGAACTCTGTATAACAATTTGGGACGGCACAGAAATAGGTTGGCCAATGAGGAATCGGCTATGTTTTGTTTTTATTAATGGCTGACGGAGATTCTCGTATTTCCGTATGCATCTGAAGATAAATTTCCATAGCCTTATTTATTAGGTGCAGGAAATCTATAGCAATGATAATATCATTTCTAAATACAGATACTGTAATATTTTTTCAAAGGCCAATTACAGTTTTTTGTTGTGATAATAACTAAACGCTATATGTATGTACAACAATTAATTTTCTAACATCGTCAGGTACAGAGTTTATAACAATATTTCTTTCGTTTTGTTTTTGTGATACGGGTATATATTTTTGATTTTAAGTAGGGACAAATTACATTAAATATATAAATCATATACTTATTTTATAATAATTTAAAACCTTATAATTTTGCGGTAAAAACAGAAAACATCGATCGCGTTAGTCGCCAATGAAATGTTTACTCAGATAATTCTTTTTTTTTAAAGACATCTTGTTCCGGTGTGAGCATCCCGGATCCAACGAATAATGTATTAGTGTGTGAGTCAGGAGCTTACTGAGATTTGACCGGGGTTTGCGTCATAAGGAAATCATGATCTCAGATCAAGCGATCAAGTCAAACTGTTTGTGGTGCATAATCTATTTAATAAAAAATACACTCTTACACAACTTAATATACTACCTAAAAGTTGTTTCATTTGATGAGTAGTTTCATTTAACGTGTGAAAGTATAAGAAACAAATATGTCCAAATAAACTGTTAAATTAAATTACGAGTAAGAAAACTACATAATTGTTCTACGAGTTATGTTACAGCTAAAACGTGAATTTCTAAAATTTTCCCTAAAACTTACAAAGTTACCCTTAACATCCTCCATTTATTCCATTTCTTGTTGTAATTATATATTTTATTAATAAATATGTGAGTCACTTTTTAACAAGCCAAAATGCTTGTAGCGTTTGCTTTGCACCATAATATATTTTAAACCTGAAACGCCACGTCGCTTCAAATATCATTGTGAATTTAAATGTACAGCTGACAGACGTACGTCGTTATCCACATGAGTAGTGTTCCATTTGAAATAATTAAAATGAATGGAACGGAGTAGCTGATTAGCTTGCGCATCTTCCAAATAATCCATAAAGTAATTAATTTCAACAAAAATAAATAAAATGGTGAACAGCGATCGTTATAATTTGGCACGATCGCAGTATATGGTAATGGAAATTATGAAGTTTGTCGCCAATCATCTACGTGTATTCATAGAACTTTCATAATTTCCGCAGATGAATCATAATTTTAAGAAGAATAATACGCACTTACAATATTTCAGTTGCACAACAATTTATTTGTAGGCCGTAAGTCCACTGGCATGTGGTGAAGATTTGGTCCAGTTAGCTGTGGAATATTACAATGACTAATTGACCAATGAGCAACAATTTATTCAAGATGTGAGACATTTTTAAAGAATTTACTCAATATTAATAGTTTGATCGTAAAAAAAGTTACATTTCAAATGATAAAGAATTTTTAAACGAATCGTGGAAAGCTCCATAAAAATATAATAAATATTTAATTGTTATTGCTGCTCGATTATTAAAAACTTAACTATATTTTTTTTACATTTAAATTGTATACGATGAAAATAATTGTTCTCAGTCAAGTGTTTTAGTCTTGAATTATCAATGAGGGCTGGCGCAGCTGCGAGCGCGGGAAAGCGTCTTGATAAATTGAAGGAAATGTCACTTTTGGCGGGAAACACCGGCCATTTTGTCGTAAACGTCACATTTAATAGGACCATCGTTACGTTGCGTGTTGATTTATATAAATGTAAGTAATATATTTAACAGCTAATTGGGCGAGTGTGGAGCTGAATGGATTTGTGCGTGAATATATTAGTAACCGCTTTGTGATTAGTT